TTCTTTATTTGTTTACAAAAACTAAGATTGTCTTATCTCTTACTCTGTTCTTCTCTCTACAACTATTTGTTTTTTTAACAAATGCCTCGGTTATCTTTCGTGTGTTTTGACTGTTTGTGTATAACTCAAAAATACTTATTTAGTCTCAATAAGCACTTGTCCAGTCCAGTCCAGTAAGGAGGTCCAGGTTATTATCTTTCAAGACACTATCACCTAAAACTTTCAAAAGCAGCAATAAATACCTCGTCTAGGCGTTTCGCGTCGATATTATTTATTAAAACTACCGACCATCTTTAATTACAACTTACGACGACAAAGGTGGCGCTAGCGTAGCAGTTCTGACTTTGATGTTAGGGCACACACTCCAGCGTCCGCCCGTGACGCTGCTGAAAGTATTCGAAACGCTGGGCCGTAGTTAAAAAAAGTTACTCTATATATTTCGCGTTTCAAACCGTTATATATTGTTTTATTCAAATGTGTACGTCGCGTGACTACAGACATGACCTAACGGTTGGGTAAAACATACATTTTAACAAGTATAGACTTCAAATGAGTTTTTATTTATCTTGAAAAGCCGTTAAACATTGCCGAAACGTGCAACGACGGGACGTACTCGGTAAAGCGAATATTTGCCGCGTAAGGGATACAATAGGTACGGCGTTAATGTACAAATATCATTTCGCGGTATTCGCTCGTTAATTTGTTAATTATGTTTTCGTATGGGACAAGTTATTGTGTGTGCTTAAAATTTTATTGTTGCGTATTCTATGAACGGGTGTATAGCTTCGCATATTTTATAGAAGTCTTTAAAATATTACTTCTGAAATATTAGTAAATATAGTATATTTCTGTAAAAAGAGTCCCTTATTGCAAAATTCGTATTCCAAAAATAATTTATTCAAGTGTACTCTTATGAACGTCTAATTTGAAACTCGCCAGTTTCGTAAGTAAAGGCGTAGAACGAATATTAGAAACTCAGTATTGTATATTGACATTTTCATAGGTATTGTAAACTTTCATTGAGAGCTGAAAAGATATCGTGGGTAGTGTTTACTTGTTGCCTCACTTGGATTAATTTATTATCTATGCTTAACTGTAGGCTTACTGGCGCGTGACGTCATCAAAGTCGTTGGTAATTAAAGTGATTTAAGTGGTAGTTTCTTCTTTTTTAAATTCCGAATGGTCCGAACAAGAGAAATTTCGAATGTCGTTAGAATTCTTGTCTTTTTTATTTTTCTTTGAATATTAACATTTTTTTCTAACATATTTTAATGAATAATCTTCTAGAATGTTAGTAGCTAGGTTCTGGGTTAGATTCTGGTGGTAACGTTTGTTTCGATTGTAGATGTCTGGTTAACTACTTGTAAATTTGTTTGCCCTATACCCCACTGTAGTACAGGATACAATATGCCTTGTAACAGAATAGGGGATTATTGATCGATTTCAGTTAAATTGATTCTTAGAACAAAAGAGTTAACATTACCTTCAAGCACCTGTGTTCATTAAGGCTGATGTAGCAAGGCTTTACGATGACCGATTAAGGCAGCGGCCGATAAGACTTAAGCCGGATTAACGCGTCCTCAGTCCGCTTACTTTTACAAAGCACATGTGAAAGTAAGCGGACTGAGGCGAAATGTTTTATACTAAAGGAGACCCGAGGTGCTACCCGCGCATATCCGGTCCGTTAAAGCCTAAAAGCTAAGGTTTCATTAAAAATCTGTTTTTTTTTAATTGTATTTGATGTCTTTAAAGGCGGCCCCTTTTTTACTTTTCTAAGAGTTTTTAAAACACTTTAACTGAAACTTATTTAACATTAAATAAAACGCATTTTAAACCGTTAAAGTGTTTCATTTAAATGTGTACCACTAGCGTAAACTATAAACAGAGATCCTTTTTTAAATTTATTTCGCAGTTGAAATATATGTTATTTAATCTGTAGTAAAAGAATTTAGTAGTGTAGCTAGCCTAAATGAGTCTCCAGTCCTATTCAATTGGGATTTAGCTCATTAGTGTAATTAGACTATTTGACTACAGCTCGCGGGATGGAACTATCTCATAAAAGCTAAAAGTTATAAATTAACGGAAAGCTCCAGGTTGAGTTAGACTGCTAGTATTTGTCGGCGCCCGTCCACTTTGTAACTCCTAACGTGACTAGTGAAATTAGCTGCATTACTTAATGCAGTTGTCGGCAGAAGTTTCACAAGACTCCTACGGCTAAGTGCGGCTCGGTCAATATAGTCCATTTAAATAGTAGGACCATCTCCCACAATGTATGACGCGGCGCACAGAATTTTATGTGAACATACTCATAGAATACCTAATCTATCCATACTAATATATAAAGCTGAAGGGATGTTTTAATTGAAAAAATATTTTTCTGCTGTGAGACCATCTATCAAGGAGGCTTTAGTCTATAAAACATAACGCTACAAGCAATAGGAGCGATGAGAGAATGGAAAACTAGGAAACTTATTATTTGAGGGCTTCCATTGCGTGCGTTGCGAAAACGGTTCACGCTACTCAAAAAATACATATGAAATAATGATTCCCTTTGAAATGATCTAAATAATGTCCGTGACTTTATGTGAAGGTTAAACTTCCTATAAGATTGACTCACAAGAACAACAGGACGCGGGCGACATCATGGGTAACGGCTATGATTTATAAAGTGGAAGGGGTTGTTCGCATAAAAATAATTTTGATCCGAAACCGAATTATTCCACGCGGACGAAGTTGCGGGCATAGCTTGGTCAATTTATAATTCAAAAGATCTGATTAGAAGATTAATATATTTTACGGTTGGTTTGTTTGAGGAACCTGTTTCCATGCAAAAACCTATCGGTTGTATCTTTCCTCAAAGAGATTTTGTTTATTCTTAAATACGATGAAAACGTTGTGAGCACAACTCGCATACCTTACTTTTAAAAATTAAGTAAGGAAAGTCACTTCACTTTTATTTTTACAACGGAGGCAACTTTTAAAATTATTTCTTACAACTCTCCGCGATTTTGTGAAACTAAACGATCGTATCTAAAAGCGACATTTCTTTTCATGCTCGGTGTAAATATTGCGGGACAAAATAACGCTCAATTTTTTTTAAAGATTGAGTAGGACATGGCATGAGGCTCAGTTGATGGTAGGTGATATACCCCAGCCTATAGCATCTGAATAAGATATGCTGCCGACCTATTGTGGCTTTGGATATTCGGAAATCCACAGACTGATACCGAAACCGATTAAAGCTTCACGGCTTTTTCATTTGTGGACGGTGGTTCGTGACCCGGACGGAATGTATATTCCTACCAACTATTTAATATCCCGTCCCACCCACAACTTAACCACAGCCGTCAAACCCTCGTCGCTACGCGAGCGACCGGCACCGGCTGCCGATCGGCCGCAAAACCGCCACGCCGGCGAGGCGTGGTCATTCGCTAGCTACCCCACCTAGCCCACTCACCCCCCTGCGGCGCCAAGCCTGCCCCCCTCGGGGCACCTGGTCTAGCCCAACACGGCGAGCGCTCTCGCGCCGCCCAAAAGCCCGGAGTATTCGTGGCCAAGGACCCAATAGTCCATTCAAAAAAAAAAAAAAAAAAGTTTCCAGACGAAGTCCAGCATGTTTCAGAAAAATAGAAACATACTGTCTGTACTTTACGCGAGTAGTACACGTTTAAATAAAACACTTTAACGGTTTAAAACGCGTTATATTTATATACGGAGAGACCCCGCGATCACGGCTGCTGCAAAGCATCCGAAACATCGAGCCGTAGTTAAGAATATTTTCAAACAAGTGTAACTGAAATATATCGCGTTTTAAACCGTTAAAGTGTTTTATTTAAATTAGAAATACGTTGGACCCGGTGGGGATTGAACCCACGGCCCGTTGATCATTACTACCGTTAGACCGACGAGCCCCTCGTCGCTCTATTATGTACATTTAAAGCGATTAAATCCAGCGAAATCAAAGTTACTCTATAAATAGTATATGAGCTATGACATTCAGGCAGGTATTAGTTATTCAACGCGGTGAGGATGCCATTATAAATCGATGAGACCTTTCCCACTGAATGGAGTTGCGGCGTTAAGAATTTCTCTATTAATGCCCCATTTTCATGGCGGCGAGAAAAGACAAACAGCTTGTTAGCACAACAAATTGTATGCAGGCTTATTCATTATAAACGGCTCGCTGTGTCAGCGACGTCGACCGCGTAGAATGGATATTTTGGGCTTCCAAATTTGTTTTTGCAAACCTCTTGTTCAACTCTATAAATTAAGGCTACCCCCGACGTCGTCCGCGCCCCGTGGTTCTTGTTAGTTGATCTTAACAGATAGACGCTGACATTTTTTGAGATCATTTAAAAAGGAATCATTCTTTCGTTATCTTAACCGCATTTGCAGCGATTATAGACAACAACAAACGAGAATTTTCGATTCGAACACGTAGTTCCTGAGGTTAGCGCGTTCAAACAAACTTTTCGGCTTCATATATTAGTATAGGTTTTGCCTCGCTCTTTATTTCTTCGCGAAAGCGGCGAGTCGCGAATTGGTAGCGCTATATTTCCATCAATTTAAGGACTGCATCTATCGTTTTAATGGGAATGCGGAAATTATTGAATACTTCGAAATTTAGGGATAGAAGGAAATGTTTTAGCTTCCTTTACAACTTTCTAGACGCAACGTACTCTGTTTATATATAAGACGATAGACGCTTCACTTTTAAGTAAAACAAGATTGACTATTTATAATACGGACGGCAATATTGGCGTTTTAAACCTTAAAAGGTCGGTCAAATATAAACAAGACGCTACTCTGGTTATATCCATAATCTCCTTTGAAAACTTTAATAGGACATGGTAGATCGATTGTTTAGAGGCTGAACACAGCACGCAGTAGATGCCGGTTCAATACCCGCTCGTGTCGTCCAATTTTTTCAACCCCGTTTAGTGCTCTTGTTAACTATACTCATTTTATATGATGTACACTAAAGTAAAAATATAACGCAGGTTGAACCAGGAAATTAAAAGCGGCGCATGGTGTCCGAAATCCCAAATTACGACAGAGTCAACGGAATGGCTGGAAATAAACCTTCATTCTGTCCACGTGATCACGGCAACTGGGACACAAGGCCGCTTCGGCAACTCCCAGGGGGTGGAGTACGCCGAGGGATACGCGCTGGAGTACTGGCGGCCCAAACTAGGCAAATGGATGCGATATAGGCCGGCTGACGGCCATGAGGTACGTGTTTCTTTCATATAGAGGCGGAAGGTGATACCCCAGCCATGTAACATATATTTATATAAGATGCGCTATCGACCTGTTTTGGCTTAGGATATTCGGAAATCCACACACTGATCCGAACTTTAACTTCACCATTTGTTTCTGTGGTAACATGGACGATTTTTTTAATGATAAACGAGGATATACACACATAGAATTCACTAAACACAACGTGAAATACTTTATAGATGTGGGAATCCACCCTTCGACTCATTGATTATTTTTAACCATACAATGCTTTCATTGCTCGTCAAAAAATTACGGTAATCCTACCTCTAAAGTATATCCGGATGAAATTCAACATGTTAGTGGGCATCGAACCTGCGACACATAGATTATTAGCCTTTGCAATTAGGTCAATGAATTCGTGGAAATAGTTGGTAGTTTAACTTGCTAATACTCTTGGGACTACTTCGTTGGTGCACACGACTGGTGACATTGTTTTAAACTTAATACGCTACATCACCATATCTTATTTAGCCAATTCTAGTATTAAACTGATTGTATTTACAGATTCTTCCCGGTAACATCAATACGTACTTGGAGAAGAAAAACCACCTAGAACCGCCGATATGGGCCTCCAAGATTCGCTTTATACCCTACAGTTCACATCGACGCACCGTCTGTATGCGCGTAGAACTCTACGGATGCTATTGGAATGGTAAGATACTAAATAACTTAACTGAATAATTGTAGCAGAATCGTGTATATGTAAGAAATATTTTACTGGAACTGTATGTGTAATGGTGAAACGCAGAAAAAAAAAACGGTATTTTTTCCAAGATTTATGATTTGAACATATAGATTAGCAACCATTCACAATATGTACGTCAAAGAACTAAAAATTATAATGGCTTAAAACACGTGATATACTAGTTAACATTTTCTTTTAGTATCCGACGTACGTATTAGTTACATTCAGTATATACTTATAAAAATATTTCATATTATTACTAAAGCACCTTCCACTTTCGTTTATGACGTAGTATTAGTAATCTACGATTTTCGATCTTTGATTTGTCTAAAAGCAGATTTGACAATAGGGACACCCGCCATCTTTAGAAATATAGGTCGCAGTTAAAATAAATTCTAAATAAGCTAACTAATACATTTTGTGTTTTATACCATTTAAAAGTGCACTACTCGCATAAACTACAGACAATACTGATGGCTGATTTGTTTAATAGGTGTCTATGCTGAATTCGGAAATTTCCCCCAACCACATTTGAATCTATGTGTTTAAGTATAGAACTTAAGCTAAATATTTTACTTAGAATGTGAGCGAGTGTTTAATATTCGTGATTAAGTTACGGACTGCTTAATCCTTTGAGCTGTGCACGCGAAAGCAAATGTGAACAGTTGTGAGCGCAAACGGTCACTTGTTTGAAAAGCCTGGCTCCTTTGAAAAGAGTGCAGTTCGCAGAAGTTCCTTGTTAAATTTTTCCCTTTGCTTGACAGTTGCTTGAATGCTTCAAGCAAGTAGAGCATTGTAACAATCTGCTGCAGGATCAGTTGCATTTTTTAATGACATACAAGGACAGACATGGACGGGGTTGTATCGCATTTGATGGGGGAAAATACCAAAGACATATAACATCTGAACAAGATGCGTTATCTACCTATTATTATTATGGCTTTGTACATTTGGTAATCCAAAAACAGAAGCTGAAATGCGGATTTAGATTTTTGCTTTGGAGACGGATTTTTGGTACTCCCAATTTATATCCAGATATTCCAGACTCAGTGAGATCTGATATATGCTAAGAGAAATGATAAAAAAATTAGCTTATGCCTGAACTGCAGCAGTGAAGTATCAAGGGAAAGTAGATCTGTGTCCAGCATGTTGGTATTATTAGATTGGAAGGAATTCGGTATGATTTTTTTATGATAGAGGCGGATAAGCTTGGGATTCGCTTGATGGTTGGTGAAACCCCCCCCCCCCCCCCCAGCAATTTATCATCTAAACAATATTCGAAAATCCACGGACTGAAATCGAAACGTGATTAAACTTCGCGGCTTTTTCATCTGTGGACGGTGTTCCAAGACCGGTTTAACATCTACATTTTCAAATTCAGAAAAATTATAAATTGATAAGAAAAAATTCCAGCCCCGGTGAGGATAGACCCAAGTGATTACTAGCCAAACATTCCTACCATTGTACCGCCGAGCCTCTCAAAATGTTAACTTATTTCTTATATCGTTCAACTTTTAGTTAAAAGTAATGGCTACTTACGTCACATACTTTTCTATAATGTAGCAAAAAGTAATTGTTCGCATGGCAATGGTGGGGCAATACCCAGACGTTCGTTATCGCTGTGCATGCTAGTCGTAGCAAATTGTTCAACTTAATAATACATTTGATACGAACGGGGCCGTCTTTAAGTCGCTTTCCCCGAATCTTAGACGATTTTAATCGCACAGATTTCGTATAAAATTACACATAAATTATTGCGGTTAGTTTGATTTATTGCGAGCAGCGTTTGTCGCGACGTTTAATTAGTGATGGCTGTTTTGTTTACCTTCGCGTTACGTTTTTAGTTGATATCTGCGAGACGACAGATAGGGAGAAATTGAAAAGGTACCGCGCCGTTTCGCTTAAGTCTTTTTGTTCTCGTTTCGCATTTCTTTGGAAATTTTAACGGACGCTATCTAGATAGTCTGTTTGTAAAGATTTTGTCAGTAATGAAGAGTGTTTTATAGAAAGCATTTTAATGCTAGCCTTTTGAATTGATTTTTTGCAGACAAATGTTAGTTAAGTTAACACTAGGTTAATGTTAGTTTACGAGTCATGAATAACGCGACTATATAAAAAGATGTCTAGGGACGGCCATCTTTAGATAATATTAGGTATAGAAATGAAAAAAAGCCTAGAGTAATATTTTAAAGCCGAAAAGTGACTTTGTTTGTTTGAACGCGCTTATCTCGGGGACTACGGATTCGAATTCATTTTTGTATCGGTTAATACATTTATCGAGGAAGGTCTTCGGCTATATAAAAAGTATGAAAAAATGATTCCTATTTAAATTATCTAAATAATTGTCCGGGACAGTATACGTTTATCTTTCAAGATTAACTTGCAAAAAAACATTTTTACGATAGTCAAACTACGTCGAAATCAGCTTCAATAATTATTTCCTCCGGTAATTGAACCATATCAGTTGATATGATTTTATTTAACATTGTAGTTTAGGCACTTCATCAGAACAAATATACTTTTATAGATGTTAATATGAACATAAATAAAAATAAAATCTCAACACCGATAGACGTCTCACTGAAAAGCAATATTTATCGCTTCGATTCGCTGACGTTAAAAATATCTATTAAAATCTCCGACTTATCGGATTGAACGAAAGCGGTGTTATAGTAATAATTTCAATACTTTAACATAAATCGGTGCTTATTTAAGAGCCATCATGCGATACCCATTAGTTATGTCTAAGCTTTACCTGAATATAAATGAGCGTAAGATTTATTTTCTCTAATATAGGGATTGCAAATATCTTATTTCGAATTATAATTTATATCGGCGATGTAACTGCTGATTTATACTGAGAATATAATTTATGTAAACCTCGAGGGATACGCAGCTGTGGCTCAATGGCTCAACGCATTTACAGCGATAGGGTTCTAGTCACGGTGAAACATACTATAGCTTACGGTTGTTCAGTCTTATCAATTGCTTGGTCAAAGTGGATATAAAACAGCGCATGAAATCCACGGAGTATTTACTAGCTGTATATAGCGCATACTGTCTGTAGTTTACGCGAGTAGTACACATTTAAATGTTGTCTCTCCGTGACCACGGCTGCTGCAAAGCATCACGTAATTAAAAAAAAACGTAGTCAAATAAGTTTAACTAATATATCTCGTTTTAAAGCGTTAAAGTGTTTTTATTTAAAATACATTAATTTCGAGAAATTATAATTATTTAATTACCATAAAAACGATCCTTGCAAATTGATATTAAGAGATAGACATATTATCGTGGACATTTTTAGATAATTTATAGAGGAATTATTCTTACGTACATATCGTATGTTGTTGGGATTATTTGTTGGTTTCTCGAACCGTTTGTTTCTAAAGCGCACGCAACAAAATCCCGATAGATAAATAATGTCTACAAATTTATCGTTTCCCATTTGAATTTGCTTCAGTAGTTCCTGATATTAGCGCGTTTAAACAAGCAAATAAATTCTTCTTTTTATAATAGATATGGCTGAGTTAAAGTTTTCAAACGTTAAACTTAGTACTTTCATCTTCATGTATTTTCTTAAGCTGCAAAGCATAAGAAATTGAACCTTAATAAACAGGTGTTAAGGTTGAAATTACATTGCGCGAGAGGTGAAAAAAAAATGGCGATGACGTTTCGGACACGGTGTAATTTTAAGCTCAATAATTAATGGATTTATGTTTGTTTGTTTACAGTGGGCATAGTGTCATATTCGATGCCAAAAGGCGACAGACGCAGCAACGACGTAGAACTGACGGACGCTATCTACGACGGCCAGTGGGGGGAGGAGTTAAAGGGGGGTCTCGGACAATTGGTGGACGGCCAGTTCGGCGGAGACGAAATTCGCGAAGCCGCTAAGAATTTAGCCTGGGTCGGCTGGAGGAATGATTCGAGGCCCAACCCACCAGTCATCACCTTCGAGTTTGACAAAGTTCGAGAGTTCAGTGCGGTGCATCTGTTCTGTAATAACAAGTTTATGAGGGATGTGCAGGTGAGTGTACTTCAAGTTGTTTAAGTATCTTAAATATTAAGCTTACTGTCATTTAATTTAGAAATCTAAAATAAATTGATAATGTTTTCAATTTATTTTTGGATATTTAAATTATATAGTGCCATCATGTGCAATCACATGTGAAAAATATTAAAGATTTTTAACGGCCCGACGTTTCGGATGATTTGCAACTGCGTTAGTGTCATATTAACAAAACTATACTTTTCGCACTGTAAAGTTCTACGGCATTGGTCAAATAAGTTTCAATGATCGATTTTATTTACAGACAAGTAGTCATAAGACTTCTATATACTCTATCAGACCGAAATTATTGTTTCTCCGTGATTAGAATCCTCGACCTCCCTTAACGCAAAGGCGTTTAACCAATGAACTACGGAGGCGGTACTGTAATAAGGCCTGCTTCTTCTTGGTCATACTAATGATCTCCGGTAACTGGTAATTTGATATGTTGCCATTTTACGAGATTTTAAAACATTGCCAGCAAAACTAGATTTATTGCAATTTACCTACACAAACTTTTTTCATACCTCTACGAACTCGACAGATCTTTCAACACAAAAACAAATTTTCAATTCTAACCAGTAGTTCCTGGGATTAGCGCGTTCAAACAAATAAATTGTTCAGTAGTAAAGATTATGTAGTAGGCCTGAGAATTTGCGTTATTGATTACAGAATAATATTAACACCTCATTAAAGTACATTAATTGTGTAAATTTAAATAAATTCTTTATTTGAATCATCGTGGAAGTAAAATGTTTGTGCGCGGCTTACCTATAGCCCGCATTCCCGTTGTATTCGGCATCCTATTTTGCAAATCCATCACAATTACCCGTGATGGATTTGAATTGTATTAAGTCCGTACTAGCAGTGTGATGTTAACTAAGCTAACTGTGACACGGGCTAATTAAAATCGACGTGCGCAAAGGAAATCGCAGAAAATTGAATTTTGACCAAAGCCAGTATTTTATCTTTAATTTAGATAATAAGAAGAGGTTAAAATACATAAATATCTTCTGTATTTATGGGACTATTAAATAAAAAAAACGACAAGACCAGAACCGAACCGCCTTCTAAAGCGTTCTATGCTGTTGCTAAGTAAGTAACTGTCTACTATTACAATTTTCAAAGAAAGTTAGGGATTTAAACATAGTAGCCTCTTGTCAATATTTTACGTTAGTAGTACACATTAAAATAAAACATTAACGGTTTAAAACACGAATTATATTCGTAAAATTATTTACAACTACTAGAAACTATAATCTTATATATTAAAGTGTGTAGCATCAACGAAAGAGTAACTCAATTGGTTGGAGAAGCAGCACGGAACGCTGTGGATGTTGTTTCGAGTCCCGCCCGTAGAAATCTAACTAGATTTTTATTTTATACTAGCGGCCCTGTCCCGGCTTCGCACAGGTAGACATAAATAAGTACAAATATTTAAATTATAAGCATGCTAATTAAAACGACCATGAATCACTAAATTAGAAAAAAATTTTATCGTACGTCCTAGCTGTTCGAACGATCTTTGTCTGTCACGCTGTATCAGGAGCCGCTGCGAGCGTTCAGTGTTAGAGTCCCGCTGCGGGCGTTCGCGAATTACTAGCTCTATTTCCTTTAAGCTGCGACTGCATTTTGTTCTGCAAGACGAACCTGAATATTCGACGATAGATTTTCTGGCTCGCGATTGGGGTGCCTACACTCTAATACTTTCCAGACGATCATTTTAGGAAGAAGACTCTCTAATACGACGAACTTTTGCTAATCTCGCTTGGGAACTATTCTTAGATAGCTCGCTTGGGACCTTCTTCTTAGACAGGAAATTAACAATAAACTAATATAATAAAATAATAAAAAAGAAAATATTCAAGTTCAAAGAGATAAGTTCGAAAAGAAGGAAATTTCAAGTGTGATTCCTCTTAAAAGAACGTTTTAAGTAAAGCATAAAAATATTTAAAAAAAATCGAGATATTCAATGTCGTTCGCACCCACTGCGTAAGACCCACTGCCCCTGTATCATCGTATTAGTTACTCGATGCGCGGCGTGGCGGCCGACGCCGGCATGTATTTTAATTTTAATTTATGATATCTTTTGAATGGCATGTCCGATTCCAATAATTAAAAAAGTAATTATTAGGTATTGAGACAGTCTTGAATATTAAATTATTTAATTTTGATAAAAATTGATAAATGGTACGGATAACACGGTCTAATTTTGATCGTCATTTCTATCAATTCGTTAAATGTAAAAAAGTAGTTATAGCGACGTAACTACAATAGTTAGACATATTATGCTCTCGCGATGTTTTTTGTAGATATTGATATATTCTATAATATTGTCGAACATTTTTTGTCCTATCATTAATACTTTTCGCAGCGTATGCGAAGAAAGACATTTTACGGGTAATTATTTTACGCCTCCCGTTGGTTTTAGTAAGAATTTTAATATATAAATAAGCCTATGTTACCAGATAATTACTTTCTAATGAAAAAAGAATTATTAAAATCGGCCCAGTACTTTTTGAGTTTATCCGTTACATACAAAAATACAAATCTTTCTTCTTTATAAAATTAGTATAGAATGCCAATTGTGCAATAACACGTGTTAAATATTGAAGTTTTCATATTTTTACCCTCTCGTTATTATACAGGTGTTCTCGGAAGCAATAATATCATTCTCAATTGGTGGTCGACATTTCCAAGACGAGCCGATACGCTATTCACCAATCAGTGACAATATCTTTGAGAACTCTCGTAACGTGAGCATCAAGCTGCATCACAGAATCGGCAAGTGGGTCCGAATTGAGCTACGGTTCTCGGCTCGCTGGATCCTGATTAGCGAAGTGGTCTTTGATTCTGGTAAGACGTTACTGCCTTTCAAAGTTATGTATTACATACAGTCTAGCGTTAGTATATAGACCGCCTCTGTCGCCAAATGGATAAACGTATTGCTTAGCGTTGCGTTAAGCGCGAGAGGTCCTGGTTCGAATCCCAGGGAAACAAAGGTTTCGGTCAGGCAGGGCAAGACTGTGATCAACTACTCGCCTTTTAAAGAGCGGATCATTGAATCGGACACATGGAAAAAAAGTGGTGTTCGCCCCATGCTCCACGATTGAGTAAGGGGACTTCACACAAATTAGTACATAGGTTATTAAAAACAGGTGAAAAATCTTTTGTTTTATTTTAGCATATAAAATAACTTTCATCAACACAGATGAAAGTTATTTTATATGCTAAAAATTATTCATCGTTCCTTATAATTAATTATGTTTGTCAGATACGTTACAGTTTAAATTTTACACTAAACGACGGTTAAGAATCGAAATATATTTATTACTTATAAAATTCTTGAATAGTGTGTCTATATATCGGCTCTTTTATTATATATATTATCCAAATGAAAATACAACAGTGTAAATGTATTTTACAGTAAAATCTAGATTCAAAAGCTTAGCGATGTTTAAGTTAAATACTTTAACGGTTTAAAACGCGAAATATATTAGTTAAGCTTTAAAAAAAATTAAATAAGTTAATGTATATATATATATATATACATATATATACATTAACTATATATATATTATATTTTACGCTTTTGAACTGTTAAAGTGTTTTATTTAAATGTGTACTACTCGCGTATATTACAGACAGTATTTGGCTCAAGAATCTTACCTTATAATAAAAATATCATCACATTTCAGACGTCGCCCAAGGCAATTACACACCAGAAACATCCAAACCGCCCCAAACGAAGGACAAGACGAAAGTTATAGCCACGAACAACGTGCCAGTACCCACCGCGCACCAAGACGACCCGTTGTATATGGCGATAGTGGTCGGCGTTCTGACGGCGCTTGTTATACTTCTAATTGTAGCGGTGTTCCTCATTGTACATAGGCATAGGTAGGTGACACAAAATTCGCCTTGGCTACGTAATCTGGCGCCGCTAGAGCCAGAGTGACTTAACTGCACTTGACTTCTAAAAATATTAATGTACAAGAGCACAGTGACCGAAAATTGTTAACATAACTCGTACACAAATAATAGTAAAAATTCATTTTCGACTAACTCAATTGCGCTTTTTTATTTTCCTCCTTATGGAAAGAATGTTTTTTTTATTAGGCCACTCTGGCTTTATCAGCCTCTAATAAAATTTGCCTGTATTTTATCATGGTTTTATAGTAAGTATTGATTTGCAAATGCTTGCTTAATCCGGGACTTAGAAATCACTGATTCAATGTAATTTATTTTGATAGTTGTATTGCGGCTCCATAAAGACTCCTTTTAAATAAAAAAAGTTTATTGCTGACTTTCTTCCAAGTTAACGACCGTGATTAGAGTACAAGAAAATTAAAACTAGAGCTTACATTATTATTATCTATTTTATAAGCGTGTCTATATATAGGAGATTTTTTCGCGATTGGCCAAAATGGCAAGCTTTATATAACTGTATAAATTAATAATATAAATTTATATCGCGATATATATTTGTTAAACTTGTTTGAAAATCATTTTTTTTAACTTCGGCCCGACGTTTCAGCTGCTGCACAGCGTTTTAAACCGTTAAAGTATTAAATTTAAATTACAGACAGTAATTAAATTAGCTTAGCGAATAGTACACATTACTACTCGCGTAAGCTACAGACTGACTTTAACTGTTTAATTGTATTTGCAGGCATAGAAAATGCTTCGCCTCCCCGCTAGCGAAGACGACAATCGCCCAAAAGCGCACAGTACCAGACAGCTACAACACCTGCGGTTCTTCGGTGTTGCCAGAGAACAAAATGATAATCGACTGCGGTCTAGATGTTAAGTCTGACGAATACCAAGAACCATACCAGGCGTTGAAATGTGCGCCATATTTTAGCTATAGCACAGTCCTATTAGAGATGAAAGACTTCGTTAAGGATTCTAATACCGCTTTATCTGGTAAGTTCACGTTTGTATTTTTTTTATTGTTTCTAAAATCACTATCACTACATAGTATACAGTCGCTTTTTCTGTCCCTATGTGCGCTTGAATCTTTAAAACTACGCAACGTTGTGGCGGCAAGGGAAGGTTTTTATATACAACGCTCACAGTTTTTTTGTAGTGCATTCAAACAAAGCCGGGGAGGTTCTCTAGTTAGATATAAACCCGACGTTCTACCTTCCACAAAAGGGAATAACTTTTTACTCTATATAATATAATAATCTGTACTAATATATGTGAGAGAGAGAGAGTAGGAGTGATGTGAGGTGAGAGTGTTGCGCCAATGTAGCACTTACAACATAGATTGGCTGCCTTAAATGCGCGTTAACATAAATTAATAAACAGCCTAAATAATTAAAAATTCTACCCCAAGTCACTATTCCATGCGGACGAAGTCGCGAGCACAGCTAGTATGTATATATATAAAAATATACTAGTTAAAATTACTTATATATGCAATTTCCTGCTCTTTTCTAGGTTTTTTTTTTATTAAGGCCTATGGCAAAAAAATATAAATATCTGTAAATATTGCTATCGAATTTTAATTCAATTACTTAAACTTCTACAAATATTCCTTTAGTTAATATTATGGTCCATCCTTCTGAGACAGTTTTTTTTTATATTTACTCATATATTAAGGTTTAATGTCTTATGCTTGGCAGCTTAAGAAAAAAATTGAAGATATTATAAAAGAAAGAAATTTGTAGGCAAGTGTTAGGGTTGAAAACACATTGTATAGATTGAAAAAATTCGACGATGTCGTGCAGGAATCAGTAGCTCAATTAGTTATAGCGACACCACGTAACGTTGTGGATGTCGGTTCAAGTCCTGACCGAGTCGTATTTTCTTTTCAATTTTTATAAATTTTTAATTTATATGGTGCCATCGTAAGAAAAAAATTATAGTTTAAAATTATTCTCGTCCAACAGATAGTTCGAACTACGACTACGCAGTGCCCGAGCTGTCTTCGGCTCCGCTGCTGACGAAGCGTCGTCTTCTTGACGACTCTTCGGATCGTGCGACGGCGCTTATGGGCGACCACGTCGAATTGGACCTGGACGCGAGACGCTCTTGTGCGGGTTCGGTGCGCTCGAAACACAGCACTAGGGTTAGTATAATATTAATTTTGACATGTGGCCGCTAGATCCAGAGTAGCCTAACTGCAATTTTTTGACTTGACTTATTTATTTTTTCATAGTCTTAAAAATGTTAATCTAATATATAAAGCTGAAGAGTTTGTTGGTTTGTTTGAACGCGCTAATTTCAGAGACTATTGATTCGAATTGAAAAATAATTTATGTGTTGGTTAGAGCAGCGAGGAAAGCTATTGGTTATATTTGAACTGCGAGTACTAGGAGCGAATCAACACAATTAATCGTCGTAATTATTAATAGAGAGACAATAAATATATTGGACTATTTTTATTAACTACATTACTCAGTGTTATTTTTTTTTGCAGTCGCCAAGTCAGCAAGAAGTGTTAATAGACTTAAAACGACGCCTCGAAACGACAACTGTCATCGAATTCCCACGACACCGACTGAGAATGATCTCAAAGCTCGCTGAGGGCGCGTTTGGTACTGTAAGTAGAGCTTTAAACGGTAACTGAAACTGGAAAGTTCTTTCACTATAATTATGATATTTTGGTTAAAATTTTTGTAATTCTTCATATAATCGTGACTTATTCTTATCCTATTATAGGCTTATCCTAGGTTTACAAGAAATAAGGTTATCTCGCTACATAGTATACAATAAAGTCGCTTTTTCTGTCCCTATGTGCGCTTCAACTTTAAAACGCAACGGACTTTGATGCGTCTTTTAGATAGAGCTAAGAGGAAGGTTTTTATATACAACGTTCACAGTTTTCTGTACCCGAGCGAAGCCGGGGCGGGTCGTTAGTACATAATAAATACAAATATCTGAAATTGTAACAATGATAACTATATATATAGAAACTTAAGTAACTTTGGAGGTCCTTTTGTAGAAGGGAAATATTTTTCCCTTCTACAAAAATCGTTATCGATTATTCAATTATTTTGGAAAAAATGTAATAAATATGAAATGTTGATCTAGTAATATTCTTCACTCTAAATAGCTAATATATTGTGTTCTATTCTCAGCCCTTACAGGAAGGGTTATAAATACCGAACCAGCATTTCGTGTTATTCTGTGCAATATCTTGAAATGTGAACAGCCGAATCATACAATGCATTTCCTCTTCAAAACTGGAGAACTCAAAGACTGAAAATTTTTCAGGTGTACGTGGCGGAAGCGGACGGAGTACCAGAATATAACGGCACAATAACATCGGAGAGGCGCCTCGTCGCCGTCAAATTCCTCTGCCATGACGCCTCACTCAAGGAGAGGTATATCATGTATGAAATAACATTTACATTTTCAGCACGAAACGAGTATGAGGCAACCAACTTAAATTTCACTCACCATAAATCTTCCTAATAGCATATATGGCTAATAATCAACGGGTCGCTGATTCGATTTCCATCGGGTCCAGCATGTTTCAAAATTTTTTAAACATGTTGGACTTCGTTTGGAAATATGGATATTGAATGGCTGGTAGGAATCTAACGAATCACCAACGGATGAAAAAGCTTAAAGGATTTCCGAATATCCAACGCCAAAATAGGTCGATAGCGCATCTTGTTTATATGTTATATGGCAGGGGTATTTCATCTCCCATCAAGTCAACCGTATGCTTGTCTGTCTTCCTATATAAAAAAAATATGTATCAAAACCCACAGAACAATGCTATGAACATAAGAATGGTTGTCCTGTAGTAATCGTCTTGTTGGTTGCCTTAATTCCCTGCACCACCTGAAAACCTTCAATTACCTTAATCTTATATCATAATTGATGTAGTGTGACAGTTCAAAGATTATTTCTAAAGTTATATACAAACTTGGTTAATTGGGATCATAAGGGACCAAGACATACGTACAAATCATTAGGGGTCTCCAATAATCCAGTTTTCCAATCAAGGGTTTTAAATTACAGATCAGTCTCAAGTACAGACGTTTTTAAACCTGATTAATTTGACTCACTTATACAGGTAATTGAGCTACAGAATCTCAATTATAGCGGAACGTTCTTGGAATCCATATAATAGAGGTTCAAAGTAGTCTGGTCCCACATAACCAGGTTTCATTATACATGAATATTGTAGGTTATGTGGTATTTCGTATCAGCGCCATCTCTTAGTGAACGTCTCACTAATATTATTCTTTTTTCACAGGGAGGAATTTGAACGCGATGTTCGTATATTAGCTGCGTTGTCCTCTCCTCACCTGGCACGAGTACTTGGTGCTTGTCGATCGCCACCGTTGGCTGTGGTGCTGGAATACTTGGAACTAGGTGGGCTGTATAGATGTACTCTGATAAAGAGATTTATACCTATAACTGTGAATCGTTTAAGTGTATTTTATTAGATTTCAATCAACTTTGAACTGAGAAAATCAAGAGTTTTAATGTTAACTAAAGTAATCTATACTAATATATAAAGCTGGAGAGTTCGTTTGTTTATTTGTTTGAACGCGCTAATTTCTGGAACTATGAGTTCGAATTGAAAATTATTTTTGTGTTGGTTAGAGCAACTATCGAGGAAGGCTATAACCTTGCTAATAAGCGAAGATACAGCGAGAAATATGAACAAAACGGGGGAATTTTTTCATCTTTGCAGGTTTCAGATGCGTACGCTGCGAAAACTGTTCAAGATACCTAAAAATTATTTAGGAAAGAATAATTCCTCTTTAAATGGTCTAAAAAAAAGTCCGCGACGTGTCTATCTATATGACTATCTTTTAAGATTAAGTTGCAAGAACGACCCGAACGACGGGTTACGAATGTTGTGGGTAACACTAATATTGTAAAGAGAAAAGATTTGTATTTTGTATGTAACTCAAAAAGTACTGGACCGATTTTAATAGTTCTTTTTTCATTAGAAAGGTACATTATCACTGAGTAAAATAGACTATACTTAGTACTAGATTACGATATAAATCTTTAGAAATTTCTATTAAAAGCAATGGGAGGTGTAAAAAAATTGCCATAAAATGTTTTCATCGCATACGCTGTGAATAATATTAATGATAGGACAAAAAAATGTTCGACAATATTATAGAATATATCAATATCTACAAAAAACATCGCGAGAGCATATGTCTAACTATTGTAGTTACGTCACTATAACTACTTTTTTACATTTAACAAATTGATAGAAATGCCGAACAAAATCAAACCGTGTTGTCGTTACCATTTATAAATTTTTATTTAAATAAATCTACACTAATATTATAAATGCGAAAGTAACTCTGTCTGTCTGTCTGTCCGGCTGTAACTCCGAAACTGTTGAACTGATTTAAATGAAATTTGGTACAAAGATATTTTAGAGCCTAAGAAAGGACATATGCTACCTTTTAATGCCAAAAAAAGGGTTGATAGGGGTTGAAAGTTTGTATAGAAATTCGTGGTTTTTGAAGCTAGAACAATGAAACTTTCTTCTATGGCTATTTGGGAATAGGAGTGGGAGTTAAAGTAGTGATGTGAGGTGAGACTGCTGCGGCAAAGTTGCACTTACAACTTAGATTAGCTGCCTTAAATGCGCCCTTACATAAATTAATAAACAGCCTGAATAATTAAAAATTCTACCTCACGTCACTATTCCACGCGGACGAACTCGCGGGCTAGTACACACACAGCTAGTAGATTATAATGTTTTAGTGACGTCATTAATCAAACGATTCGATACTTTAGGTGACCTGTGTTCGTTCCTGCGCACGACCGTACCACCATCGCTAGCCACGTTGCTGCATGTCGCCACACAAATTGCGGCTGGAATGCAATATCTTGAGTCATTGAACTTTGTACATCGGGACTTAGCAGCACGGTATGTATCAAAAATCATTTTTGCAAAAAAATTGAATATTATAATATCCTACATCGTTGTACTAATTTTATATGACAATTATTTCTACTATTAACGTTTATTGTATATTAATCAATCGTCATATCTATTTAAATATTATAAAGCTAAAGATTTTGTTTGTTTGAACGCGCTAATCTCAAAATTACTCTTTCGAATTGAAAAAATAATGTTGTGTCGGTTAGAGCATTTACTGAGGAAGGCTTTAGGCTAAAGGATATAGACCAATAAGAGCGAAATATGGAAAAAACGGGGAAAATTATTTGCGCAACGGAAATCCTTCCGAAAATATCCAAAAAATATTTATTAAAGAATGATTCCTCTTTAAATATTCTAAAAAATGTCACAGACAGTATCGGCCTTATTACAAAATAATACTTAAACCAGAACTGCGGAGTTGGTTTAACTCTTAAACCATGGTCTAAATAAATCTAAGTTAGTACCACAGTTAGTCCAGTACAAACGTTAAATTTCGTTTGTAATACGGATTTCAAATAAACCAGGGTTTAAACCAGGCTTGCTAGCACTTTTATATAACCAGTATCGTTCTACAGGAATTGTTTAGTCGGCAAGGGCTATCAGGTCAAAATAAGCGACTTCGGCACGGATAACGAATTGTACGCGTGCGATTACTACAAGGTTGATGGGAGGATACCGCTACCACTCCGCTGGGCAGCTTGGGAGTCTGTACTCCGTGGGAAGTACACTACCAAGAGTGACGTTTGGGCGTTTGCTGTCACGCTGCATGAGATATTCACTCTATGCCGACGGAGACCCTACGAGCATCTAACAGAAAATGAGGTACGTATTATCGAAATACCAACTACGATGACACCGAAGCGGTAGCATAGTCGTTTTGACGCTGACATTACAGACAAGACACACCCCATAGTCAACCCCTTTACTACCACGGCTGCTGCCAAGCGTCAAACGTTGTTAAAATAAGTTTTTAATTTTTCGCGTTTGAAACAGTTCAAAATTATTTTTTATTTAAACATTATACTGCATAAAACTACCCACAACAAAAGATCACTTCGGATTTCAGAACTGAGGGTTTTAAATATGGCTTTGAAGAATGTCCCAAATAAAAATCACAATTAAAAATTAATTATATTCGATTCTCAAAACATAACTTATAGTAATTAAAAATAAATACTAATTCTCGGTCAACTAAATCAAATGAAAAATCGAGACTAATCATTAATATCGGACCTTTGAGTAAAAAATGCATACTCAATTTGGCATCAGTTATATTATCTTTTGTTCTTTTTATTGTCCCATCAAGTGCATACATGTGAAATATATTAAAGTTTTCAAACGTTAAACTTTGTAATTTCATAGTCAATGATTTTTCTTAAGCTGCAAAGCATAAGACATTGAACCTTATTATGTAGATGTTAAGGTTGAATTGCATTGCAGTAGAGGAGCATGTTTTAACGGGTTGAAAAAATTCGACGCGAACGTGCGCATGTCGGTCAGACGTAGTGCCCGTGTAATTTTTTTAAATTTATAATTATTTTTTTTTCTTTACTTCACAGGTGTTGGAGAACCTGTCGCACCTACAAGCGGACGATGACCTTTTCGAATGTATAGAACGAGCTTCCGGCGTCCCACGCGATCTGTACGAAGTGATGCACGAATGTTGGCGCCGCGATGAATTAGACAGACCCACCTTCGCAGAAATACACCTCATCCTACAACGGAAGTGCTTAGCTATGACCACGTGATGGTTTACCAACTAAACATGACGCTATATCGGCTAATTCCATTACCACTATTGACACACGAATCTTCAACCATATCGATTTGTCTAGATTGATCTGGGACTTAACTCGCAAAAGGGTTACGCTGGTATAAGTCCCAAATTTTTGTTGACCAACGCTGACGAATGTAAATCGATTATTACATTTTGAGGAGGCAATTCTGATATAAGTGATATTTTTAAAACTGAATATAAACGGTGACTAAGGGCGTAAGTTATGTCTTTCAGTGTCTAACGAAAACGTGATTCTTTATTATTGTTTTATTGAACAAGATACATCTGACGTTGAGATCTAGAATTCTTTTCTCTATTATCACATGTGGTACAGAGTTGATTTAGTCTGCGGTAATAAATCTGTTCATTCAGAGCCCGTGAAGCAATCGTGTTTTGGGACACTGAATGACTGATGGATGAAACAGAAATTGAACTTAAATACTGTCTGTAGTTTACGAGAAAAGTACACATTTGAATAAAACACTGTAACGGTTTATACGCGATATATTTTAGTTAAATTTGTTTTAAAATTATTTTTAACTACGGCCCGACATTGCGGATGCTTTGCAGCAGCCGTGGTCGCAGGGGTGTCCCCGTGAACTAAAATATATCGCGTTGTTAACCGTTAAAGTGTTTTATTTAAAAGAAATTGAACTTAGCCAACAGATATAGCCTCAAAAAATAAATCGCGGAAGTTAGAAAAATTCTCACAATCCGAAGAACCAGCTATAAATGTAGTGCGGTATAAGATTTCCGTTTTTGTAGCGTTCATTACGTAAAAATATTTCGCGTGAAATATTAATCAAATAACGAAGAGAAAATTTCGTTTTATACCGGTGCCCTTGAAATTCTTTCCTTAAAATGTAGTCAATTAAATTAGATGTTTAGAACCCTACAATTTTCATGCAGGTTTGTGTCGACTGTGGCAACGAAACTATTGTAATGTTAGACGCAGTGTATTATCTCTGTTTTATTACAAATACTACTATAAAAGCGATATATCGGTTTCACGGTAACTTAATTTTTCCAAGTTCATAAAGTTACTGCAATGTTTTTATGAATCAGCAATAATTTTCGTTAACCAATGTTTTTGTACCTAATGGCGTTTACATTCTCTATGTAACTAGTTATAATATTTTCGCTTCGATTTCGAGTAGTTTCCTGACTGGCCTATATGTGGTCTTTGAAGTGTTACACGTCACACGCGACACGTTGATAAAACGTGCCGCGTCTTTATCACTGCCACTTAAGTGCGCACATTAGGATAAATGCATTTTCATTTTCAGTTCTGCTAGATCTTCATTCACCATTCCTAGATTTAATGTGATCACGGCAAATATGCTGACCTAATAAAAGACTGTGCATATGCAAGATATTTTCTGCGTATACACGATGTTCCGCATATGCACCGTCTAAATCGCGAACGGTTCACTATATTCGTCGGTTGTCAGTGAACCCGTAGAGGCTTCTCATTCGTAACTAGGGTTACATGAAATTAAATTAATGAGCTTAATAGCTAGCGTAGTCGTGTTGCGTGTTGCCAATATGAAATTAAGTGATGGAATACATAGATTGTAATTGAATTCTTAACTGCAAAACTTTCACGAGTGAGCTACGATTAATAGACATAAGAAATCAGATCTTCCTCCGCTAACAATAGGGTACACACTCGCTTTACGCTGTGTATTATCGTCGGGACTTAGTGAAATATTTGAATATCATATATATCGTATACTGTCTGTAGTTTACGCTAGTGGTACACATTTAAATAGAACACTTTAATGGTTTGAAACGCGATATATATTAGTTAAATTCATTTTAACTACGACTCGACGTTTCGGATCATTTGTGGCAGCCGCGGTCACGGGGAGACTATATTTGTCGTCTCTTTTTATCGCGTTTAAAACCGTTAAAGTGTTTTATTTAAATACCATTTATATCGTAGATCAAGTCACAACCACCTTAATTCCAATTTTAACAGCTGTCTATTGAGATTCTACTATCACTATTTTCAGATATAAAATCAAATATATCGCGACATACACATTTGATACATTTATACATAGTGTTATTTGGGAAATCATGTAATTAAAATGCAACATATCTTTTACGAGCGGCATCTCTTATCATTCCCTTAACTAGTAATGTCTTTAAGTATGTCAGTTGCAAAAAATGATTTTTACATTTTTTATCGAAGTACTTAAAGCCCGGGTAATTATTAATAATAGTATACTTTTAATCAGTTAAAATATATTACACATTTATATTTCAACTGATCAAAACACCGTGCAATCGATAGTATTGTTTAAGTACTTATTATAATTTGGAGTTAAACAGAATACATAATATAGATTAAATATGTATAAGTAAAAATCATTTTTGCAACTGGCCCCGTGTACTTACCAAGATATAATAGATATTATTTTCACGTAACGAATATAATTTTAACACTATCTTTAATATTTTAGTCACTAGATATAGATTCAGATGATCGATTTTTAAATATAAAAAGAAAATTAGAAAGTATTTATATTAATAGTTGTCTATTTTCCGTAGTTTGCCGTGTTAAAGTTAGTGTTGACAAACTTCGACAATATTTGGAGCGTTTAGATAGGATCTAACTTTATCGATATTAGATTAATAAATAGTTCGCGTACATGAACTGAATATAGTTTAATATTTCGCGGCGTTGTATCTGATTATCGACACAGTGGCATTCGATACTAAGTATATAAGTATCACATATAAGACGTATACATAACAAATTAAAAAAAAACATATTGGCTAAATTACCATGACTCGTTATTCTAATTCGATAACAAAATATTTTAGACCATGCATAAAAATAAAAAGACTGGACGTATGCCATGCGTAACATGATAACTCACTAAAATGTTAATATTAGTGAAGTCACTAGAATCAAGTGCCCTGTGTCACTAATTTGAAACCGTATCACTAGGTGTTATGTTTCCCCATGGACCGAACGGCTTAATTTAAGAGCCTAATAAATGTAGCATACGAATAAGTATCATAGTATTAAGGTGAGGTGATCTTTGTTTGCGACGTAGGAGTTTTTTCTATTTGTAAACTGACGGAACCAATGTACTAGGCTTAGCGACACTTAAGAGATCTAATTATATTCTAAGAATGTAGGAAGACTTACAAATAACGCATTTAACTCACAGAATACAGAACAAGAAACGGCCAGTGCGATAGAAACTGAGGCCGTCTCGTCTATTTTCAATCGGAGAGATTTTTATATCTAAATCCTATCCTAATATCAATAATATACTGGAGGGGGGAGGGGAGGGCGAGTCTGAACGAAGTATCCAAAGTCCACAATAGTGATTGAAAATTCCCTTCTGATTTGTTCTATATTCTGTGGTTTACTTGATCTGGCCTTACTTTCTTGTTGTACTGTCTAGCTTTTAGAGTTTAGCGATGGGAGTGTAGTGACGAAGTCTTATTCTTGTGCTATATATTATAGTTAATGTTAGACCCCTAATAATAACGATGTACAATAAAACACCCTCTCTGCCTTAGTGACGCTGTTCTTACCCCTAATGCTATTGAAATATCACGTTAGATTGAAATTATTATCTATGTACCTTGTAAATACGAATTCTAATGGCTGGTGTAAATTTATGAGCACTATGGAAATCTTTAATTCCTAACAATGGTCCAAACTTCACTCGCTTTTTTATTTGTACTATATGATTATACAATTTCTATATAGATAAATAAATAATGATAATTAGTATATAGATAACGTCTTATGCTTTAATTTTATTTTATAAATGTAATTCATGTATTTGACGAAATGCTTAATTTTCATAATCGAATTTTATGAGGAAAGGTTGATACCAAATGCAGTATTTTTATTTATATTCTACATCTTTGTACCCAAATAAAAGCAATAATCTAAATGACGCTCTTTTTTTCGCCCTGTTATTTGGAACGATAAAACGGTTCACAACAATGGCATTTTTTCAAAACCCAGACGCAGTATTTATAAACACAGCTTATCAGCTACCGATATAACTTCCTTTCATCACTTAAATATTTTCTCCATCGCTCTGGGATTCTGACAAAGTAGATTCAACAATGAAGTTATGCAGTTGCCTCTTGTTAATATGCGCCATACAAAATACGTTAACAGTAAAAGTCAAAGTGATAATGCATTCGGAAGAAGATTCGAAAATGGAAGACGAAGAAATGCCTCGCACAGAAAGTTGGAATTATAAAAAGAAAATTGAATTGACGATGTTACCCTTCTTGAAAAAGGCCTATAAACACGTAGCGGAGAAGCAAATCGACTATGAAGAAGATAAACCGACGACAGAAAGGTCGAGACCTATTCATCCGAACGAAATGATATTTCCCTTGATTTATCGACAAAATCACATTAATAGTATGTTCAAGTTTGGAGACAATTGGTACACTTGGTCGACGGAGAAACGGACGGACGGTTCGAAAGCTATTAACTACTACATTTGCTATGACGAACCGAAACATTGCGATGAAGTTGGATGGGTAATATTATTAAGATGTCCTTATAGTACTTCATTTTGCTAATCAATATAAAATCTAATAGACTGCTGAGTCGAGTTTTTGAATCAATAATTAATTGAGGCTGCTAGAGCTAGAGTGGCCTAATAACAAAAAACATGATTTCCAATAAGAAGGAAAATAAAAATGCGCAATCAACTTAGGCGAAAATGAATTTGTACTATTATTTGTGTAAGAATCATGTGTACGATTTTCGGTCACTGCGCTCTTGTAGATTAACGTTTTTAGACTATAAAAATAATTTGTAATAAAATTGCAGTTAGGCTACTCTGCCTCTAGCCTTATATTTCATGTCTAGTATATTTGATATGTTCAACAGGAACGCACAGATAATTTGCCGAAATGTGCTTTCCAAATAGACTCCTTAATGTCAGACGACCGCGCTTGCCTTAACACATTTGGAGTGGAGCCACATACAAACGGCGTATGCGACGGCGGTGAACAAATGAAGGTAGTTTTAACATCCAAGTACTAACAGCTGTATATTTAATCGTGTTATCGTTATATTAGTACAATTGACGAGCACCTTGGTCTAGTGGTAGCAAAGTAAAGCCGATAATAATCAACGAGTCATGGGTTCGATGTGGGGACCAACACGTTTCTAATCAATTTACAATAACAAAAAAATACATTTACAAATACACAATATTTTTGAAACATATTGGACTTCTTCAGGAAATCTAGATAATTATTTGTGAATATCGAAATTTCGTTCGGGTCACGATCTACAGATGAAAAAGCCGTGATGCTTAAGTGCGTTTTGGTCTGGATTTTCAAATATTTAGAGCCAACATAAATCGATAGCGCATCTTGCCAAGATCTTATCTGGATGGGCTATCAACCTTCCATCACGTAAACCCCACGTTGTCTGACCTCCTCTACCATAAAAAATATATATACTTTACCTGCGTTACTTTTTACAATAGCATCTAATGTAAAAGGTGGTACAGTAGGTACTACCGCTGTCGAGTTTTCCAATATTTTTGAAATACCCACCAGTAGGCGTCAGGTCTTTCTAACATAACAACATGTGGGTCTTGCTACTAATTTAGGTCAGCGATATCGTCCGTTCGTGCGGACCACGGATAAGGTCTCTGTGGCGTTTCTTCCGTGTTGCTCGAAGACCAGCTAACGCTGCAAAACCAGCCGACGTTAACTCACTTATATGCGAAGATGAAGAGGAATGTTATATCACTATCGAATACAGAGTAAGTACTAGTAGGTTTGACTATAATCTATGTTATTTCCGATATAGAGCTAAATTTAGGAAATACCGATTCGAATTGAAATTTTGTGTTGATTAGATCATTTATTGAGAAAGGCTTTAGGCTTTAATCGCGCTGCCACTAATAGAAGCGAAGAAACAGCGGGTAATCTTTTAAAATTAACTTGCAAGAATGACGGGACGCGAACGAAGTCATGATAACATTTAAAATTTATAAAGACGAGGTTTGAAAAAACAAATGTTGATGATCAAAATAAGGTCGCAGGCTCAGCTAGTTTGAAATAAAATTATAGTAACTTGTTATCGGGACATAAAAACGCATGTACGAGTTGTGTAGGCATAAATATTTAATTTATAATTAAATTCTCGGATATTTTCCTATCGGATATTGATATCCTTGGTAATTTGTTATTAGCTTATAGAAAACAATACTATTACTTCTGTTATCGTCAATTTTGTGCTTTGTTTCCAATATAATTTCTTGTAAGTGAAGTATTGAGTTTCACAAAATAAGTACAATTTGCACAATAGCGCTTGTCGGTTTTTTTGCAAATGTCTGAGTAATTATAAATCGAAAATAAATTGAAAAAATTTTCGACTCGGGCAGGACTTGAACCGGCATCGTCAGCGTTCAGCTCTACCAATTGAGCTACCGAGTCCTACACCTCATCGTCGAATTCTTTCAACTTATTGATAAATGCACCTCTCGCGCTATGTAAAATTTTTTTTCAATTTATTTTCCATTTTAAAATTATGTAGTGCCTTCATGTGCAAAATGTAAAAAAATATTAATGTTTTCAAATGTCTGAGTAGTTTGATCTGTAAATGTGTTTCATAAACTTTACAGATTCACCACGACCGAATAACCTTTTCGCTTCACGAACCAACGAGGGGACAAACTTTTAAAAGCGCTCTAAAACGCGACATTCTTACTGAGGAGGACAATAAAGTGATTGTCACTACAGAGCATCCTAGAAGTAATCACAGATCGAAATCTCGTGACGAAGAGCAACGGAAAAAATTCCACATGAGATCTAGAAAGAAGGTGCAAGAAGGCAAGGGAGTGCTGAAAGAAAATACCTCAGGATACGCACATAGAAGGACTCTTAAAAATAAAATCAAACTGAAAGACGAAAACATATCTGAAGATGTCTCCGAATAAAAGATACAATTTAAGCCGTTTTTATATTTCGTTTACCAGTAAAATTTAAATAAAACACTTACACGGTTTAAAACGCGATATATTACTTAAACTTATTTGAAAATGATTTTAAACTTCGGCCCGACGTTTCGGATGCTTTGCAGCAGCCGTGGTCACGGGGAGACAATAAGAGAGAGACTAATATATCGTCTAATAAACTAATATCGACTAATAAACCGTTAGTGTTTTATTTAAATGTGTAATACTCGCGTAAACTATAGACAGTATTTAGTATTTACCATTAAAATGTTTACTAGCTTACCTACACATTTGAAACTGCAGTTTATACATTACACGTGTAAAATAGTAGCGATGGCCACGCGAAAAAACCCATGGCATGGCAGCATGGCATATTGTTTAACTACAATATCTATACTTATATTATAAAGCTGATGTGGTACATTTCAACGTTTGGGAAAAATATCCGACTTTCTGATTATTCATGTTTTCTGAAATTTCGTACGTAATTATTTTTGTGTCCTTTTAATTCTTAATGATTAATTTCAGTATTCTAAACGCTAAAATAATAGGTATCGCAATAAACTTGACTGTAGAAGACGATTGGAATTAAAAAAAAAATGAACAAATTAGTTGAAAATATTTTCTCTTATAAATATTAAAAATTATTATGTTGCAGTTCTACTGCAGATATTTAAATAGCATCGAAAATCTAGAAATAGCTTAGGAACCGTATCCTAAGCTATTTTTAGCTTTTCACAACACCAGTGCTTAAATTCCTTCCGACTTACATGTTTATGTTGCAGTATCGAAAATACGTTCGGAACCGCCGTCGACTCGTGAAAATCCTGTGAGATTTAATCACGTCGGGGTTTCGTCTTTGTATTTCCATAAAAGCCAAAGAAAGATGCTGTTTTAGATGTTACGTTCCATCAAGTAAAATCTAAGCTTCTGTATAAAAAAAAACTAAGAACTTTACACATCTACAAATAAAAATATCGTGAATAAAACGAAATTATAGCTTCAAAATCATATTTATTGTATTGAAATATTTTAATTAATTCGAATTGAAACGTAATAATGACATATAATATACTCTTTATAAAAACTTCGAGGGTCAAAACAATGTCTTCTCAATAAAACAATAATCTTTTCTTAAAAGTAAGCTTAACCATTTGTTTTTTATTTATCCTAGTATCACTTTATTTACAGTTAATTCTCCTATAACGCTAAAACTTACACTCACAATATGCAGAAAAATAATGTTACTCATCGTCTTAAAATTTTAATAACATATTTATACTCAGTCTGCCCTTCTAAAATTCACTTCATTTCATTTCCGTTTAAAACCAAAACGATTTAAAGCCCGGCCTTATGTTTGTAACATCTTGGCGCCTTTGTGTCGAAGGTGCAGACGTATTAATTGTACCATTACAGGATTGTGGTTCACCGCTATGTGCCAATTTTCGGGTTCGTGGTATGAGCTCAGGCGGTGGAACCAGCGGCTTAACTGGCGCAGGAACAAATGGCGCACCGACTTCTTGTTTCTCTAATACCTTTAAATAAAACATGGTTTGGCGGTCAGAGCCTACAAATAAAAACTTTTATCTCGCAATGACGCATGAAATTGGTGTTAAAGAAACAAAAGATGAATAAACAGAATACGCAAGCCAGAACAAACAACATTTGAAAGCGTCTGTATAGATTCGTGTAACAGAGAAATACAAGACAAGAGATTGATAAGCTTTCCAAGAAGAATACGATTGTTATGAAACCAGGTATTTTTGTACAACAACTTGAATCTTAAAGATAATAATCAATGCATGTTACAAAATATCAAATGTTTTAGCACGCGGCGACAGCGCAGGAACAGTGAGGCGGTGGTCATGGGATGAGGAAAAGCAAAATAAACAGACAGCAACTCGAACAGAAAAACCAAGCGGAGCTAATGACGTCATATGCTTATGCTAATATACGTACTCGGGCCATTTCTTGATAACATTGTGACCTCCTCATCGGTGAATAGAAAACTTTCGGATATGGACTAACTTTATCAGCTCTCTAAAATATGTTAATAAATTCAATTACTAGAAATAAATTTAACGCGAAAGTAAATACAGACTGTGGCCTGGTATTACATACAATCTCTTATTAAATATGTTGCACAAATTATTCAACCAGACACATTTAAATTAAATAGAACAATGCGGTGTTCTTTTACAATTGTTTGGTAAGATTCCTCCGTTGGTGATGACATAATAAAACTGTTACTTGTTTATTTTTACTTGATTACTTTCTATATTTACATACATTTTGTTGGCTCCTGACGTAGCGTCTGTTGATCGCCTGAGGCGGAGCACAGGGTACTGGTTCGAATCTGAAAGATGATCAACCTGTATAATTGCTTTATTTTTAATGTTACTATGGATATCTCATTTCCTAACATATTGTACCAGATACTATTATATGAATAGGAAAATCACTGTTCATACAATCTATAACGTCGAAGCTGGCATTTCTTAAAATATTTAGTTTCTTAGAGTTGCGGTTCGGATTATAAGTTTAGAAATAGTAAAACAGTCACATGTTATAAGTAATCATCCGCAAAAAAAAAACTTTTTTAAGCATTCGTCACATGACACAAACGATTGGTCGGGCTTATGACGTCACTTGCTTATAAACAGCACTATAAACCACCGTGCTTCCTCGCGTTAAAACTGTTCTATTCTTAATAATAAAATAAATTATTAACACATTTTATTACTTCAATCTCTGTTAAAATGTTAACGTTTGATACAAATTGCATGTAGATTGTAGATCACATGATCGACATATACCAATGGCCAATATAAGGTGGTGACGTCACTAGCCGTATTGCAGCGTTATTTCGCAAAATTAGCGTTTAGCGCGCAATTTTAATGTTGGATTTTAAATTTGATATATTACAAATATGTTTCTTTAACATCTACCAAATGATATTTAATACATTTTGAAAATCAGTCAAATAGCCCATTCCTACTTTTTCACCAGATGTGTGTCAAGCGATGACATCTAGTTCTGATGACTGAAGGTTCCTAAAACTGAAGGAAAACGTGTGGCAAGACGATCTGTAATGCTTTGATAATTATGCATCTTCTTCTGACTTCTGGATGGTATACTTCTAACTTTTTTGGACAATAACTTACCTCTGAATGTTTCGGCCACTGAAACCGTCACTTATAAAATTCTTTTGTGAGGCAGTCTCCGGATGATAGACCGTTGCTGCGTCTAGGGGCAATTGACGACACTGTAACAATAAAAAATATAGCACTTAAACGAAGTTAGAACCGAACCACTTTAAATTAAAATTACAACCGTTTACTCAAACCAAGAACAAACTAGTCGCTAACGCATTATTTTCTGATGGGCTCGTTAGTTTTCCGTCCATCATGGGTCATGAACCACTTCGATAGATAAAAAGCCGTGAAATTTAATCACGTTTCGATTTGAATCTGTGGAATCTAAATATTCAAAGCCAAAATAGGTCGGCGGCGTATCTTATTTAGACGCCATGCTTGTCTGTCGTCCTATGTCATTAAAACACAATATTCTTACGGTAACATGTAACAAACAGGTGGAAATAACCGGTGTTTTATTAATTGAATGTTAATTCTGTATATCATATCTGTAATGCATGTAATGTTAACACCAATGGGTGTTTAGTTCAAAAATATGACTTAACGTCACTGAAGGATGGAAATATATGGGTATATTGAAATTCTACTGTCAATAATAAAAAGATATACAAACATTTATCTTTAGATTCGACTGGAATTTCCAAACTGAATAGTAGAAATTAACCTATTAAAATTACATATTTAAGTTCTTTATCACCCTTTGTAGTCTATACAAAATACTACAATAATATTGATTCGTTTTTAAAATCAAATATACAATTTAAATAACACACTTTAACGGTTTAAAACGCAATATATTGAGTACTACTAGCGTAAAATACCGACGGTATTCAAATACACTTACTGTGTGGATAATCTGATGTATTTCCGATAAATTTTCACTAAGGAAGGGAGTCATAGGTTGACAGAGGCCCAATATGGCTTGCATTTCCCTGGGGAGGGAATTGGCCAGATAGAATAACTTATGATCCGTCAGAAGATGCCTGTAACAGAAAGTTTTTGAATCAACATTACTTACATATTGTCATTTGAGGCTGCTAGAGGCAGAGTGGCCTAATAAGAAAAGATATGGATTTTAAATAAGAAGGAAAAAAAAATGTTTAGGTTGAATTTAACCATTATTTATTTGTGTAAAAATATTTTAACAATTTTCGCTCACTGTATTATTAGATTAACATTTTTAGACTGTAAAAATATAAGTCGTCATAAAATTGCAGTTAGGCTACTCTGACTCTAGCGGCCTCATTTGTACATTGTCTGTAGTTTAAGCGTGTAGTGCACGTTTAAATTAACAATTTAAATGAAAAACAAATACGTCGGGTTCGCGAACGTGTTTTATTTTAAATTAATAGTACTATTATCACTCATCGTTCGTCATTCTTTACCTCGTTTATCAAATGAGGTCCCCTAGTTCAAATCTCGTGGAAAAAAGAACACGTAGCATTAATTATATCGATTTTAGTGTGTGTAAAATCCCGTTTCCCCCTGTACGAAGGGCTAAATAAATAGTCTACACTTACTGCGAGTTTTCATCTAAAGCGCGTGCTTTTACGTCCCTCCATTTAAACAGTCGACGTAAGGCTTCCATTTGGCGTGGATACAGATAAGTGTCGTGGGGTATAAGGGCAAGATGGCTCTCGTCTGTAATCGTTGGCTTGGCATATATCTGCAAAGTTAAACATATAAAAATCTATCTATAGAACCTCATTAAAGCCGAGTAGTTTCGGACAATTCTTTATCGAATTACTAGAAAACATTCGATTCTTTTAATAGAGGATAACTGACACGCTTGGGGGGGGGGGGTTCACTTGATGGTAGGTGAATGTTTTGGTGTTATCAATTTGTTTTAGATTCTGATATTCAGAAATATGTATACAGAAAACCTAAACGCGATTAAACTTCACACCTTTTTTCACCTGTGAACAGTGGTTTCGTGACCCTAACAGAATTTCGATATTCCTACCGCCCATTTACTATCCAGATTTCCAGAAGCGGTCCAACATTTTTAAGAAAAACTATTAATTAATTAATAACTATTGCACCTCATGACCACGACATTAAAAAAAGTGAGTTTGAATTATTGAGGTCGTTTAGTCCATATATAGTCGACATATCTTTAACCCTTTGTCATCTGTGGCAACAACTTCATTCTATAAAAGGGCATCACTAGTCTATGGTTTGTAATCAGCCATATTTGTTTTGATCTTTTGCCAAGTTAGAAAAAATACACAAATATTATAACATTAGACAAATATAAGATTTAAATAAATCACTTTAACGGTTTAAAACGCGATATATTAGTGCAACTTATTTGAAAATGATTTTAAACTTCGGCCCGGCGTTTCGGATGCTTTGCAGCAGCCGAAGGGATTTAGTCGGGCCGAAGTTAAAAATCATTTTCAAATAAGTTTAACTAATATATCGCGTTTTAAACCGTTAAAGTGTTTTATTTAAATGTGTACTACTCGCGCAAACTATAGACAGTATCAAATATAAGACTTTAGATGTTAATTGCTATTTACCTTAGCACAAACAGCCTTAGACTCTTCAAAGACCATGATCAACCCATGCTCGCCATTCGTTTTAAGTATGTCCTTTTTCATCATGTGCCAAATATACAGGAGATAGTGTGTATCTGTCCTAGCATATTCTATCAGCTGGTCCGATAGTGGCCTCATTCGCCAATCAGACAGTCTTAAACTATAACATAAAGGGAAGTATTCATAACCATTCTAAACTAGCTATGTCAACGATTTCGTTCGCGAGGAATAGTTATTTTGGCCATCAAAACTTGGTTTTGCAAACCTTATCATTATAAACTTAGGCTGTGTTAGTTGTTACCCATGACGTCGTCTTAAAATCCACTAAAATAGACATCGCGTTTCGCAGCGAACGCATCGAGAATTCACAAATATGAACAATTTCCCCGTTTTTCGCATATTGCCCGCTGCTTCTCATCCTATTAGTCTCGGCGCGATAATTTACATAGCCTATAGACTTCGTCGATAAATGCTCTAACCAACACGAAAATATTTGTTCAATTCGATCCAGTAGGTCCTGAGATTAGAACGTTCAAACAAACAAACTCTTCAGCTTTATTTATTTGTATAGATTCCATATTCTAAATTCCATGGTTGATAGTAATTAATATAATATTGATATTAATTTAAAGAACCTCTATTGATTGTTCTTTATTAACTCTTTAGCTCAATTAACTGTATAAGTGAAAACGTAAATCAAGGTTTTAACATGTTATGACATGTTAAAACAAGACTACTATAATTTTAAAACTCAAATCAAAACACCGGATTATTGGTTGGTATAATATGTCTTGGTCCCTTGCGATCCCAATTAACCAGGTTTTATTGTACTTTCTAAATTAAAACACTTACTGTTTCATGGCCTGTATATCGCAATATTTCTTTAGAATGTATTCGTATGAGTTCCTGGCTAATCGCAGAGCTTTAGAGGCGAAGTATGTATCGACCATACAGACAACGAAAACGGAAAAATCCCTTTGCAGCCACAAGATATCATTTGATGCACCGTGAAATATCTAGAAATAAAATGATAAGTATTATTTTTTGATATAAACATTCAAGTTCTTCCCAAGTCGAAAACATTTTTCATTTTATATTCCATTTTAAAATTATATAGTGCCATCATGTGTAACATGTGAAAAATATTAAAGAGTATGTATCAATTTAAATAAAGAGAGTATATTACCTTAGTTATTTATGTTTTAAACTACTTACTTTTAGAATTTTAGAGTTCGTAAATGGTTCATTTAGTTTGTGTAAATGTTCACGCAATGCCAGTGCGTCTATAATATAATCTTTATGCTTGGTAGATATCTGAATGAGACACGTCATGCCTGAAAAATTATTGTTCCTATTGGTAAATTTGTTTAGATTTTATATGAATGGGGTATTTCAACGTTCAACGAGTAAACCCCAGTTGCTGTCCGCCTATATATATATATATATATATATAAATTGCCAGTATATCTTCTAAACGAAGCAACAGATAGGTATTAAAACACACCTAGATAAGAACGCAAATAATTATGCTCCAGATCAACAGCTATTTCAGTCACTTGATTGATGTCGGACAACATCAATTCTAATGGTTCCAGTCTATCGATGAAAATTAGAGGTGTCTCAGCCAGAGACCTCGGCCATTGCACAGTTTCTTCAGCAGCTAGAAAATTGTCAGGCAGCGGACATTTCTCAATATCTTCTGTATACGGGTTTCTGTAACTGATGACAATTTCGATTATTGGGAAGTCTTTAAAATTAATGCTTATCTAACTAGGGTATTGTATTAAGCTTCACTTTTAGTTCAATTCAGTTAAAAAAATAAGCATATCTAAGCTAATATTAAGCAAGATAAAAATTTAATAAAACAAAATATACTTTTTTCTCTTTAAAATTTTAAAAATCATTTAGATTGGTCAAAAATTTTTGTCTGTCTGTTCGTCGTGATTCTACGGAGTGTTCAAAAGAGCAATATAACTGAGAAGAACACCCAAGAAACTCATTTTGGCTTTTTTAACATGTCTTATAAACTAATACATTGTGAATTTATTAGCCTAGGGAGCAATCCATATGACTGCCAGGCGGTCTTGTCATTAAAAAAATCGTTCAGACAATAATGCGCTTTTTGAGACAATCTAAATTTTAAACTTTTTAAAATTTATATATCGATAAATTTGAAACCTCAACTGGTAAGGTATTATACATACGAATACTATTCCCCGCAAATGAATTAGATATTTTATGGAGTCTATATTTGGGGATAGCTAGGTTATCTTTATTTCCACAAGCAAACCGGAATTGAATGGGACATGGTGAGTGTTTGATAACCCAAAAAACCTCACTGCAAGGATCGCCCAGCCTTCTATAGGTATCCCCGATAGAAGATAATAATAAATACTATTCCTAATATTAACAATGTCAAACGATACAATAATATTAACAAACTGTTGATTTGGATCCTGGTTGTAAAACTTTGTGAAAGAGGCGAATTTGAACATCTAATAGGTACAGTATATGTAATGTAAGTAAAAATTACCCTTTTTAACCGTATTGACTCTGCTGGAACAGCAGTCCTATCAGTTATACCAACATTTAAACATATACACTTTAAAAATCAATAATAAATTAAAAAAAAAATTTGACTCAGACAGGACTTGAACCGGCATTGTCAGGATATATATTGTAGGATATCAGATACCGCTGATGATGGAAAAAATAATAAAGTTTTCAAACATATACACTTACCCAAGCACTTTACCCTCTGCAGATATATTCTCAACTATCAAACGTTCTTTGTTACTGTCCTTAATAATTTTAGGCATCCAAAGATTCTCTGAGTTATCGACTGGCTCTTTGAACTTTAGTTGAGGTCGCGGTATGTTAGTAGTGGTCACAACCTCCCGTTTGCAAACCTTAGAATAATAATAATATAAAATTTACACAAGTAAGTCCAGTTTATATTAAGAATGATTTGATTAATGAATTGGCTTTGCTAAGTACTCACTGTCAATGACATAGGTGTTTGTTTCATTAACTCTTCATCTGTTTTGTTTTTCTTTGTTATTCCAGCTTCTTGGTCCATTGCAATTTGAGAACGGTCTAACAAGATGTCGTTGCAATCTTTCAGTAGATCAAAGTTCCCTTCAGGATCATCTCTGGACAAGCAAAAACAAACTCACATACATTTAAAAATTTCAGTAGAAGGTAAAAATATAGCTTAAACAAATATTATCTTAGGGCACAGCATGCACAGTAGAAAGTACCTTTTAGGTTTTTCTCTTACTACATCGAGAAACTCTAAAATGTGATTTGACATCAACGATACAGTATTTATAATTTGTGATGTTACTTCATTGTAATCTGAAGCAGCCGTAACATACACTGAAGGCATTCTATTTGCAGTCCGTACACAACCCTGGATAATACCCTGAAGCTCCTAAAACAAACAAGTAATGATAACGCTAAATAGCTAAGATACAAATACTAATAAAAAATTCAGAACTATAAGTGCATATATAAAGGCTGTATGTATTTTATAGTTCAAGGATTATTAAATAACCACTATTTATTAAAAAATAAAACTGCGATTAAAAATATAAAAACTTTTCAGTATCAAAAAATGTAGTACTTGAAAATAAAAATGTCTATATTCTTAAATTCTTTAATTAAATTTAGTGGGAATTGTTTCGAGTTTCAATTATTTACAACTATCAAACAGAATATAAAAATACAGACATATGCTATTGTTTGAGCTTATATGTATATGTTGATATTGGCTGGCCATAATTGAAAAGATATTAAGAATGTTCTATTCTCTATTTGAAATTTACTAGATATTGTTTTATGTTATAAAACAAATCACTTCTCTTCTAAACACACTGTGTGCAACGTGTTAGGATTGTTGTATAGAGTGATGGTCCAAATCGAAGTGAAAATGCAAATTGTATATATAAATCTGAGAGTAGGATGTGTTCAGAGATCAGCTTTCACCAAATTATAGATAACCAACCAACACCTATAAACAGCTTTTGACTTAAAAACGTTTGTCAGATTGAGTTTTCAAATGTGAGATGTTGAGATTATTTCCTCGCCTATTTGTGCATTTGAGGTGACATTTAAAGTGAATCCTAAGACTTTACCGGAGATTGAATAAGAAACAATGTACCAAAACTGTCCACAAAGAGGTGTGTGCAGTGTAGTAGTGTCTGAAGAACCAAGTTGAATAACATAGAAAAACAGTTCTAGATTAAAACTCACCAGATCAGCATTTTCAATGGATGGGGTAAACTCCGACGCATCAGGGTTCAGCACAGAAGTGATCTTAAATTTGAGAAAACATAGTTGCAGGACGAAGAAATATAAAAATGTGTTAAATGTTATACAGGGGGAATCGCAAGAGGAATTATTACTTTGCTTTAATGTGTTTTACTTTTATCAAAAATACAAGCACTTTAACCACCAAATGTGTGGTTTCGTTAGGCAAGTAACATCTCTTAAAAAAATAGTAGTACTCTAGCAAGTAAGTTTCTTAAAAATTATCATATACAGAAGATTTACATTAAGAGCCAGACACGAATAGAATAAAAATATCCGTAAGATTTGTTACCTTAAGGTAACAAAATGGTTTTAATAATTATGGATCTCTATGGATATTCTTTACCCTGTTAATATGCAAAAACAATGTATTTTTTAGCATTTGTCATACATCTGCATATCAAACAGAGATGAGCATAACGGTGACAATTGAACCAGGAAGAAAACTTGAACCCCAATTATGCAGTTCAGAAGAATAACTCTTGGTACTCACCGCAGGACCATCTTCATTTTTCACAGAATCCATGTTGAATTGAACAATTGAAGTTAATGTCTGTAGAGCCTCCCGTGACCGTGACCACGGCTGCAAAGCATACGAAAAGTAAAGCTGTAGTTGACTATTATAATTCGTGTTTTAAAGTTGTATTATTTAAACTTGTTGAATTTGGAAAATCAAAATACGCTGCTGTCACACTATAACCCCCGTTAAACAGTTTTGATTCAAATATGCTATGAAAACTAAATTACGATACAAACGTGTTTATTCTACTTGCAAATAAGTCAGTTTTGTCAATAAATATGAAATTTAATAGTTGATTATAATAATAACCGGTAATAAATCGATGAATCATTATTACAATCGTACCTTTTTTAAAATAGATCACTTTACAAACACCCGCATGGCACGGCAAAAACAGTGGGAAACTCGAGAAAGTGCACTGAGAAATTGAAGAAACAGATAATAGAATATAGATTGAACACAGACAATCAAGATTTAGGTCTGAGCCCACAGATGGTTAAAGGCTTAGGCTAAAAATGAGAAAGAGGATGAAACTTAGATTATTAGATACTAGCTGTGTCAGCGACTTCGTCCGCGTAGAATAGTTATTCAGGGCAGAAAAATGTTTTTTGCTGATCTCCTCTATATATTTATTAATATAGCCTCTCTGTTACCCACGACTCGCCCCGTCGTTTTTCTAAATTAATTATAAAAGATAGAAATCACCTTCGCGGAATTTTCGAATCATTTAAAGCGGAATTTTTCTATCATACATACTTTTTGGGATCTTGAACCGTTTTTGTAGCGTGCGCAACGGTAACACAAGAATGAATAAAATTCCCGTTTTTTACACTTCCCGCTGTTGCTTTGCTCTTTTAAGTCGCATAGCGATGTTTTATTTATAGACTTCCTCGTTAAATCTTCCTCGCTCTAACCAACACAAAATAACTTTTCGATTCGAACAAGTACTTCCTTAGATTACCGCGATCAAACAAACTCTTCAGCTATAAATACTAATAATTTTAGATATATCATCGAAGAATATAAATATATACCAATATTATATCAAAATTACTTAAAGATATGATATGATTGTATACGAATAAATATATTTTCATCATTGAGGTTATTAAAACAACACTACATCTGTGGATATAAACTGACAACTAGTAACGGTAAAATATGTTTTAATTTGACTTTGACAGTAGTTAAATATCATATATCAATATTTACAAAAATTACAAATGAAACTACAAATTGTCATAGTGTAACCCAAAGGTTTACTGGTATAAAATATGCAGGCTTCTCTAGGTTAAATCATCCCCGATCCTTTTCAAACTATGTTTCGTTGTTAATAAAGTCTCCTTATCTTCAGATATGGAGGTATTTCACCCTGAGCAGGTGTGGCATGTTATTCACGTCATGAAAACAATGCTGTCCTACATTGGAACGCATTCAAAATAAATTTACAAGATGACATGGCTTTATAGTGTATATCCCTACTATCCATGACGACATGTTTCTTACAGTGGCATTCAAAAAGTCTCTTTTCGGCCTAGAGAACGCACAAATTTGTTGTATTTCCAACAGGGCAGTCGCAAAAGCAACACTTTTTATATTATATATACATTGAATAGTTATGTACAGTATATCCGATACTAAATAAAAATTTTAAGACATGTTGACTTGGTTTTTTCCTATTAAGATGTATGCAAGTAAATAAATGAAAAATATCTCATTTTTCTTTCATTTCTCAATTCTTTATATTCCCTGACAGGTGACGGAAGGTTACAGGGCAGAATGGTTTATATTTATCATAATAATGAAACATATCAGATGTATGTTTTGCACAAAAGAGTGAAGAACCTTATGGTATTAAATACATAGATTATAATAAAATGCCTACACATCTTCATAAAGCTCTGCATATCTAAAAACAACCAAACTAACTTGTACAATACTTAAAATTGTTATTACACATACATATAATATAAATAGAGAAACTAACTTCGATTTTCAAATTTTATTAGCTTGTTCTAAATATTATTACACTATCTATACAACTGTGGTATACATAAAGATACTTAGGGTTTACGCACAACTGTATTAGCTCTGGTGTAGCTCACAACAGATATGTTAGGAATAGGTACAGGTATTTTTGACATATTGTGGTTAAGAGTTAACAGAGGAGGCAGTGAGATGGACTGCAAACCACCATCAGTAACAAAGGAGGCCTTAGTTATGTTGACTGGAATACTGATATCACGTTGAAGTCTAGAAACACTCTGATTTGAGTTGCCTGGAACAATGACAGAAAGATTATTTACCTGAAAAAGTATTTACAATGTACAAGCATTCTAAAATATTATATTATATTTAGTATCGTTATAATTTAGATGCTGCTTTTCAAAACTTTATTGGTAGTCCCGCCTGTGTTAACTTTGTCAAACTAAATATTTTTTTTTTATATCAGGTTTTCTTATATTATTATAAAATTTTCCTGTTTTGGGTAACACACAACACATTTCATGCCATATTTTTGACTGCAAATTACACTTAACTCTTTCTAAACTATAAAATTGTAAATCTAGAGTATATAGTAATTCTATCAATTATGTCAAATTAATATATGCCTGGCTAAACATAAAAAAATGTTTGAAAACTTTAGTATTTTCCACATGTTATTGCACATGAAGGCACTATATAATTTAAAAATCGAAAATAAATTGAAAAAAATTTCGACTCGGACAAGACTTGAACCGGCATCGTCAGTTTTTTCAACTTATTGATACATGCACTTCTAATTTCAACCTTAACACTTACGTATTAAGGAGGTTGCGTATCGAGAGGTGCATGTATCAATAAGTTGAAAAAATTCGACGATGAGGTGTAGGACTCGGTAGCTCAATTGGTAGAGCAACAGCACGGAAAGCTGACGATGCCGGTTCAAGTCCTGCCCGAGTCGAAAATTTTTTCAATTTATTTTCGATTTTTAAATTATATAAAAATGTGTAGCCAGGTCTTACTTCGTTTCTTCTCCTATTAAATTTAATCCATACTAAGCACATATGATATAAGTTGAGTGTGAACAGCTATATCCAGATTTAAAAGTTCATATTTGGGTATGATGTGGAGATTGTTAACACTATATTTTTTTAAAAAATTTTTTTTTTTTTTTTTTCTCTCCTTTTTTTTCTTGGTATTGCTAAATCAAAGTATAGTGTATAATCTCACCTAATCTTGGCAATTTCATCAGTGACCACGGCTGAGAAGTATTGCCGGGTGCAAGTCCAACAATATTTTCAGCAGTCACATTCGTTACCAACGGTGCTGCCAGCTTGTTGAGGGTTAGGTTTGAACCACTCTGTCGGTAGAAAGTAATCGCTTCTTCACGGCCACTGGAAGAATATGAAATTTAGATATTCATTGTAAGGCAAAGCAATACTAGGATGTACTAGAAAATAACATATTTATTTTATTTTATTTACTATAGCTTTATTATTTATGATACACACCACAGAAAAGAAATATGAATGAGGATAAATCTTATTAAGAATAGCCTGAAGCACAGGAGAAATATATAAGGACTTTTTTAGTTGGAGAGTGTAGAATAATAAACAAAGGTATATAGTAAAAATTTACACACTAAGCAGGAGAGGAACTAAATTTACTTACGATTTAGGTAAATCGTTGTTCTCACTGTTATTGGTTAAAATACCAACTTGATATACTGTGGCACGTACGACATATCTAAAAACATATTCAAAGTGCTTGGTAATGGTAGATGGTATTGTTTTTATTTGTAAAGCAACCAACTGCTCGTCTTACAAGTACACAGTGAGTTCATCACATTATGGGTCGATCTTTATAATTTATATCGCGTTTTAAAACGTTAAAGTGTTTTTTTTAAAGAACTTACATGTCCTTTGGGTCCGTAGCATTTGTCTTCTGTAATTCTTCACTGAACACCAAGTGGACGAGCAATGTTGTTAGAAAAATTACCTGTATTTAATATTTACATATTTCGTTTATAAAGCACTACTTAAAAAGCAACTTAAAGAACCATACAAATATTCTGAAAAACGTACAACGGTTGCTTAAATTGTATGTAGGGTATGGGAACTTACAAAAGTGTAATCCATTTTGAAAATTTTCAATCAAACAATAAATTAAAAGTGACAGAAAAAAAAATTGGGCATTGTAAAAAGACACTTCTGGAGATTAAATAAAATAACATTCGTATTAATTCTTCCTTTATACCATCCGTAAATGTTTAGCAGTTATATGCGATGTTTTTAATTTAATTAGATTCAAAGATATAATAAAATTATGCTGCAATAGACACTATAATGAGTTGCATAGATTTTTCCTAGGATTTTCGAAGGCCGTTATTATGTAATATGAATGGACAATAATATTTTAAACGTTGGAACTTGTATAATATAGAATAAATAATCAAATAAACTTAAAAGCTTCTTAATAAGATTTAAGAAATGAGGGTGGTTGAAAATTTTAAGAAATGACACTTAACAGTTTTGTATATATATGAGTCGTTTGTGATAAATAATCATCGTAAGTTATCATCTCTTCGATTGTTACAGATTAAGATGATTCAGTTTACATTGGCAAGCGTTTAAAGCAAAACATATTTTTGTTCGCAGTGTACCAACAATTTTGATAATGCGGGCCATATTCACTGTAGCTGGGATCGCCACATGCGTAAGTACATATATTTTAGAGTTATAATTGCTCTATATCATTTCTCTTTTAAAATTCAGTAGTCCGCCTTTACGTGACACGTGGTCGGTAATGTTTGTAAAATCATTTGATTACGTTTCTAATACAATTCATTTATTGGATATCAGCGTTATAACATCGAAAATCAATTCAGACATCTTGGAACTTATAGGTACCTGACCTAAATCATTGTTGGTGTTTAACACATTTGACAATATCATTAAATAATATTAAAAATGGCTCCATCTTAGTGGTCATTGAACATTTCACTTTTAAAACGTTTATAAATTAATAATACAATTTGAACTATACTCCACTACTATCATACTCGTACGTAAAGTTTGGCGAAGTTATAAAATTATTATTTCAAAAACTAGAATAAGTTTCTACTGTGAACCATTATCAGACAATGCCATATCTTTTTGTTTAAAAAAAATTGTTTAGTGAAATACTGTCTGTAGTTTACGCGAGTAATACCAATTTTAACGGGTTAAAACGCGATATACCTATGTATCTGTTAAACTTGATAATCATTTTATCTACGGCCCGACGTTTCGGATGCTTAGCAGCAGCCGTGGCATTACAGTAGTCTCCCCGTGACCATATATATCGCGTTTAAAACCGTTAAAATGTTTAACTTAAATTGTATAGTGTAGATGCTTGTGCTTCTCTCATTTTAGGTCTCCATACTTTTTATAATATTATAAATTGTAACTTTAATGAATTCAGCAGAAGTATAGTGGTTTAATAGTTGTTAATATTACTAAATACTGTCTATAGTTTACGCGAGTAGTACACATTTAATAAAACACTTTAACGGTTTAAAACGCGATATATTAGTTAAACTTATTTGAAATAAGTTTAAGTTACCGTTAGAGTGTTTTTTTTTTAATGTTAATATTACTTTTAAATTATAAAACTTAAGGTTGATTTTAAATAAAAAGATAATTATTTACAAAAAAGCTATAATAGAAGAACGAAAATCATTATTTAGACATGTGATAGGATATTTTGTGTTCATCTAGGAACCATATTACAACAACCTTTTCTGTCTGACTGCCTCTCAAACTAAATCTTATGATTTGATTTGCACTAATTGTGTACATCTATTGCTGCTCTATAAATACAATTAGTAAATAATATAAAAGGGGTATCCTATACAACACAATACAATGCGTTTTTTTTATATTTTAAAACATTAAAGGTACGTAATAAAAGAAGTCACAAATAACAGTTAAGTTTTTCTGTCATATTATTATAAAACAAATAATGAAGTGTAGCATGCCTTATGAATTATGAAGTACTTTTTTTTTAATTATTATTGAATCCTTACACCTTTGCCTAAAGCTTTTCATGAGAAATATATGTTTTTATTTAGTTGAGAATAGAGTATCACATGAACATGAGTACAAATTTTATAAGATACACAAACTAATGATAATATATAAGAATTTTTCTACCGGGTTCTTTTAGCAGTCGACCTGTTTTTTATTTGGGTCAAAATTAGAAATTGAAATTTGAGCACCTTCCTGATGTCAGATTGATCTGAAATCAAATCAAAATTATTATAAATCCAAGACAGCCGCCGATACAAAATGGCGGATTACATATTTTTCCTTAACTCCCTCAATATGGGTATCAAATGAAAGGGCAAGTAAAACACGATGATTGTGTCAAATGTTTTTTTTTTAGTTTTCAGTGCACATAAAACCGTTTAACTTAAAAGTTTCTTAACCATTGTATTTTCTACATGGAAATAGGTCCAGTTCTAAATAACGTCATCTTAGCCCATCTAAATGGGGACATGAGAATTTGTTATCATTATTAATTTCGAATTCCTAGATAACTCTTTCATATCTGCGCGTCGCGGACGTATGTCAAATATTCTCATATCGCTCTTATGAAATTATGATAGCATTTGATACTTTCTAAAGTAACGGCGATAATAAATAGAGATACCTAACGAAACTATATACCTACTTTCTATCAATTTGTACATCCTTGGAGAACACCCATCTAGTTGTAATCTATTTATTTAATTATTATTGATTGCACAAAGAAATAATAATAATACAGATAAAGCGTATATGCTAGACTGGAGAGCAAAGCCTTATCGCCAACAAGCGATCCCTTCCAGGCACCCTTAATTTATGAAAAAAATATAAAAAATGTGATAATAAAAGAAAAGAAACAAAAAATTATAATAAATAAGAATATACAAAACTTAAAAATAAAGACATACACACCAGAAAAAATATAATAGATAAAGAAAGAAAAAGAACAATAGATAGTGTCTTTAGTCAGACTTTTAAAAGATGGGAGAGATCTTAAACAGCCATTCTTATTTCAGGCCCTGAAGGTTTGCGATTTTAAAATAACCTTTATTTCAAACTGTATAGTATTATAAATTGAGAAGTAATAGTTCGATTTGTAGACTAAACAAGCGGTAAAAAAGTAACTTAATTTTATATATCATATATGTATATCATTACATACAAACAACAATAACAAAAGCAACTAAAACATTAATAAACTATTTTTTGAAACACTTTTTGGCTTATCAATCACAAACAAACACACTTCCTTATATAAATACTAATCTTTTCTCTCTATATTAAAGAAAATTAATTGAAATAGATATTTAAAGAGGGAACCACACCATTTTACCGTTTTATTACATACTACATTATTAAGTTACACTTCACTTTAATTCGAGTACCTACACTGCTCTATATTTCTTTCATAAGGTTCGCTGAAATAATAATTAAGTTATTATGTTGTATGTCTTATTTACTACTTTTTTTAATGATAGAGGAGGTCTGTCCTCTTAGCATGAGCTTCGCTTGAGGTAATATACCACAGCCTATAGCATCTAAACAAGATGACCACATAGAATGAAACCAAACGCCATGAGTTTTACGGTGTTTCATCTGTGGACGGAATTTTATATTCCTACCACCCAATTAATAACCGGATTTCCAGACGAAGTCCAACATGTTTCAGAAAAATTATAAATCGAAAAATTAGAAACATAGATCGCAGCCACAAACCGTTGATTTTTAGCCATACACTTATACATTAGACCAACGAGGCCGCCAATTGTACTAAATCAAAGTTAATGTTTATAGGTCCAGGCAGGGGCGCAAGTTGCAATGTGTATCCTCCTCCTAACACAATATTTCTGTCTGGTGGATTTCCTAGAAAATTTGTCACCTCATATCTTCTTATATGTGAAAATCCTTTACTTCTCAAGTAAGTGGACGTCTCACATAAGTAAACGACTTGCCGTCGAATTTTCAATTCGCGCTTGATAATTATTATCTGTCGAACAGTAGTGTTACTATATCGTTCATTAAAAACGCTCTCCTTTAAGTAGTATGATGCTCCTGGAGCCAGTGCCAGAGTGCCTAATAACAAAAAAACATGATTTTCAATAAGGAGAAATATAAAAATGTACAACTAACTTATGTGTAGAAATTAATTTAACAATTTTTGCACTTAGGCTATCCTGGCTTTAGCGGCCTCATATTATACATATAATATATTTTCAGACCCGACCCATTGCGGAGGACAAATACCAATCGGAAAAATACCAGATGTAAACAGCCAAGCATTTGTATACCAGAAAGTAGAACCGTTTACGACCACTAGGATTTTTATCTTTAATTGTGTGTACATGGCCATTGGCTGCTTATGGTTCTTAACAAGTGCTTTATTGCTTAACTGTAAGTAATTTCTTCTTTGAATTTGAATTAACAAAGTAGTTTTAACGGATTAGGGTCTGATAATAAGAAAATTGCCCCACCTCCCCTTCCTTGGTGATATTATGTATTTGTGTAATGTACTCCTTACGGGTCGTTTAAATCAATACATACATATTGTTAATATCATGGTATGAGTAAGTTGTGTAAAATAAATAAAACGCACGAGCACGACACACTGAAGACAGAACGACAAACAGAAGAGGGCACCACTTTTAGGGACAGCAAACGCGGGCAACTTGAAGAGAGTGCTGCTGTATGATAGCAAAACGTAGGAAGTCACAAAAGATATAAACCAAAAGACCTAAGTCTACGTGCACCAATGCCTATGGCAGACCATTAGCGCGTTTTGAAAATATGTCTAACGAATTTCTGGAAAGATGCTGAGAAAGTCTAATACACTGCTAAATAGTGCGTCGCAGGTGGATCCCAACTTACTTCAATGATAAGCAACTCCTTGTTTGACATTGTAGTAAGTTGGGGTTTGCAATTAGTAATTTTCTTAACTGTTATAAATTAATTCCTTTTTTTTTTAGTTCCTGCTGGTGCAAAGCGATTGCCGGTGCGCTGGCCATGGATCATCATGACGATAGTTTCTTGTGCAGTGGATGTCGTTTCCGTAATTTTCTTGTCAAACGACTATATTTTCACCAAGGTAAGTTATATTTCTCTCTTTGTAATAAGTGCCCTCAATACTCCTATTGTTACCGTTAATATGTTAATATTATAAATATGAAATTATTAATATACACGCCCCCCACATCAAAACTCTTTCAAAAAATTCATTGTCAAATATCAAACGCTGAGCATAAAGAATTAAGGGTACCTACATAGTGAAGCATTTTTCTGTCGAACTCAACAGAAACTACATCTCTAATCATGTAAATCGTTTTACTTGTTGACAGTTAAAATCTTATTTTCTTTAAAGCATTCGAATGCTTTAAACCCCGTTATATATTAGCAACTTACTTGAAAATTATTTTAGCACTACTTTACTACTACTTTACACTACGTTTTACTTAGCAGCAGCCGTGGTCACGGGGAGACTTTGAAATAGGTTTAACTAAGATAAGTGTTTTATTTAAATGTGTTCTACTCGCGTAAACTACAGGCAGTATTTCTTATTTTCTGTTCAGACACTAAATGACATGGTAACTTACATTGGAGCTACAACGAGCGGTCTGGGGAACGTCGTTCTCGACACCAGAGGAGCTTCACTATTGATGATAGCTCTCTGTGCCAGATTCGGCGTTTTCTTCGTATTTAACATCGTCCTTGTAATAGCCGTGGCGATTAAGCGAATGCCGGTAATTGATGTATTCGATATTTCACATTCATTCATTCACTCTTTTCTCAATATTTTTAAAATGTCTAGGTCATAAGAATTTCTCTATCTAATTTGTTAATACGAAGGTCAAAGTGTAAGGTCTTAAAAAAAAAAAACTGGTAAAATCGGCAACTGTTTTCCTTTATATTATTTTTCCAAAATAGTGTCCATAAAGAGTTTCATTTTCAAAATTTTAACCATTTTTTTTATTATATTGCTTCCAAGTCGCCAGTTCGAAATTTTTCAGTGTAGCCCACGAAACCGAGTAACGAATATATTAAACAGATGAATTTGTCTAATATTTTTTTAATATCACTGTAAAAGTTACATGAATCTTAATATGAAATCAATACATACTTGACGTTTAACTTCAGCGGTTTAAAATAAATTATATTTCAGGCGACGCCACGACCGACACCACAAGAATTGCAAGAAACAGCCCCTACTGAGAATCTGGATGATACATTTACACAACTGAACGACACTTACATAATAGAAGGCAGATCTAACACTTCGGAATACGAACTATCAACTCCGAAAAAAGTTGAAATTCCACGTGTACATCGAAACATGAACCCTTTATATAAGTAAGTAATAGGATCGTTAATTGTGTGTTTTATACCATCTTATATTCAAATCTTCAAACTGATCTAAAAACACGTTTAATTCTGGAAAAAAAAATTATTGAATGATCCCAATAATATCTTTACGCTTCTTTCGCGTTCATTACACTTTTTTTTAAGCGACCACAAATGTATAACTATGTAATATATATTATGCTTTTATTATATTTTTCACTCCCATGACTTCGTCGTTTATGTTTTTACGGATTTGGAAATCTAAATTTCGGAAATCCTGTTTCGATATCAGACCAGAGGAATGGAGGGTATAAGATTTTCATTTTGTACCTTAAAGCACTACAATTTAATAAAGGTGTGGAGTAGATTTGATAGACAGTCGAAGGAACTCACTTAGAGCAGCTAACTTGTGATGGATCTCAAATTATTTGTATTGTTAAGAACTTTGTATTTAGATTGGTTGTGACTTTCACTAGCAGACCCATGATGGTTGCGAGCAACCGAACGATGCGAACCCTCAGTGATTTATAATAGCTATGGTAGAATAAGCATCATATACAGCATATGAATTCTATAAGCAGGGTATGTGCATGTATAGACGCAAAGTAATTTATCTAGAAAATTATAATAACTTTATTTAATTAAATATAATAATTTTTGAATATATTATATTATTAACATTACTTTATTTAATAATTAAATTTTAAAAAATTACTTCGTACAAAGTAAAACGGACTTGAATTTAGTATTAAAGTTTAGTATACCGTTTCTAATACGCACTATTTTCTTTCTATGAAATAAGAACGCAGATATCACCATCGATGTCGTTGTCGCCCATTGTCGCTCTATCGCCTCAAATTGCACCAATGTCGCCCCAAGTGCAAATTTCGACTCCGGCAATCAAGAGAGATAGGAAATTGCAACGTTTGCATCAGGAACTGATAGAAAGTCGTAAGTCTATAATCTATATTATTGTTCATAGACAAGCTGTTATATTCTACTACTTTTTGTCTACTGCTTGTACTATTTCATATTCTAATAAGAAGAAAAGAGTGAAGTGAAAATAAGACTTGGCTTAAAGGTCTCGTTACCAGGTCATTAAATATTAAAATAAAAAAATTAATATTCTACCATCACAATGGCACAGATTCTTTCTGAGGTAGGCACTTTTAATGTTAGTAGGTACCTAGTCACTACTTGTTTGTTTAAGGAGTAAATTTTATGACACCTGTTTTGTCACTTGCCTGTAAATGAATGCCCTTGAATTGCTAGACTCTAGAGTGTAGATTCGGGGACACGGTTCAAAGGGGTATAAATCCTAACCATTAGAATTACATTCGTTATGATTGAATGAAAATATAAAACACTTGAAAAACCTTACAGCATTTTTCTGCAAGAGAACTGTACTATACTACGCTAAAGACCTACCAAAGGTCCGCATTACCACTGAAAAGGAGTTAAAACATGATAAAAATTATAATCACTATCCTTCGACCTCTGCCGATACCAACAATGAACAGAAGTTTCCATTTATGAATAGTTCATTCAGAGCACTAGTTGAGACCAACTCCGAAGTCGTGGTTGGGGAAGACCACACAATCATTGATGGACCCCAGACGAAAGCAAAAAATTTTAACAATATAACATTTTAATTCCACGAATCTGGTAAGTAATGGCATCTTAGTAGCATACCTATATGAATAAGTTAAGTTAAGCTCATATTACTGCCAATATCCGTCATCTAGTGAAATCTTTTTATATTAGGTACAATGTTATTAAACTTTTTCTTTCCATCCTTGTAGATATTACATTTTTATACTATGTCTTTAAACATGTTTTATAAAGATCAGATTCTGTTGAATTATGGTATCTATTGAATATTGGTAGTAAGTAGTGTAATACATTTTCGTTGGTGTTGAGTTCTAAGTGTACTTGGTTGCTTTTAGCAATGACCTTGTTTAAATGAAGACGGTCTCTACGACACAAGTAAAATTTATTTATTATTGTTACGTTTTTGTTCAACTACTAAGTTTATTTCTATTAGTATAATCTTATTGCTATTGTGTTATGTTATGACAAACTTTGTGCTTTGACAATCCAAACATTAACCACTATGTTTATTGTGACAAAGTTTCTTCATTTGATTTAGTTAAATGAAGTGTATACTTGAATTATTAATTTATTGAATCAGATACTTCTTTGGTAATAAAAGAAGAAAAACTGAAAAGACGTTCTCTCCGTTTCTTATTTAGTCGCCTCTGTTAATCTGAACAAAAGGTAACATATAGCCATTTCCCGTTTAGAAGATTTCTCATTGCTATAACGCACATTTATTTGAAATTTACAAATTTAGTTGGTTACCATTTTAATAAGGCAATAAAGTAGGCATACGTTTAAGATGAATTAGGGAGAGTTTTATTACATTTTTTCTATCACACTTTTTTATCTTTTTTCACAAATCTTTTAATTTTTGTACGTCTAACTAAAAAAAAAATATTCATTATGTTGCGATGATGTTTAAGAATATATCCCAGTCAGGGTCCTGTTACATCTTAATATTGAGATCGGATACCTACTGCTGCATGTAATCAGATTAATTAGGTTGTGTTTTAAATTTAGTTTCAAATTTTATATTGCTAAAGTAATTTATATATTGAAATTGCGTTATTATAATAGTTATCAGATTATAAGAGGACTTGAGAGTGAAACTTGTTTAAAATATATAAGAGCAAATATAATCTGTGATAAGTTTGGCAATTATTTTTCTTTTAAATAAAACACTTTAACGGTTTAAAACGCGATATATTAGTTAAACTTATTTGAAAATAATTTTTTAACTTCGGCCCGACGTTTCGGATGCTTTGCAGCAGCCGTGGTCACGGGGAGACCTCACCCCGGGGGAACCGTTAAAGTGTTTTATTTAAATGTGTACTACTCGCGTAAACTATAGACAGTATTTAATTATTTTTCTTGTATGTAAATTAAATGTTTGTTTGTATTATTTTGTAAAAGTAATTATAATTGAGACTGAAATTAAACATATTATGACTATTCACTTTTGTGTTTTTACTTTTTCTGTGTGGGTCTCTCTTAGGAATGCTTATTTTTCTCAATCATAGTACCAAAGTCATTTGTAATATAATTTAACCGTTAAAAACCGTACAGTTAAATAAAGGTAAATTTAATAAGCAAAACAAAACATTGTTATTTAAATAAAATTGCTAAAATCTATATTTTTGTAAATAAATAAATAAATAAATATTACACCAAATTGGATACCTCACATTATTTATAATGCAATGAAACCATATCTGTTGTAAAAATAGTTTTATTGACTCACAGAGGGCTATTTTAGTTTAAAATTTTGGTCAATTTTAACTATTTTGCAAGAAAAGATATTTTTTATAGAAGAATACCACTCATAGAAAATCGCATTAATAATTATAAACCGAATATTGCCAACTATTTTAAGTACAGCTTCTATTTTTTTTTGAAAAATACCCTGACACTTATGAACTATAAGATTCATTTATATGGAGGAATTGCAGTGAAAATTAGTTTTTTTGTCTTCCTCTCTCTTTTTCCCAACCACATATCTTCAAATTACAAACGGCATCTTATCAAACAAATCTTACAGGTTTATAGATTCTCGGCGGCAATTAAAGGGTCGACTATTTTTCATTAGCAATGAAAAATAGTCGACCCTAAGGGAATCTCAAGAGGAATTATTACTTTGCTTTAATGTGTTTTACTTTTATCTAAATTCCAAGCACTTTAACCACCAAATATGTGGTTTCATTAGGCGAGTAACATCTCTGTCAGGCAAAGGTATCATGCAAAAAAATAGTAGTACTCTAGCTAGTAAGTTTTTTAAAAATGATCATATATATATGTAGAAGATTTACATTAAGAGCCAGACCCTAATAGGATAAAAATACTGAGAGAGACCAAGGAAACAAAACCGTTTTAATAATTATGGGTCTCTTATTCTGTACCCTGTTACTATGTTAAAATAATCTATTTTTCTGCATTTGTAATGCATCTGCATATCAAACAGAGAAGATGAGCATAATGGTGACAATTGAACCAGGAAGAAAACTTGAACCCCAATTATGCAGTTCAGAAGAATAACTCCTGGTTCTCACCGCAGGACGATCTTCATTTTTCACAGAATCCATGTTGAATTGAACAATTCAGGTTTATGTCTGTAGAGCCTCCCGTGACCGTGACCGGCTGCAAAGCATACGAAAAGTAAAGCTGTAGTTGACTATTATAATATGTCGTGTTTTAAATTTATTAAACCTGTATGTTACCCACGACGTCCTCCACGGCCAGTCGGTCTGTCTATTTTCAAGATAGACTATATAAGATAGACTTATACTACCGCGGACATTTTTTTTAGATCATTTATAGGGAAATCATTCTATCCTATATATTTTTTGGATATCTTGAACCGTTTTTGTAGCATTCGCAACGGAAACCCACCAGGATGAATAAAGTTCCCGTTTTTTTACACTTCCCGCAGTTTCTTCGCTTTTTTAAGTCGCATAGAAATTTAGCCTTCCTTGGTAAATCTTCTTCGCTCTAACTAACACAAAATAACTTTTCAATTCGAACAAGTACTTCCTCAGAATACCGCTTCAAACTAACTCTTAATATGTAAATATTAGTATTTTTAAGTATATGAACTAAGGGTCTAAATTATACCTATATTATATTAAAATTACCTAAAGATATGGTTGTATACGAATAAATATATTTTCATCATTGTGATTATTAAAACAGGACTACATCTGTGGGTATAAAATGACAACTGATAATGGTAAAACGGCTTAGTTTTAATTTGACTTTGACAGTACTTATGTACTTATAATTTATATCAATGTTTACAACTTTACAAATGAAACTACAAATTATCATGGTCTAACCCAAAAGCTTACTGGCTAGTGGCTAGCTTTATATAAATATGCAAGCTTCTCTGGGTTAAATCATCCCCGATCCTTTTCAAACTATGTTTCTTTGTTAATGAAGTCTCTTTATCTTCAGATATGGAGGTCTTTCACCCTGAGCAGCCGTGGCATGTTATTCTCGTCATGAAAACAATGCTGTCCTACATTGGAACGCATTCAAAATAAATTTACAAGATGACATGGCTTTATAGATTATATCCCTACTATTTAAATAAAACACTTTAACGGTTTAAAACGCGATATATTAGTTAAACTTATTTGAAAATGATTTTTAACTTCGGCCCGACGTTTCGGATGCTTTGCAGCAGCCGTGGTCACGGGGAGACTCAGTCTCAAAGTGTTTTATTTAAATGTGTACTACTCGCGTAAACTATAGACAGTATTTTATATCCCTACTATCCATGACGACATGTTTCTCATAGTGGCATACAAAAAGTCTCCTCTGCCTAGAGACCGCACAAATTTGTTGTATTTCCAACAGGGCAGTCGCAAAAGCAACACTTTATGTACACATTAAATGGTTATGTACAGTATATCCTATAGTAAATAATTTTTTTAAGACATGTCCACTTGGTTTTTTCCTATTAAGATGTATGCATGTAAATAAATGAAAAATATTTAATTTTTCTTTCATTCATCAATTCTTCATATTCCCTGACAGATGATGGAAGGTTACAGGGCAGTATGCTTTATATTTAACAAAATAATGAAACTTTAAATGAAACATATGAGATGTATGTTTGCCACCTTATGGTAGTCCAAATATAAGTTAAATACATAGATTGACATTTGATTATAATAAAATGCCTACATCTTCATATAGCTCTGCATATCTTAATAAACCAAAACTAATTTATTGTACAATACTGAAAATTGGTATTACAAATACATATAATATAAGCAAAAAAACTAACTTAGATTTTCAGCTTTTATTTTTCTTCTCGTGCTGAAGGTTAGCCATCAGCTTTTTATTAGCTTTTTCAACTTTTATTAGCTTGTTCTAAATATTATTACACAATCTATACAAATGTGGTTTACATAAAGATACTTAGGGTTTAGGCACAACAGTATAAGCTCTAGTGTAGCTCACAACAGATATGTTAGGAATAGGTACAGGTATTTTTGACATATTGTGGTTAAGGGTTAACAGAGGAGGCAGTGAGATGGACTGCAAACCACCACCAGTAACAAAGGAGGCCTTAGTAATGTTGACTGGAATACTGATATCACGTTGAAGTCTAGAAACACTCTGATTTGAGTTGCCTGGAACAATGACAGAAAGATTATTTACCTGAAAAAGTATTTACAATGTACAAGCATTCTAAAATATTATATTATATTTAGTATCGTTATAATTTAGATGCTGCTTTTCAAAACTTTATTGATGTTAGGTAAGCTGTGCCGGTTCTGGTACTAGATGCCAGTTCAAGTCCTGCCTGTGTTAACTTTGTCAAACTAAATATTTTTTTATGTATATCAGGTTTTTTTTACATTACTATAAAATTTTCCTGTTTTGGTCAACACACAACACATTTCATGTCATATTTTTGACTGCAAATTACACTTAACTCTTTCTAAACTGTAAAATTGTATAACTAGTGTATATAATAATTCTGTCAATTATGTCAAATTAATATATGCCTGGCTAAACATATAAAAATGTGTAGCCAGGTCTTACTTGGCTTCTTCTCCTATTAAATTTAATCCATACTAAGCACATATGATAGATTGAGTGTGGACAGCTATATCCAGATTTAAAAGTTCATATTCGAATATGATGTGGAGATTGTTAACACTATATTGTTTGATGATTTTCTCCAAAATTGTGAACTGGTGGTGGCGGCAGGTGTATATATTTAATTGATTAATTACCTACCAACCTTTGTCCTGTATTGTGTGTGGTATTGCTCAATCAAAGCATGGTGTATAAATAATCTCACCTAATCTTCCAATTTCACAGTGACCACGGCTAGAAGTATGCCTGGTCAAGTCCAACAATATTTTCAACATCGCATTCTTACCAACGGTCTGCCAGCTTGTTGAGGGTTAGGTTTGAAACACTCTGTCGGTAGAAAGTAATCGCTTCTTCACGCCACTGGAAGAATATGAAATATGATTGATATTCATTGTAAGGCAAAGCAATAGTAGGCTGTACTGATTTTGATTTTTAAAATTCTTTATTTCCAAATGCTTACATTAGACTTAACCTAGTGTACATTGAACTTATCCTAGATTAGCCTTAAATGAGTTGATATACATTAATGTTGACCAAGAATATATAATCAGAAATAATTCAGAACTGTGTTCACATCATTTATATGTTTTTTTTTATTCAACAATATTAAGTATAAGCTCTAGTAACTACTGAGGGTAGATAACTATTTCTAAAATGTATTAGTAGGCTGTACTAGAAAATAACATATTTATTATAGCTTTATTATTTATGATACACACAACAGAAAATACATATGAATGAGGATAAATCTTATGTACTAACTTATAAATAAAAGGCGGCCTTATCACTAAGAATAGCCTGAAGCACAGAAGTACTGAATATATAAGGACTTATTTAGTTGGAGAGTGTAGAATAATAAACAAAGGTATATAGTACTAATTTACACACTAAGTAAGTAAGTTTTTAATTTAATTAGATCATTAGAGTTGCATAGATTTTTGCTAGGATTTTCGAAAGCCGTGTTTATGTAATATGAATGGACAGTAATATTTTTAAACGTTGGAACTTGTGTAATATTGAATAAATAATTAAAAAATACTACAAAATAAATTTAAAAGCTTCTTAATAAGATTTAAAAAAATGAGGGTAGTTGAAACTTTTACGAATGACACTTAAAAAATTCGTCGGTATATATATGGGTTGTTAACCTGCCAACGATCATTGCTCAAACGGCGACGCAAGCAAACGTTTGTGAAAACTAATAATCATCATAAGTGATCATCTCTTCGATTATTAAAGATTAAGATTTAACTGAATCAAGTTTACATTAGCAAGCGTTTAAAGTAAACATATTTTTGTTCGCACTGTACCAACAATTGTGATAATGCGGGCCATATTCAATGCCGCTGGGATCGCCACATGCGTAAGTACATATATTTTAGATTTATAATTTAATAATAATTGCTATATCATTTCTCTTTTAAAATTCAATAGTCCTTTACGTGATACGTGGTCGGTAATGTTTTGTTGTAAAATCATTTGATTACGTTTCTAATACAATTCATTTATTGGAAATCAGCGGTATAATATATAAAACTAAATCAATTCAGACATCTTGGAACTTATTGGTACCTCACCTAAATCATTGTTGGTGTTTAACACATTTGACGATATCATTAGATAATACTAAAAATGCCTCCATCTTAGTGTTCATTGAACATTTCACTTTTGAAACGTTTATATTTTAATAATACAATTTAAACTTTTCTCCACTACTAGAATACTCGTACGTGGCTAGTAATGCTTAGCAAAGTTGTAAAATCATTTTTTCAAAAACTAGAACAAGTTTTTACTGTGCACCATTATCAGAAAATTCAATGTCTTTTTGTTAAAAAAATGTATAGTAAAATACTGACTGTAGTTTACGCGAGTAATACCAGTTTTAACGGTTTAAAACGCGATATATCTGTTAAACTTATTTGATAATCATTTTAACTACGGCCCAACGTTTCGAATGCTTTGCAGCAGCCATGGCTTTGCAGTAGTCTCCTCGTGACCATATATATCGCGTTTCAAACCGTTAAAATGTTTTACTTAAATTGCTCCTTACATAGGAGCAATTTAAGTAAAACATTTTAACGGTTTGTACGGTATACATATCCTATACAACACAATGCAATGCGGTTTTTTAGATTTTAAAACATTAAAGGTACAAATAAAAGAATTCACAAATAACAGTTAGAAGTTTTTCTGTCATATTATTATAAAACAAATAATGCAGTTCAGCATGTCTACCTAAAGCTTTTCATGAGAAATATATGTTTTTATTTAGTTAAGTATGGAGTATCACATGAACATGAGTAGGTACAAATTTTATAAGATACATAAACTGATGGTAATGTATAAGAATTCTTCTACCGACTTCTTTTGACAGTCGACAAGTTTTTTATTTGGGTCAAAATTAGAAATTGAATTAGAAGTTTAAGCACCTTTGTGTTGTCAGATTTATCTGAAATTTGGTACACACATTTAATTAAGTTGACAATACAATATAATAAAATCAAAACATTATAAATCCAAGATAGCCGCCGATACAAAATGGCGGATTACATATTTTTCCTTATAGGATTGAGATTTTAAAATAACTCTTGCAATAACATTGTCGACATTTCGAGGCAACCTGTATAGGTATTATAGAAAGTTGAGCAAATCTGTAGGTAACTGTGAAACTTGGTATACATATATCATATAGATCATTAGCACAATGCAAATAAGAATAACAAAGAGGCAACTGAAAACCTAATATATTTTTGCTGGCAAACCCACCGTTTATCTGAAAAGACGCGAAGAATTTATTTTTGCATTTAGTCAACTAAAACAATTTCACAAGAAGGGTTTGTAGGGGACTTTTCCTAATAATTTATCTAACTAGTTCTATGGGAATTGATGTAACTTCACTCTGCCATGAATGCCACAGCCGTACATGCTACTATTAGACCAACGATGCCGCCAATTCTACTAAATCAAAGTTAACGTTTATAGATCCAGGCAGGGGCTCAAGTTGCAGTATGCATCCTCCTCATCTCACCTGCCTTCTTGTCTACAAAAATCGTTTACTTCTTAAGTAAGTGTACGTCTTACATAAGTAAACGACTTGCCGTCGATTTTTCAATATGCACTTGATAATTATTATCTGTCGAACAGTAGTGTTACAATATATCGTTAATCAAAAACGCACTCCTTTGAGTAGTATTATGCTCCTGGAGCCAGAGTGCCTAATAACAAAAATATGATTTACAATAAAGAGGAATATAAAAATGTACAGATAACTTATGTGTAGGAATTATTTTAACAATTTTCGGTCACTGTGCTCTTGTAGATGAACATTTTAGCTCGTAGAAATATAAATAAGTCAAGTTCTAAAATTGCAGTTAGGCTATTCTGGCTTTAGCGGCCTCATATTATACATATAATATATTTTCAGACCCGGACCATTGCGGAGGACAAATACCTATCGGAAAAATACCAGATGTAAACAGCCAGGCATTTATATGCCAGAAAATAGTACCGTTTACGAGCACAAGATTTTTTTTCCTTAATTGTGTGTACATGGCCATTGGCTGCTTATGGTTCTTAACAAGTGCTTTATTGTTTAACGGTAAGTAATTTCTTCTTTGAATTTGAATTAACCAAGTAGTTTTAACGAATTAGGGTCTGATAATAAGAAAATTGCCCCACCTCCCCTTCCTTGGTGATATTATGTATTTGTGAAATGTACTCCTTACAGGTCGTTTAAGTCAGTACATAGTTCAATATGTATGAATTATTAGGTTAATACTCATGGTATGAGTAAGTTGTGTAAAATAAATAAAACGCACGAGCACGACACACTGAAGACAGAACGACAAACAGAAGAGGGCACCACTTTTAGGGACAGCAAACGCGGGCAACTTGAAGAGAGTGCTGCTGTATGATAGCAAAACGTAGGAAGCCACAAAAGATATAAACCAAAAGACATAAGTCTCCGTGCACCAATGCCTATGGCAGACCATTAGCGCGTTTTGTCTTAAAATATGTACATCGAATCTCTGGAAAGTAATTTGCTTAACTATTATAAATTAATTCGTTTTTTTTAGTTCCTGCTGGTGCACAGCGCTTGCCGGTGCGCTGGCCATGGATCATCGTCACGATAGTTTCTTGTACAGTGGATATCGTTTCCGTAATCTTGTCAAACGACTATATTTTCGCCAAGGTAAGGTAATATATCTTTCTTTGTAATAAGTGCCCTCAATACTCCTATTGTTACCGTTATTATTATAAATTTGAAATTATTAATATAGGTACACGGCAAAATCAAAACTCTTCCAAAAAGTTCATTGTCAAATATCAAACGCTGAGCATAAAGTATTAAGGGTACCTACATAGTGAAGCATTTTTCTGTCGAACTCAACAGAAATTACATCTCTAATCATGTAAATGGTTTTACTTGTTGACAGTTAAAATATTATTTTCTTTTGAGCATTCGAATGCTTTAAACCCCGTTATATATTAGTAAAACTTACTTTGAAAATTATTTTAGCAGTTACTTTGGCAGCAGCCGTGGTCACGGGCAGATTTTCAAATACGTTTAACTAAGATAAGTGTTTTATTTAAATGTGTACTACTCGCGTAAACTACAGGCAGTATTTCTTATTTTCTGTTCAGACACTAAATGACATGGGAAGTGACATGGGAACTTACATTGGAGCTACAACGAGCGCTCTGGGGAACGTCGTTCTCGACACCAGAGGGGCTTCACTATTGATGATAGCTTTCTATGCCAGATTCGGCATTTTCTTCGTATTTAACATCGTCCTTGTAATAGCCGTGGCGATTAAGCGAATGCCGGTAATTGATGTATTCGATTTTTCACATTGCACTCTTTTCTCAATATTTTTAAAATGTCTAGGTCATAAGAATTTCTCTATCTAATTTGTTAATACGAGGGTCAAAGTGTAAGTAAGGTCTTAAAAAATCAAAAACTGGTAAAATCGGCAACTGTTTTCCTTTATATTATTTTTCCAAAATAGTGACCATAAAGAGTTTCATTTTCAAAATTTAAACAATTTTTTTATTATATTGCTTCCAAGTCGCCAGTTCTAAATTTTTCAGTGTAGCCCACGAAACCGAGTATAGTAACGAATATATTAAACAGATGAATTTGTCTAATAACTTTTTCAATGTCACTGTAAAAGTAACATGAATTTTAATATGAAATCAATACATACTTGACGTTTGACTTCAGCAGTTTAAAATTAATTATATTTCAGGCGACGCCACGACCGACACCACAAGAATTGCTAGAAACAGACCATAATGAGAATCTGGATGATATATTTACACAACTGGACGAAATTGACATAGCAAAAGGCACATCTAACACTTCGGAATACGAGCTAACTACTCCTGAACAAGATGAAATTCCACGTGTACATCGAAACGTGAACTCTTTATATAAGTAAGTAATAGGATCGTCAATTATGTGTTTGATACCATCTCATATTCGAATCTTAAAACTGATCTAAAAACACGTTTAATTTGGAAAAAAATCTTTTCTCTTCTTTTATTTAAGCGACTACAAATGTATAATTATCTTTTATTATATTTTTCACTCCCATAACTTCGTCGTTTATGATTTTACGGATTTGGAAATCTAAATTTCGGAAATCCTGTTTCGATATCAGACCAGAGGAATGGAGGGTATAAGATTTTCATTTTATACCTTAAAGCACTACAACTTAAAAAAGGTGTTGAGTAGATTTCATAGACAGTCGAAGGAACTCAGAGCAGCTAACTTGTGATTGATCTCAAATTAGTTGTATTGTTAAGAACTTTGTATTTAGATTGGTTGTGACTTTCACTAGCAGACCCATGATGGTTGCGAGCAACCGAACGATGCGAACCCTCAGTGATTTATAATAGCTATGGTAGAATAAGCATCATATACAGCATATGAATTCTATAAGCAGGGTATGTGCATGTATAGACGCAAAGTAATTTATCTAGAAAATTATAATAACTTTATTTAATTAAATATAATAATTTTTGAATATATTATATTATTAACATTACTTTATTTAATAATTAAATTTTAAAAAATTACTTCGTACAAAGTAAAACGGACTTGAATTTAGTATTAAAGTTTAGTATACCGTTTCTAATACGCACTATTTTGTTTCTATGAAAAAGACCGCAGATATTACCATGGATGTCGTTGTCGCCCATTGTCGCTCTATCGCCTCAAATTGCACCAATGTCGCCCCAAGTGCAAATTTCGACTCCGGCAATCAAGACAGATAGGAAAATTGCATCAGGAACTGATAGAAAGTCGTAAGTTTTCCTCTATATTACTGTCTATAGACAAGCTGTTATATTCTACTACTTTTTGTCTACTGCTTGTACTATTTAATATTCTAATAAGAAGAAAAGTGTGAAGTGAAAATAAGACTTGGCTTAAAGGTCTCGTTACCAATCCATTAAATATTAAAAAAAAAAACATATTCTACCATCACAATTGGCACATCACTGTCTTTTCAATTATTTTGTCAATTTGTGCCTACCTCTTACCATTTATTAAGGATTCTTTCTGAGGTAGGCGCTTTTAATGTTAGTAGGTACCTAGTCACTACTTGTTTGTTCAAGAAGTAAATTTTATGACACCTTTTTGTACTTGCTTAAATGAATGCCCTTGAATTGCTAGAGTGTAGATTCGGGGACACGGTTCAAATGGGTATAAATCCTAACAGTTAGAATTACATTCGTTATGATTGAATGAAAATATAAAACACTTGAAAAATCTTACAGCATTTTTCTGCAAGAGAACTGTACTACACTAAAGGTCTACATTACCACTGAAGAGAAGTTAAAATAAATTCTATCCTTCGACCTCTGCCGATACCAACAATGAACCGAAGTTTCCATTTATAAATAGTTCATTCAGAGCACTAGTTGAGAACAACTCCGAGGTCGTGGTTGGGGAAGACCACACAATCATCGATGGACCCCAGACGAAAGCAAACAATTTTAACAATATAACATTTTAATTCCACGAATCTGGTAAGTAATGGTATCTTAGTAGCATACCTATATGAATAAGTTAAGTTAAGCTCATATTACTGCCAATATCCGTCATCTAGTGAAATCTTTTTATATTAGGTACTATGTTATTAAACTTTTTTCTTTCCATCCTTGTTGATATTACATTTTTATACTACGTCTTTAAACATGTTTTGTAAAGATCAGATTCTGTTCTGATCTACTTTTTATATAGTAGAATTCTTTGTAGCATCGACCACATTAAATATTGGTAGTAAGTAGTGTAATAAATTTTCGTTCGTGTTGAGTTCTAAGTGTACTTGGTTGCCTTTTAGCAATGACCTTGTTTAAATGAAGACGGTGTCTACGACACAAGTAAAATTTATTTATTATTGTTACGTTTTTGTTCAACTACTAAGTTTATTTCTATTAGTATAATCTTATTGCTATTGTGTTATGTTATGACAAACTTTGTGCTTTGACAATCCAAACATTAACTACTATGTTTTTTGTTACAAAGTGTCTTCATTTGATTTAGTTAAATGAAGTGTATACTTGAATTATTAATTTAATGAATCAGATACTTCTTTGGTAATAAAAGAAGAAAAACTGAAAAGACGTTCTCTCCGTTTCTTCTTTAGTCACCTCTGTTAATCTGGACAAAAGGTCACATATAGCCATTTCCCGTTTAGAAGATTTCTCATTGCTATAACGCACATTTATTTGAAATTTACAAATTTTTGTTGGTTACCATTTTAATAAGGCAATAAAGTAGGCATACGTTTAAGATGAATTAGGGAGAGTTTTATTACATTTTTTCTATCACACTTTTTTATCTTTTTTCACAAATCTTTTAATTTTTGTACGTCTAACTAAAAAAAAATTATTCATTATGTTGCGATGATGTTTAAGAATATATCCAAGGCAGGGTCCTGTTACATCTTAATATTGAGATCGGATACCTACTGCTGCATGTAATCAGATTAATTAGGTTGTGTTTTAAATTTAGTTTCAAATTTTTATATTGCTAAAGTAATTTATATATTGAAATTGCGTTATTATAATAGTTATCAGACTATAAGAGGATTGAGAGTGAAACTTGTTTAAAATATATAAGAGCAAATATAATCTGTGATAAGTTTGGCAATTATTTTTCTTGTATGTAACGAGGTAGTTTAAATAAACAACTTGACCGATTAAAGACTTTAATTTTTATCCACTATGACCGTAACAGAGCTTTCGCTTTGATTAGTCCAACAATTAGAATGCCTAACCAAATGTCGTGCACGCGCTTTCGCGCGCTTTTCCCGATACGTGTATGCACGATCTCGGGAAAGAACGATCTTTGTCACTACAGACTATATCACACCACAGACTGTATCACACCACAGACTGTATCACATCACAGACTATATCACAGTCTACGGCTCGGTTTGTGATTGGCTCTGTTTGCTAACATGATGGTTAGCGGCTGGCATGGCTGGCATAGCTGGGCATGGCTGGCTTGGCTGGCATGGCTGGCATGGCTGGCTTGGCTGGCTTGGCTGGCATCGACTCGGCTTGTAGGGCTTAGCACAACATCTTAGGTAACGCGTTACATGTATGTAAATTAAATGTTTGTTTGTATTATTTTGTAAAAGTAATTATTGAGACTGAAATTAAACATATTATAACTATTCACTTTTGTGTTTTTACTTTTTCTGTGTGGGTCTTTTTTAGGAATGCTTATTTTTCTCAATCATAGTACCAAAGTCATTTGTAATATAATTTAACCGTTAAAAACTGTACTGTTAAATAAAGGTAAATGTATAAAGCAAAACAAAACATTGCTATTTAAATAAAATTGCTAAAATCTATATTTTTGTAAATAAATAAAATATTACACCAAATTGGATACCCTACTTTATTTATAATGCAATGAAACCATATCTGTTGTAAAAATAGTTTTATTGACTCACAGAGGGCTATTTTAGTTTTAGTAATTCAAGAATGTTTTCGCGCCGAAAATTGTGTTCGAAACTGTCGTAGTGTCGTCTTAGACAACAATTTTGACATTTTATCCTTTATCTTTCATGACAAGACGTAACTATTATATACGGAAAATCTGCAACAAATGAAGAATGGGTTTTGACTTTTGTCTGTAAAGGAAGAAGTGTAAATAATAATACTCATAAATACCACTAAAAAAAAAATGATGAGGAACTTTGTAACAGACTTATAAGCTTAAAGAAATTGTTCCTAAATTTACTAAAACCAACTTTAGAGGCAGACCACTAGCGCCCTGGAGGAATAGTACATGCAAAGAGGCTGTTATAAAATCTTACAAGGCACTTAAACTTTATAGAAATGATCCCACAGCAGATAATTATATAAATTTAAAAGACTAGACGCGCTAAAGAAACGCACTAAGGAGCAAAAACGAACTTTAATAGAACTACTCCTATCCAGGATCATCTTCTTCGTCATATATATCCAAAAATGCATTAAATGGTCTAATATTTCGAAATGCTTAACCAGGTTTTACATGGGGTGCAGATCCTAAAATACTTTCAGTCTTATATAAATCATAAAAATAAATAAATAAAATATACTTTATTTTCTGTAAAATTATAAAAATTATTTAGATTCGTCACAAAAAAATTAAATATTATGTTTGTCTATACCTGGGAAGAACACCAAGACACTCAGTCTGGCTTTTTATAACATGTCTTACAAACTAATATATTTTTGTGAATGTAATGACCTAAGGAGCAATTCATATCAATTCCAGGCAGCCCTGTCATTAAAGAAGTCTTTTAAAAAATAATACGCCTTTATAGACAATCTAAATTTTAGGACCTTTTTGGACTTATTTACTAAATTGAAATGAAAATAAATTTGAAACCTTAAATGGCAATGTATTACACCTACAAATACAGTTCCCCACAATGAATTAGTTATTTTATGGAGCCTATATTTGGGGATAGCTAGCTTATCCTTATTTTTAATCTATTGTTAGGAGCCATTTTTACTATAGTTATCGAGTCTATTTAAATAGTACTCGTACAAAAATTTGATGTAATACAGAACAGATCTTTAATAATCATATCAAGGGCTATGTGTTCAGCTCCCATAAAGGCCATGGAAGTTGAAACAAATGTTATGCCTTTGATTTTGAGAAGATTTATGCTTGCAAAAAGATATTGCCCTAAATTATGCGTATCAAACAATTAACAAATTATAAATAAAATTCAACCTCACCCAATGACTTGATATTGATAGTCCTCTTTATCTGCTATAAATCTTTTAAGAAACATATCTCCAACTTTATGCCAAATTTTGTTGGACATACAGTCTCAATATTCAAACATTTGTCGGTACTCACACTGGCCATGTTACAGTCATTCATATAGGAGTATAATGCATCCAATTGTAGTATTTTCAAAGACAACTTATAATAACACAGACTTTATTTCCTTCCTAGAAGAAAATAATAGTTATTATACAATGTATACTGATGGTGGCAAAGGTAATACTTATGTTAGATGTGCAATATATGATCCGCAAAAAAAATATACTCATAGCTTTGTATAGCATCAGAGGCATATACAGTTTTTGAGGCTTTAAAATTCAATACACATATTGATAAGTCTTGTAAACATTTTTTTAATTTTAACAGACTCTGAGTCTTATAGAAAGCCTCATATAAGTCTTAATTTTAAAACCAACTGTGGCAGTTACATAATACAGGAATAACAGTTGCCTTCATGTGGTTTCCTTTCCATAAGGGCATTTCTGGTAATGAAATAGCTGACAAGACTGCATATGAAGGAATCAATACAACGCAGGAATGAAGAAGATGAGAGACACATCGAACACAAATTATTCAAGTGCATTTCAACCTATAATATGTTTATTTTTCATAAACTTATATTGGCAAGTAATAAAGAAGCTTGTGAAACTTCCCGCCGCCAGTTGTGTAATTTACTAAAAAAAACACAAATTATTAAAGTGTCTTAAACAAATACATTAAAACCCCTATAGTATAGGGCATATAGGAAGAAAAGAATAAAATAAGACTTGGCTTAAAAATCTCTTACCAGGCCATTAAATATATAAAAAAAGTAATTATGATGACATTGCAAGTAAACGACACTGTTGACCAATGGCAATCTCGTTAACACGGGCCCTAACGATGGCCGCTTGGACGTATTATACGACTAAAACAAAAAGGTCAAAGACGTCATATCAACAATTTAAATAAGTAGTGACTTTCTACTTTTACGGGTTCTGTGACTGTCGCCATTTAAAAATCCTTAGTCTCAAAGTCGCAAGTCACAAGTCTAGATGATTAATTAATTTAATTAAATATACTAAGTGTCCTTATACTGCAAATCTACAAAAACTTGGTAAGCTACCTCGTAATTGTTATATTTTTATTTTTTAAACGATACATAAACCGTAATGCGATTGCGCACTAAAGCTTTAACTTTTGCGCAGATACAACGGCAGTATTTGCGTACGTGGACAAGAGAGGAAATAGCTAGTATACCATTAAACTGTAGCCGTAGGTACTGTACCGGTTGTGTGTGTACTGTGTCGATATTTTATGGGATAGGCGAAATATTCGGGATGTAAACGCGAATTTTGGCTTTACTAATTACTTACTTGTCTTGCTTAATTCACATGTACCTCTTTGCTAACATTCTTTGACATGACTTTGGAAGATCCATTTTATGTTGTGAAAGAGTAAGTGCATTGTATGTTTTTGTCATAAGTTACTGTATGCTTTCATCAATATTTTTAAATTTTCACTGTTCCCATTGTTATTAGGCTATCTTGTATGGATCAAAAGAGTATTTATGCGAATTATACTATTAAATATTAAAATCAATCAACATTTATATATACCGCCTTCATAACTTATTTACTAACATATTCCATTAGTCAAACTCGCACGTAAAGGGAAATAGAAGATGCAGTAAATGTGTCTATGAGCCATCTTTTTACTCTTTTTGCTAAATAGTCAATATTTTATAGTGAAGTGTTTCGGGCACTGAACAAGACACGAGGCTTATACCTCCGTTGGCAAGAGCTATCAACCTCACCAATTCTACCGAATACTGCTGAAGTTGAATGGACATCAATCGAATTAAGGAACGCACTTCGTAGTATTGAGTGGGACTTGGAAGACTTAGAGGACACAATTGATATCCTTTTTCAAAATTTCTGTTAAATAAAGTAATTCATGGATTTCACATTTTATGAAAATAGAAGCATGACATTGTATTTACAGCTACATACTTGTAGTATGAAAATAACTTAATTTATTAATTTATACTCCTCACTTCAGCCTTCACTTACATTCAATATTTTGTACCTTGTTTTATATTTAAAATATATGTCAGACATATTTTGGATGTATGTTTTAGCTGTAAAACTTTACTCAATATATACGTATGATTACATTGTAGTTAAATAATTAATTATTAAATCAATAATTTTGTGAGCGAGATATACGCATAGCAGAAAAGAATTCTTCAAAATTCAAAATTGACCACAAAGAAATTTGTGATAGAAGAAGTTTCATTCAGGCTACAAAGCAAGAAGTCCAGGTTAGTTACATCATAATGTATTCTTTGCGTTGCTGCCTCCATGGTTCTGCCTTGTCTATTGCAGTGCTTTTTATTGTTGCAGTTTAATTATTTTAGTTACAGTTTTATAGATATCTCGATGTCTTTTATCATTTATTTGATTAAATGACTCTCACTCACTTTTCCTCTTACTGGGCCAATCCAAAAACAAGTCAATGTTGTTGAATTTATGTTGGGATTCAATTCAACAACATCCAACACACTATTTATTAACATGCATATGTTTTCAGGTTATGAAAGTTAAAATGAGCATGGATAGAAACCTGGACAGTGACGGTACACAGCGCGAGCCCCTACTCAATGATGGCAGTCCAGTGCCATTTAGAAGTATGCAGTGGTCCTCTACCCCAAAGATCTCTAGATATTCCAAGCTGGCATCACAAACTGACAGTCCCAGTAAATTCGAAGACTTCGAAAATGTACCTACAACACAGGATCATTTGATAAGCATTCAGGATGAAGAGCTGTCGATGATCAATGACTCGGTATCATCATTAAAGTCAATCTCTACTCACATAGGAAACGAATTGGATGAGCATGCAGTGTAAGTTTGTATTTTACAATGCTAAGTATTCCATCAGTACCTTTATAATGAATATTTGACTTTCAAAAGTATTGAATTTAGGAGAGTCCTCAAAAATAACAATGCATTTTCCAAAATACTTTAAACATATTTTGAAATTATTTTATCTACGGCCCAACATTCTGGAGCCATTGGTCATGGGGATGGAGAGTGTCTTTAATGTCAAAGTAAAACCTATGCCATCTGTTTCATCGTAGTTGGTGTTTCTCGAAATTGGCTGAGTCCTTGCACTTTAGTTAAGATACATATATATCGCGTTTTTAACCGTTAAAGTGATTTATTTGAATGTATTTATCTATAGCATATATGTTGTAAAAGAATTCTAATTATTGGCGATGGTGATGTTATATATAAATGCTAAAGAATGGTTTCCAAAAAAAAAAACATATTACTTTTTATGAAGATAGTATTTTTTAAATGTAAATCTAAATACTATCTTATATGTTTCTTATACACCATGTTGTTGACATGAAGACATTCTCCTTGGCAGAATGCTGGAAGACCTCAGTTCAGAGATGGACATCACCGACTCCCAAATGTACACGACGATCCTGCACGTGTCCAAAGCCCTTCATTTAGACACTGGTAAATATTATATTGAGATTTTCGCGCGAGGTCCTATTGACTCAGTCGTATATAAATACCACACGTCTTTGTCAACGCGTGACGCGTTTGCACGCTGCGAGCAATATGCGCGAATGACGTAATGTACTGTGATTGGTGTAATTCTTCTTCTTCTTCTTTAATACTTATAAAACTGCTTGGATCTAAGTTATTTAAGATTTTACTGTGATATGCTGCTTCCTTGAATGTTGTGTATTTTTTTATTTCGATATTTCTCATTGCTTTTAAATGTATATTAGTGTCTAATCAGTATATGTTTAATTTCAGATCGTGGACAGTGGGCATTTATTGTATTCCTCATGATGCTTTTACTTATAGGAATAATTGTAGCTATTGTTTTATAATTATAGTCTAGAACTGTTGTAAATAGTCCCTTCCAAGAGAATATAGGTACCACGTAAACAGATACGGGGTATATTAAACCAAAGACAATGCTAGTAATACAAGCGTAATTTTAAGAATGAAATATCTTTTGTTTGTAGGTGCTGGTACGTAGTTTTAAATAATAATCAACCATTTCTAGGCCATCTTCGTATATTAATGCTTAAAAGGTAAATCTAACATAAAACATAGTCTGTTGCGATATACCAATAAGTAAATGTTACTATAAACCTTTTCTTTTACTTGACACACAACTTATATCTGTAGTTTTACAATAGTTTATGTAATTTCTGTGAGGCTTTTATATATTTGTCGTACTTTCTCCTAGGAGGGATGATTATTTTTTTAATCGAGTTTGTATTACATGTTGTATATATTATCTTGGAATGGATTTTAGTTGACAGTTGAGCCTGTCACTTGTAGTTCTTACAGCGGAAACAATATTGGGTACGGCTACCGGTCATTCTTGCGTTTGGATAAAGCCTTAATATTTCCGCCTTAAATCGTGATACATCTTGATAAGAATGACTTTTCGGTTTTGCTCTGTGGTTTTCCGAATGTAAAAAACCAATTTAGGTCGACGGCACATTATGTTATCATCATGAAATTTTTCCATTTTCCTTCAAATAAATATGCTTGGTATCTTACCATCTAGCGGTATATATTTGTGACGTAGGGTGTTTCGCCGACCTAAGATCTCATTCTAGTCTTTTATTTCTAGTTTTCTAATTATATCTAAGTGAGCTAATTATTTTTTATACTTGCGATCATTATATTGTTTATTTATTCTTGATTATTTTTTATATATTTGTTATTCGAATGTCCGTTGTCTGGACAAATACCAAAAGACACCAGAAAGGGTACAAGTTTGAGTGATGTTGTGTCAAATGTGAGTACGCTGTGAAAAATAATTATTTATGTCATGTTTTTATGTACAGTCATTTCCGAATGTTAAAAGAACTTTATTAAATGTAGTCTTTCGTAAATTATTATGTAGTTTTTGTTTTGAAACCTTATGCATTGTGTATAAAGAAGAACAATTGAAGCCTGGCCTAATAGCAATAAACATGATTTTCAATAAGGAGGGAAATAAACATGCGCAATTAACTTAGTCGAAAATGAATTTGTACTATTATTTGTGTCAACAATTTTCGGTCAGTGCTCTTGTGGATTAACATTTTTAGACTGAAAATATAAATAACACAAGTCATATAATTGGTCTAGCGACCTTAAATCATGTCGAGACTTGGAAATGCTTGTTTTTTCCGTTTAAGCTATGTCTCACGTGAATTGTGAAAATTAAATGTGGTCAAGGTTTTACATAAATAATAATATAGGGGAAAAACTATGTTCCTTCACTAGATGTACTGGAATCGCCCAAAACTCTGTCATACATAGCCGGTAAGTAGTCATAGTCTTTCTCATGATCCCTCATATGTAATGACGTTTTGAAACCCTCCCACGACAGGTCAAATTCTGGCTCGAAGAGTCTGAAAGGTGTAAAATTTGTTTATATACATACTTGCAGATTACACTTTAAATAATTGATATAGCAAAGTTTCTAATAGATGATGTAATACATATTGCCTAGAACTCTGCAGGCTGCAAGGTGGATTCGAATTTCGGCGAGTCAATAAATCGTTTTGGTATTGTAGAAAATCGAAGGTTAATTGTGTACCTACCCATGTATAAAATTGATCAACGAAAGTGGGTTATTATAAAATATAGTCGCATACCCGCTATGTTATATCGCAAAATAGTCGCGTATCCGCTATATTGTATCAGCGTATATGCGACTATTAAAAAAAATAGAATTTAAATAACTACCTGCTCACACACGACATAAATTTAAAAGTGTGCTCTGAATTGAATAGATGCACTAGATTGCTGTACCCAGTGCAGTTTGACCACTGGGCGTCTGGAGCCATCATCATGCCCACCAGTTTACCACGGCATATTAATGGAGCGCCATACATACCCTGAAGACATTATTAGTAGTAGTTTGAACGCGCTAATCTCAGGAAGTACTTGTTCTAATTGATAAAATCTTGCTGTATTTTAATTAAATAATTTATCGAGTTAGGCTGTAGACTGTAAAAGATCGCGCTGTGAGTAATAGGAGCGAAGAAACAGGGGGAAATGTGAAAAAAATAGCAAAAATTATTGTTGGTTCCCGACGCGTGCGCTGCGATGACGGTTCAAGTTACCTAAAGATTATGTATGAATTTATTTGTTTTGATTGAGGCCCGGGGCATCTAATACTAACCGGACGTTGGGAGAGCGCGCTTTAAGGCTCGACCAAGGGGGGCGTTGAGCTCGGCATGGACCGCCGCAATACGGGTGGGAGCTTAAAGACCTGGACGAAAGCTCGCCCGGGTCAGCGGTACGCGGAGCAAATGATCTCGCTAGCGACGGCGGTTTCGCGGATGATCGGCGCCGGCGCCGGCGGATCGCGTCGTGATAAGAGTATAGATAAGAGGCTTTGGTTCAGTCGTTACCGGGGTCAAAAATTAATCTGAAATACATTTCGAATGTACTACCTATCTCCGTTCATATGTGCAGTCGATTATAGTATAAATTTTGCTTTTTGCCCATAATATACTTTATCTTAAGCTTAAGTTTGAGGGTTGGTTTCTATAATTACAAACGAAAAAGTTAGTTTTCCTAAAATCTAACCCCGGATTATGTCGTAAGTTGGTTTCCCGATTGAGTTATGCCATTAGTAGATATAGATACAATTTTATTTTATAAAGCACTTACGTGACAAGGTTGCGCTATTCTATCCGACTGAAACAATAAAACAAACATTTTACACATTTATAACTAGAGAGGTGAACGTCGTGAGGCTTCAGGTTCGAAACTCAGGAATTATATCATTTAAAAATCGAAAATAAATTGAAAAAAATTTCCTTGGACTTGAACCGGCATCGTCAGCATACCGTGCTTTTGGAACGCCGACGATGCCGGTTCAAGTCCTGCCCGAGTCGAAAATTTTCTCAATTTATTTTCGATTTTTAAATTATATAGTGCCTTCATGTGCAAAACACGTGAAAAATATTAATGTTTTCAAACTCAGGAATTGTTACGTTGAGACGACCCTTTTCCTATCTATACATGAAATAAATAAGTCAAATCAACAGTAAAATCGTCATATTAGACCGCGCAATCTTTTTTTTCACAAACTAAAATAGATACTGTCTATAGTTTACGCGAGTAGTACACATTTAAATAAAACACTTTAACGGTTTAAAACGCGATATATTAGTTAAAGGTCTCCCCGTGACCACGGCTGCTGCAAAGCATCCGAAACGTCGGGCCGAAGTTAAAAATCATTTTCAAATAAGTTTAACTAATATATCGCGTTTTAAACCGTTAAAGTGTTTTATTTAAACTAAAATAGTGCAAATAGCAAACATACACTTTAGGGTTAATTCCACGCGGACGTGCTGACACAGCCAGTAGTTTAATATCTAATTATAATTTCCTGAAGAATCCTACATGTTTCAGTTACATATATTTGCAAATTAATTGAATCGATTTCATACGTTAACTAGTAATTAATTGAATACAGATATTCAATTGATTACTGACGTACGTTGCACATAATATGGCCAGTATTACTTAACGAACAAGATTAATACTGGGGGTAGGCTAAAATTTGCTTTATACTCGATTTAAATTAATTTCAGCATCTACACCCAGCTAAATTGAATTTCTATCTAGAATTTGTTTCTTAGTTTTTTATAGAGGAGGACGGACGGGCATGTGGTTCACTAAATGGTACATCCCAGCCAAATAAAATTTCAACAAGATGCGCTATTCTGGCCTTGGATATTAAATGAAATGAGATTAAACTTCACGATTTTTTTATCTGTGGAGAATGTGGTTGGTGGTGGTGGGATTTCGATATTCTTACCATCCATGTAATATCAAGATTTCGAGTCGAAGTCCAGCATGTTTCCGATTATAATTGATTAGAAATATGTTTGGATCCAGTGGGGTTCGAATCCAGGACCCGTTGATTATCAGCTATACCATGACACCAACGAACCTATCCGCTATATCTGTGAACCTTAATTTGCAATTGATAAGGTTGAAATTACAATGCGTGAGAGGTGCATTTTGCAGGTTGGAATAATTCGACGATGACGTGTAAGACACGATATCTCAATTGGTTAGAAGTTAGACCAGCACGGTGCGCTGTGGATGACCTGTCCGTGTCGTAAGTTATTTTTCAAGCTGTGAAATCCCGTTTCCCCTCGCGGTGCATAGGGTGAACACATTTCTGTGTCCGTTTCACTGATCGATTTTATATAGGTAAGTAGTTGATCAGACTTCTGTGCCCTGCCCGACCGAAACAATTTTTTGTTTCCCTGGGATTCGAACCCAGGACCTCTCGCGCTTAACGCAATGCTAGGCAACACGTTTAACCATTTAGCTACAGAGGTAGCTACGGATATCAGTATAATCGGTATTAACTTTATGAACCTCATGCATATATATTCTGCTCTGTTATGAGAAGAATCAAAGAGAATTATATAATAAATTTGTCTGTTAATTATAACTGTTTGTAGTTTACGCGAGTATACATTTAAATAAAACACGTTAACTGTTTACAACGCGATATACAATTAAGACAGTTTATTTTATACTTACGTCTCTGACGCACACGGAATATGATCTGTCAAAGTATCCTTTATACCCAATGTTCATCAGAGCCTTTTGAAATTTGAGTGTCAACGTATCGCACCATACATTTTTCTTCACAATATCCAGAAATTGCACTCGAATGTTTCGTTGCAACAGGAATTTGTTCACCGGGTATATTTTATCCTAAGAATATGCAGTATGTATTAAAAATAAAAAAATAAATTGGAAAAATTTTCGACTCGAGCAGGACTTGAACCGGCATCGTCAGCGTTTCGTTCTGTTGCTCTACCGACTGACTCGGTAGCTCAATTCAATTGTCCTATACAACATCCAGAATAATATTTCAGGTCGCATTTAGTAATCTAAAAATTACCCCCTTGTAAAAGAAATGCCAGCCAGGCATAACACACTCCTCGTGCAAAGATAGCACTTGTTCCCCCTTGTAGTCAATGTCGATTGGCCTCAATGGTATTTCCACTAAAATATCTGGTACTTTACGTTTGAGAACCATAATGGCCGGTGATTGTTGCACGGTATATCCTATTGTTGCTGAATCGTTAATACCTAGAAATTAACAGATAATTGAAGCATACCCGCCGTTGGTCCAATGGTAATCTACACTAATATATAAAGCTGAAGAGTTTGTTTGAACGCGTTAATCTCAGGAACTACTAGTTTGAAATGGAAAATTATTTTGTGTTAATAAGAACAGTTATCGATGACAGTTTAAGGCTATAAATGATCACGCTGCGACTAATAGAAGCGAAGATACAGTAGGAAATTTGGAAACAAACTGAGAAAATTCTTCATATTTGTGGGTTTTCGATTCCTACACTGTGAAAACGGTTCAAGATAAAATGATTTTTTACTTCGGCCCGACGCTTCGGTTGCTTTGCACCAGCGCATATCGCATTTTAAACCGTCAAAGTATTTTATTTAAAAGTTTATCCTTATTTTTTAATATCATCTTTATTCCCCTACACGATGTATGTCTCAGCGAAATGATATCCTTTCCGAGATAAATTGGCTACCTAAGATTGAAGTAATTTTTCAATTGGAACCAGTTGTTTCTGAGATTAGCACATTCAACCAATTCTGCCATACAATATTTCTACAGACTATATCCATACTAATATTATAAAGCTGAAGAGTTTGTTTTTAATGCGTTTATCTCGGGTACCTACTACTGGTTGGAATTTAAAAAAAAAAAGTTGCATAGACCAATACGAAACACAGGTATATGTAATTACAACGGGAAAAATTATTCACCGTTCAAGAAATAAAAAAGTATGTATGAAAGAATGGTTCTTCTTTAGATGTTCGTAAAAATGTCCGCGACAATATATGTCTGTAAATTCTGAGGGTTTCCAATTTTACCAATAGCTCCTATATGAAGACACCCGAATCCTGTGTGGAAGAAACCCAATATCTGTGTGGGACTGGTGATATTATATTATTCTAACTTCAACGTACATTTTGGCATCAATACTTTAGTGACTTGGACTCGGACGCCTCTCCTTGGGTGTCTATAAGACGCGCCAGTAACCACATTTATCGGACGATAATCGTGGATGTGTGTGTTAGGATTCGTTACACACACAGCCGCTGTGATGACAAGAGTACGGGATAGTAGAGTTCCGACGCAGATGCCTCGGTACCGCGATGAAAAATACACCTTTAAAATATCGACTGAAATTTATTATACATTGTATGTCTTTTGCAACCCGTAGTGGCAAATGGTCGAAAATATTTTTTATCATGCCGACAATAAGAAATATATAGTCGCCGGAACATATAGCTCAAAAACCAAAGGAGCGTAACGATTATTAACATTAATATAACAGATGACAGATAGCGTTTTAGATAAAGAAGAGTGCTACTCTATTAACTTTGTTCTAATTTCAACTTTTGATAGACGAATCTTATGACAATTAGAAGTTCTAGTTGCTTGTGATAATATATAGTTTATAGTAAACTTTTAACGGTTTAAAACGCAAAATCTATTAGTTAAACCTATTTCAACTACAGTCCAACGTTTCGGATGCATTGCATCAGCAGTGGCCACGGGTCACTTTAATGTAAATTCTGAAAATGTTTAATTAATTATATAAACCATTCAAGTGTTTTATTTAATTGTGTGCTAATTGGGTAAACTACTACAGCTATATATTAATAAAAAAAAATATATATATATATTACTTTGTTGTGGGACTAATATTTGAAGTAGCTCTTTCCCAATTATTGTATAATAATAAGCACAATCTCGAACATTCAAATTAAGAATATTATTATCGCAATTCCACACTTACACCGGTCGTTCGCGAATGCCTTTAAGCCGATGAAAGAAATTGAAAAATATACGATCTTATATTTATCAGCTTGTAAGACAAAGACGTCGCCTATCAACTTACAAGGAACGGTAATGACCCATCCCGGGCTTTGAATGGCTCTCTTCCTTCGCTCGTTATAGCTAGAAGAGCTGAAAAACAAAACAGTCCCACTCAACCATAACGATTAGCTACAAAACTTACAAACGAAATCTTAGGTTTTATTACCTATTATAAAGAAACTCTTACACTCGCCCATTGTGCTTAAACTAAAATATTTATTGAAACATTGATCTTTAATTAAGCAGCGGAAACGCGGCCTGAACTTTATTACAATAACAATTTCAATGTTTCAAAAACATTTTCTTATTTTCAGTGGAAACGTCGAGTTTTCGTCGGAGACATAATATTATTAATGCCTTTCGATTGTAATTAGGGAAAATACTCGATATAAACTTCGTATTTTATTCCTTCGTTCTTTTGTTGTTGTTTACAAAGATTAACTAAATACTAGCTGAGTCAGCGACTTCGTCCGCGAGAATCGTTATTTTGGGCATCCAAATTCGCTTTGCAAACGCCTTCACCTTTATAAACTTAAGCTGTTATCACTACGTCGGTCGCGTCCCTTCCCGTCTTTCTTGCATGATAAACTTAAAAGATAGATATATATAGCGTCGCTTTTTTTAGGTTATTTAAAGAGGAATCATTCTTGCATACATATTTTTTGGGTATCTTGAATTGTTTTTGCAGCGTACGCCTCGGAAACCGATATTGATAAATATATTTCCCAATTTTTGTCACATTTCTCGCTGTATCTTCTCTCCTATTAGTCACGGATCAAAGTTTCATAGCCTTCCTCGATAATTGTTATAACCAACACAAAAAAAAAATCAATTCGATCCCGTAGTTCCTGAGATTAGCGCGTTCAAACAAACTAACGAACCAACTCTTCAGCATTATGTATGTATTATTTTCTATACTACATAGATGTATAGATTTATACGTTTGTAAAATAACAAAAAAATTGCTGAGCGTTTGGGTTTTAAGATGTATTTAGTAAGTATAAAATGTTATGCTCTAAATAAAAGGTAATAATTACGCAATTATATAATTTGGGTATACGAGCAATATTTTATTTTGCAATTGTAAAAATTTACGTAATTTTTTTATTCAATACCTAATAAGGAATGAAACATTGCTTGTCACATACACATAATTGAGTCCGTTCTTCTGATTGATTTGTATACTAACAAGTAGTTGATTAGACTACAGAGCCTTTCATAAAACAAATACTTTGTCCGGGATTCGAATCCATGGCCTCTCGAGCCTTGAAAGCGTTTGATCTTATAAAAATACTAACCTAATACTTATAATATATGACTCACTTTGGGTCACTGCGCTAGCGAAGTAAGTATAATCTATACTAATATATAAAGCGATAGTGTTTGTTTGTTTAAACGCGTTAAAGCAGGAATTACTGGTTTAGAATTGAAAATTACTTTTTTTAGGTTAGAACATTTATTGAGGTAGGCTTGAGGATGTAAAAAATTACACTGCCACTAACAGGAGCGAGGACACAGTAGGAAATGTGAAACAAACTGGGAAAATTAATAATCTTTACGAGTTTCCGTTGCGTACGCAGCGAAAACGGTCCAAGACGTCCAAAAAAGATGTACGAAAGAAGGATTCCTTATAAATTATCTCAAAAAGTGTCCGCGGCAGTATACGTCTACGGACGACGTAACCAGAAGGTTTATATACAAATTTTGATGCACCAATAATTATTTGGTGCATCAAAATGTATATATATTCATACTACGCGGGCGAATTCGCTGACATAGCTAGTAAGTCTGCAGCAGTATATTCATTGCTTACGTTGCATTCTGACAACAATTACCAGGTAGAAATTAGATAGCTTTATTTATATTACGTCTAATCAGCTCAACTGTTATATATTTTTTACATTTAAATATGGTAATGACTGACACAAACTTCATCATTATGGATGTAAAATGAAAAAAAGCATTCGATTTTCAGCTACTTGTATGCTGTCTGTCGTTTACGCGAGTAGTACACATTTAAATATACTTTAACGGTTTAAAACACAATGTATATGAGTTACATTTATTTGAAAATTATCTGTATAGGTTCCTTGTGACCACGGTTGCTGCAAAGCATCCGAAACGTCGGGCCATAGTTAAGATAATTTCAAAGAAGGTTAACTAACATATATCGCGTTTTTAACCGTTAACGTGTTTTGTTTAAACACTTGTACGCAGTTATATGATTAATAGCACATCATATCTTACACTGACGTCCATAGATTCATTGATTACTTACGCCCGGCAATGTTTCATACCCAGCTCGTCTTTTCTTAAATGTATGCTTGTTACAGCCACGTGGATAGCGAATTTCATCAAAATCTGTTGATCAGCTTAAGAGCTTAAGAGCTTTTTTGATTCTGGAACAGACAACCATGGAGGTCACTTGGTGGTTAGGTACACCCCAGCTATATAACAACTACAAAAGATACGCTGTAGACTCTTTTTAGCTTTGGATATTCGGAAATCTACAGACTGAAACCGAAACGCAATGAAACATATGTCTTTTTCACCAGTAGTTCGTGGTTCGTGTCCCGGGCGGAATTAAGATATGCCTACCACCCATAAATTGACATGCTGAACAGTCATACTAGTCAGAAACGTCGTGTGATCACTATCTGCGTGTTTGTAATATAATTACTTAAATCCGTTCTATCTGGGAATTCAATTGCTATCAACTTGATATTGTCAATTTTGTCGCTATTCACAGTACTTCAGGTGTCCGATTCTGTAAATATCACGGCGTTTTTGCGAGAGGCCATCGACAAGCCATCGAGATTCGAGTCCAATAAATGATATTCTAATAAACGTCAATCGCCCGTGTAAATCCTTTATTAGTGAAATAGTAAATGGCTACCGAGAGACCAGTGTATATATATATACACTGGTCTCTCGGTATATATTATAGCAGAATGGGAACATACAAAAAAACGCACGGCACATAAGTTTTATCAGGCAGTGTTTGTTGTTTTAAAAAGAGTCTTATATTTATGTTCGATTCCTGGAGGAAATTATGTAATTGTACCAAAGGATTTTTGTTGGATAAATAAAATTAATAAATATGATAGTAGACATAGGATAAAATTCGATATTTGGAAATCCAAAAACTGACATTTAATCTTTAGACGGTGGTTCGGGCCTCGGAATTTATTAATTCCTACCACCCATTTGATTTCCATCCTGATTTCCAGACAAAGTCTAATGTTTCCGAAAAATTATAAATTGACTAGAAAAATGTTGGACCCGATGGCGATCTAAATTTAGACCCGTTGAAAATTAGCCGTTACAGTTTTATTTCTTTAGTACATAGAGGTACGGCCCATGTTTCTTGGAATCGCTAACAAACAGATATATGTCTGTGCACCGCGGTAAAACGACAAAAGAATAATTTTCTTCCAGCTTTTGCTCTGTATTCAAAGTACGCAATTCAAAAACAAACTACAGACTTCCCAACCCTTTACATTGCAAACGCTCGCTTGTTTGTAATTTTTAAATTAGGTTTTCAACTGAACTGTACCTTTGGCGTTAATTAAAAACATTGGATCGGATTAGGAAGTCGCGTCACAAAATTGTTTTCGAAATTCAATTTATTTTGCTTACTGTTCCTGAAAGGTTAAAAATCTATACTTTCTATATATTAAGCTGAAGAGTTTGTTTGTTTGAACGCGCTAATCTCAGGAAGTACTGGTTCAAATTGAAAAAATATTTTTGTGTTAGAGCAATTATCAAGGTTATATATAGAAACATCGCGCTGCGACTAATAGGAGCGAAGAAACAGCGGCAAAAGTGAAAAAAAAAATTGGAAAAATATTCATCATTGTTTCCGATGCGAACGCTGCAAAACGGTTCACGATACCCAAAAAATATATATTAAAGAATGATTCCTCTTTAAATGATCTAAAAAAAATACACGATGCTATATATCTATCTATTAAGATTGACTTGCAAGATCGACGGGACACGACTTACGTGGGTGACAGCTTAACTTTACGAAGATGAAGAGGAGGTATGCTAAAACGAATTTGGAAGCCTAAAATAACTATTCTTCTATTCGTCTTTGATGAATATTTCATTTAATTTGCGTTTAACCAACACAGTTTCCTTTAAGGTGATCGATCGACACAATCTGAGATAGTATTTGTGTTGTACCTATATTATGTGTGTAGGTAGTGACAACCTCGTAGAGAATTCGATCAGACTTCTGTGCCCTGCTCGAACGAAACATTTTTTTGTTTCCCCGGGATTCGAACCCAGGACATAACCGTTTGTCATCACGATATAGAAGTAATGTACGTATTTACGTGATTGATGATGTTTTTGACCGGCTCGCTGGTGTATGGCTAATAATAAACGGGTCGTGGCTTCTGGATCGCTGGATAATAAATAAATGCATATCGAGATTCCGTCCGGGTCACAAAACATCCTCAGATAAAGCTGTCATGTTTTATCGCGTTTCGGTTTCAGACTGAGGATTTCCGAATATCCAATGCGATAACAGGTGAGCAGCGGATCTGTTTAGATGTTATATGACTATTTAACCTACCATCAAGGGAACCCCCCGATAGTCTGTCCTCCCCCTTAAAAACGGTCTGCATTTCTGAGTTTGTTTTGCTGACAAGAAGTTGACCAGTTATGTGCTCTGTCTGAGCGTAACTATTTATCATTTTTCCGGGAACTAAAGCCAAGACTTCTCGCGTTTAATTATTCACGAAGGTTAAGCTTTAAAGATAAGTTGCTGTGCTTTAAATTTTACGCTTACTTAAAGACATATCAAATGGATGTTTTGTGATTGTTGAAAATTGCGACAGCATCTATGCGTGTAAAATTAATAATTTTGTTCTTTAAGTGTTTTTTTAAGATATAAACAGTTGGCGCCATTGACGTATTCGATAAGATTTATTCAGGTTCGCGTTGCGGGTCATTTGTAACAGTATAAATATATCCATACTAATGTATAAGTGGAAGAGTTTGTTTGTTTGAACGCGCTAATCTCGGGAATCACTGGTTCGAATTGAAAAATATATTCGAAGATACTGTGAAAAATGATTAATTTTTAAGGGGTCTGTAAACTTCAAGATACCTAAAAAATATGTATTAAAGAATGATTCCTCTTAATTTATCTAAAAAATGTCCACTACAGTATACGTCTATCTTTTAAGATGACCTACCTTGGAAAAACAAGTCCAAGAAGTCGCGAGCACAACTAGTAGCATGTGAATATGGTTTAAAAAGTAAGTTGGATGTTTTAAATGAATAAATGAACAGTTTAAAACCCACCCGAACAATTTTTATAAATATCAGTAAATGAAATAAAGAAAATGAATATTAGAAACCGAAAGAATAAAATAACTATTCTACGCAGACGAAGTCACTGACGGAGCTAGTCTCAAATGTACATTTTTAATCATGTTGAAATAAAGATCATTCTTATGACAAAAGAAATATCTCTAACGACATAAAGTAAATCGCTCAAATGACGTATATATCAAACACGTTGCGGTTCGTTTTACCAAATCTAAAGTAAGTTCATCGGTGAGGAAATCCGGTCATTCCCGGAAAAGGCGATAAATCTTGTCTTGCTATAGATAAAGCAGGGTGAGGGGAGGCCAACAGGAGCGAACGAGCAGGAGTGTGTACACTGTACAGTCCCCGTATAGTCGGATCAATAGGCAAGCGTCCTAGGCGCGGCTCGACGGGAGTGCTGTTACATTCGCGATATAACCGTCGAAGACACCGCACGACCACTCAGTCTCCGAACGCTCCTACAACTTTCGATATGCAGGTGAGTCACGCATCGTCTATTTTCGAAATTAGAATACGTATCGCGATTTAAATTCGTTCTCTTTTCGAATTTTCAAATGATTTCGATGTTCGATTTTTGATTTTTTTTCGAATTTCCGTCAACTGCGAAGGTCATTCAGATGTGCTGCGTTTAAACGCTATTATTTGTGATGTAAAAATGAGGTAATTAAAATTAATGCGCAAAATACCGCAGTGGAGGCGGCGGGAAGAGTGTGACGAGGCCCAAGTCTGTGCTATCTCTTCACTCTAGTGTCTTGTCAGTCGACACAAATATTGTGCTGTAACATAAACGGTTAAATCTTTCTCGCTCTAGCCCGCGGGATTATCTTGTCAATTCCATACGTAGAGATTTCATGTTCTTTTTTCCTGGAATGCTGCTTCCACAGGTCTTTTTTTGTATCGCGTTTCTTCGGTAAATCAATATTGCCAGTGTAATTCAACTCTTTTATCCATCCATTCGCGGTATTGGAAAACTCGTTTATATTAAAACTATTTAAAAATACATCACGGAAACTGTAGACTCAAGTTTATGCTTAAAGGTTTATTAACTAATTATCGCAAATGCTTTATCAGCTTTTTTAACACGTTATATTACACGGTAATTACTAACAAGCCATTAGGCATAATATAAATCATTTATAATTATCGGAGATGATAGCCGTGTTATCGGAGGTCAAATAAATGAAGCGACCCCTAACAAGTTTATTTTAGAACCGACGCCATCCAATAATAAACAATAATGTCGTCGACATCACAATAACACTTTGTTTTTAATATTGTATGTCCACTTATTCCGTTTCAAAGACAAGAATTGTTTCACCATAAGCTTACTATATTAAGAAATAATTATTGTACTGCTTCAAATATGAGTATGTTGATATTAAAATTATTCACTCGTGTGCATCTGAAAAGAGGCTTGACAAGAGACACGGCGCTTCGTGCATTGATTAAAATAATTTTCCATAATATTTGTACGAGGGAAACACTAAACTAGCAACAATGCTGCAGTGGCCAAAAATGATTTTAATTCAACCGCGACGGTTACGTGTTTGAAAACAACACTTCAATATTTCAGCGTTACGTTTCATGAAATATTCATTCGACATATTATCGTTTCTTTGATTTTATTCACGTTTCATGATCTAATCAAGTAAAAACAGTAGGAAACAATAGTTATGTATCGTTTTGCATCCAAACTTAGCTAGTTCGGTTATTAGCCAATTAGTAACTAGAATAATGTGTAATTTGAATGATAATACTTTTTATTGGGCCGTCAGTCCCGGTTATCGTCAGAAATTTAGTGGCAGTATTTGTTAAATACCGCCAATCGTACTGCAGTATTATGGGTATAAACCTTCAATGTCTTTCCCTTATGGGAAAGGATACCTGTTCCCATTTTGGGATCTTGATAGGTGCAAACGAATACTTCAAATATTTACCTATTGTTAATTTTTAACATTGGGCATAATTATTATCACACACTGTTCAAGTTAAATTATCTTTTAGTTTGCTGACTATCTGCTTGTATTTTGACCATTATACAAGATAAACCAATTCAACAATATTTAGAATGGAAGTAACTTATTTCGGACAATGATCGCATTTTTCAACAACGAATGATTGTATACACCAACAGACATTTCATCGGTGGTTTAGATTAAGGCTCAAATGTGGGAAATGTTAAGCTATTCAATAATAAAATGAGTTTTATTTATTGAAATAAAACACTTTAACGGTTTAAAACGCGATATATTAGTTAAACTTATTTGAAAATGATTTTTAACTTCGGCCCGACGTTTCGGATGCTTTGCAGCAGCCGTGGTCACGGGGAGACGTTTTAAACCGTTAAAGTGTTTTATTTAAATGTGTACTACTCGCGTAAACTATAGACAGTATTTAAGTTTTATTTACTTAAAAATTTCACGCGTTCTCCGAAGATTTTCCTCCAAATTTAGAATCGTTATCAAGTACGAAGAAAATAGATCAAAAACGTCACAAACGTTCGAAACACGGAAGTTCTTTCGATTTAAAAACGTAAATTTTAATCAAAAATCCTTCGAAGCGAGATCGAAAAAATCAATCCAACTACTATTGAAATATAAAATGTAACAAATAAATTGGAACTTCAAAAATGTAAAGAGGCTTAAATAAATACGAAACATTTCAATAAAATTACACGTCCGTGCATCGTTTTACGAAAATGAACGCTTTGTACAGTATAAGCCTTTGTCGATAATCGGCTTTTAGTATTTCATATCGAATTCATTCAATTTATTTCCTAGAACGCTATTAATTATATTTTAATTGAATTAATCGGATTCGTAAACATTTGCTTCTCGTTATTTTCCAATTTCAAAGCATCGTTTACACTGAAAAGCACGTTTATGCAAGCTCAACAATAAAAACACAATAGGTTTTTAATAGAAAAAGTCTCTATATAGTGTTTTTTACAGCTAATAGTATATTTTTTTGTTTTAATTAGACAAAATATAACGCCAATTACAAGCATTTTCAATTATTCAATCTATACAATCATCCAAGTGACAGTCTATCAAAAAGTAATTTCACACGTTCAAAATAAAGCTTTGTTATATTTATTTGCAAAGTTAGGTACTATATTTGGCAGTTATAAGTTTTATTTAGACATATTTATTTTTATAAACCTTACCAAATTGAATGAGTAACTTCTTTTATCAACCGAATTGACCGGCATTGATGTAGAAGATTTTTGCGACTTGATGTTTTGCGAATTTATAAAGCGAAGCGAATGTATTATCAATGTCAACATTTTATCATAATAATCGTACTTTAAAACTAGAATTTTGGAAATCAGTATTTTGTTTGATAATACTTTATATAAATATTAACCAATAAATTGGCAGGAAAGCTGTGACGTCAAATACCACTTTAGTTATAGTTGATATAATCAAGAACCCATGACTTATTAACTGCATTGTGTAAGTTCAAGGTTTAAATCCAGGGAAACCTAATAATTAGTTCGGTGAGGCAGGGTTTAGAACTTTGATAAACTACTAGTTTAAAAATCGAAAATAAATTGCAAAAAATTTCGACTCGGGCAGGACTTGAACCGGCATTGTCAGCGTTCCGTGCTGTTGCTCAATTAATTTTCGATTTTGAAATTATTTTAAACATATTAAAGCTTCCAAACTACTGGTCGTAAATAATACCACAATGTGTATATCATAACTTTGTTAATGTATTTTGGTAAAAAGTAGCCTATTTTAAATTATTAAATTAAATTCCTCATCACTGTTTGGTAGTTTCTCCGTGAAAGTATCAAACGTTCTTATTATAAATAAAAATTGGAAAATATTTATACTACATTCAATGTACAAGTGCCTTTATATTACAGTAGAAAGACACTGAAACTGATATGTTTTGGAATTAATTGTAAACATGTGCTGTAATGTGATCATTAACATACTCGTTCGTTTTGCGAATTTGACAAATAAAATTGTAGATATGGCTTAGGTATGTTGTAGAGGTACTAGTAAGCTTAGGGTTCACCTTATAAATATATGTTATCAACCTATACACACATGCACACATGGAAATCCACAGACACGAACTTTTATCTCACGGTCACATGTGTGGACGATTCGATATTCCTACCAATCAGATAATGTCCCAATCCCCCCAGCCGCTGGGTAAAACAATATGTTTGAATAAATTACACATACTCTGGACACGGGGAGTCGAACCCATGAACTTTTGACATTTGTGGTGTGTAAGCAGTGAGGTTCACATTTTTTTACCATTCGTACTTATTTATTAAAAGATAATAAAAAAGGTTATTTGAAACCTCATGTCACGTTATAACTCACGTCATGAGAAAATATGTATCCTCCTTTATAGACAAGTCAGCACATTTTTGTGTCTGTTTTTCTGATCGATGCATTTATAGACAACTGTTTTATAAGGCTGTTGAAGCACAGAAATATGCGTTTAACGCAATCTACAATTCATATGACTTTCGTAAAATCTATCACCAAATAACTTTCAGAGCACAATAATTACGATATGAGGCTGCTAGAGGCAGTGGCCTAATAACAACATGATTTTCAATAAGGAGGAAAATAAATATGCACAATTTGCACTATTATTTGTGTAAGAATTTTCGGTCATTGCGCTCTTGTAGATTAATATTTTTAGACTATGAAAATATAAGTAACTCAAGTCATAAAATAGCGGTTAGGCTACTCTGCCTCTAGCGGCCTAATATTATCTCGAATTGTCACATGAGAAAGCACTCATATGAATCTCCTACACGGTATAAAACTGCGAAAGTATTCACGCAAAACTCAAAGCAAGCCGCGAGCGAAAGCTAGTCTTAATTATGAAGCCATCAAAGCAGCAAGCGGTTCTCAGTGTCTGAAAGGCCTGTATTGTTTCAGAATAAACATCTGGGGTGGTTGGTGGCCGGGCTGGTGCTTTTAGCAATCTCTGCAGTGTTTGCAGACGGTGAAATATGGGAGGAGAAAGACCATGAAGTACTCATTCGCAACGAAAGGGGCGCTAAAAATAGAGGTTAGTAGGTATTTTAGGCCGCCGCTGACGCTGTGCGATGTTTTGCATCGCTAGGGCTGTCTACTGCGTTGTATATAAGATATATTGGTTGAGGATTTTTCTTTAAAAAAAAAAATTGTTTCTCCGGAAAATTTTGTTTATTATTATTATAGCCCCAATGATATCCTTTTACGCCATCTTTTATAAAAATATCTTTAGTTCTTTACACCATCCGCCATTTTGTAAACGCAATTTATGAAGTCAATGTCATTAATTACATATATGTTAAGTAACTTATTCCTGGAATTTGTAAGTACATAAATTTACTGTTTTATATACTACTAATAAAGATCTATTAACAAAAATAGGTGAGTATTATATAGACTGTAATTAAATAAAACACTTTACCTGTTAAAAAACGAAATATTGAACTCGTTTACAAATTTTGAAGAGACCTCCCGTGACAGCTGCTGGAAAGCATTCGAAACGTTAAAATAATGTGTCAATAAGTTAAAGTAATATGTAGTAATCATATTTTGCGTTTAAAACCGTCAAGGCAGTTACTACAGACATTGTATATTGGTAATAATTTAGTTTAGTTATTAAGCTCGATTATCCAGACTAAAACAATTATTGGTTCGTCCTAATAGAAAAAATCTCATGGTTTTATGTGAGAGAAAAGAAATACTAGAAACTTGACGCTTTCCAAATATTTATTGCTTCGCACTGTTTGTAATATATTTTTTAAACAAATTTTTGACAGCCCTATACTTAAGTTTAGTTTCAATATCGATAACAGTTTAAAATCGTGTTCTGAATTCAGATGTTTGATCGTTTATGTGCTATGGTAATGTTAGAGGTTTTATAAACGTTCGGCTACAGATATCGCATCCAAATTGAAACAAATGAACTTTCTGATTTCGAATTGTAGCATTGTATAAGTTTATTACATAAACAATTAAGCAATAATTACGCGTAATATATATAATATCTTTACCATTGCGTACAAATACGCTGTAGTTATGGAAATAATTTCATAGTTTGTATTTCTTAGACTGGGTTCATATCCTGGAGAAAAATAATACACTACTGAGCTATGACAAGTTAAATTTAAAGCAATATAGCAAACCTTATATTATACCGTCAATTCATTTACCGCTATCGTCATTAATGTGTCAACGTGCTATGAAATATTTAAAAAAAATGTTCCACTGCACATGTCACTGTTTGCGTTCGGCCGTCGAAGTTTTGTTTTTGCATCTGCCGCATTTCTGTTAAAAGTTTCGTTTTTATTTTAATGTTGCATGTTTACTGTATTTTAAAAATACATTCCCGGCAACATGTGGCTTGGTCTTTGTCACTGTGCGATGCTGAATGGTTGTTCCGATATTTAAACTAGTGTGTCATTTTTTATCCAATGCGTTTAATGTGTTTAAAATCTAAATATGCACTGGTACTCAGGTGTGTGAAATATATTCGAAGAAATTTACCCCGCCACCAACATGAAAAATCTCATTAGAATCGGTTCAACCGTTTTCTAATGCAAACACGTTGCGTAAAGAATAAAAAATTAAAGCAATATTTTTATTTCTATAAATTATTGGTAAATATGTTCTGTATCTATGTTGATTGTTTTGTAGGTATCGAATTACCGTCTCGTGTAGTAGGTATCATCCTTAACATGATTTGATTTGATTTAAAAAAATAAATATATATATATATAAATAATTTAATTAACTTGGCACACTTATAAATTTAAATACATACAAATAAAGATTCTAAATTTGAATTAATAATTCAAAAATTTAAAATATAAAAACTGACTACTGTCAAAAAAAATATAGTTTCTCATCAACAAACGCTTACTTGCACAGATAAATTACAAAATAAGCATTCTTTGCGAGACATTATATCTCATATTTTAGCAAGACCTGACGACTCAACAAGAGTAACGTATGTCTAAACTGTCGAGACATATATCTCTAGACTCAAAATGACGAAGTTTTTATAGCCCACTAATAATTATAATATTATAGAGACATGCCGGTACGTACGGGGCTCGTGGTCGGACTGCGACCCAAAATCGAATGTACGTTCCCGAACACTGACTCTCAAGAAAGGCGACCCTGCAAGCTGTGAACGATCCAAGACAATACAAAAGAAATGCAAGAAAGGTGAGATTCATTGTTTACTAATGCATTTTGTCCGTCTTATCTGAGGTTAATAATCATGACGGGCTCAACGGTGTTATGGTAGCTAATAGATAATGTATGGCTAATAGTATTCGGGTCGTGCGTTCGACCCCATCCGGTACAAACATTTTTATAACTTTTTTTTCTTGAATATTGAAATCCCTTCGAATGACGAACAGGACAGTATCAGTCTCTGGATTTCAGGATCCAAAGAGAAAATGGGTCGACAGCGCATGTGGTTGAGATGTTCTGTGGCTGGGGTACTTTACCTTCTATAAAGTTAACCCGTCGCCTCAATATAAAAAAAAATAGCCATAGTACTAGATAAACCATACAATTTAGGTCCAAACAGGCACAGGTAAGTCTAAAATATCTGAACTTAGCAAGTTCAAATGGTTGTAATGAAATTGATTAAGAAGTAATCGACATGTTTCATAAAATAAATATAGGTAGTTGTCCTTCCTAATAATACTCTTTGCAATTTAAGTTTTTCATTAAATTCGTAAACTAAGCTTATATTATCGTATGTAATAACATCTTATCGTTAGGCCAAGGTCTCGTCCCCGAACTATGCACTCTTAGCAAGGTTTATTTATCAGCAGATATTATTGGGTTACCCCAGAAACACGAGGATATAGCTTCACTTAATGGTCGTGTACAATCTAGTCCTGAATAAAAATAGAACTATGACGTCGCGCTTGCCATCTTTATGTAATGACCATCCAAAACACTTTTACTTTTACTTGAGGCCACTAGAGCCAGACTGGCCTAATAACGAAATACATGACTTTCAATAATTTGTATGTATTTTTTATCTATTCAGCTTGCCGCTATGAAAAGTCATCTTGGAGTGAATGCAACCCCAACGGCGAGATGACCCGTACCGATATGCTGAAGGCAAACAGTGACCCTACGTGCGACCAGAGCCGTCGTGTCACTAAGAAATGCAATAAGAACAAACAAGTGAAATCTACTAAGGACAAGGGTACGATAAAATAGTTCAATTAATAGCAAGGATTTCGTCTGTAAATAAGCCCTTCCCCCCAACTAGTTCCCCCAATTAGTCCACCCAACTACTTGCCCCCACTAGTGATGTGTTCGCGTCGCACGTCTGCTGCAGTTAAATTCAAACTCACACTTGGTGTTCTGACTACTACAATTAAAATTGGAACACAATAATTTCGAAACTTCTCTATTTCGAAAACTTTGTGCATAATTCCAAAATAACTTATTCGAGTTACATTTGTGTAAATTTCGACACATATTCCGACGAAATCTCTACTAATATATAAAGCTGCAGAATTTGTTTGTTTGGTTGTCTGTCAGTATGACACTATATATCTATCTTTTAACATTAAATAATAACATTTGAATCTATAAAGATGAAAAGGAGGTTGGCGAAACTAAATTTTAAGCGCAAAGTAACTATTATACGCGGACGAAGTCGCTGCCACAGCTAGTTAATCTATAAATGGATCAGTTTTTAATGTCATTTTTAAAATTGATACATAATTTGTTGAATGATTTCTTTCTTACAGGTCGCCGAAATCGTCAGTAAATTGATTGGGAGAAGAAATACATTTTTTAGACAGTATGAAACCTTTAATTGTAAAATTAATGATGTTCGTTCGTTAAAATTACATAATAGTGCCAAAAAGTTATTGTTTAAGATTTCTTTGAATGTATCAACTGCTGTTAGTGATAATGCGAATGCGTTTACGTACGCACTTAGAGTACTTTAATTTTTAATTAATACTGAATAAGACCTTTGATAATAATAAACATTATTGAGTACTTACATCGCGTGTTTTATTTTTACCCCCATGAAATATAAAATAAAATAAAAAATATAAGCGCCACATATTACTTAATAGTGGGTCCAAAAAAACTTGTGTCCGATTACCTACAATAAAAGACTGTCTGTAGTTAACGCGAGTAGTACACATATAAATAAAACAATTTAACGGTTTAAAACGCGATACATTTCAATTAAACTGGTTTGAAAAATATTTTTACTACGGCCCGACGTTTAGGATGCTTCGCAGCAGCTGCAGTCTCCATGTGACCACGGCTGCAGCAAAGTGCCGTTAAAATGTTTTATTTAATTACCTACAATAATTTAATTAATTATTTGTATGTTTAAATAAAAAGTAGTTAGCACTTGAAGTGTTTTAAGATTCGTTTTTTTAATAAACAACGGATGTGTGTTATAATAAAAAAAATACGTTTTATCGAAAATTTTAACTTGATATATTAGATAGATAATTTAACCCTTAACATTCGGAGGGTTGACAGAAATACCTAATAATGCAAAATGAACTCCATAAATATAGAATAGACAAAAGTTTAGGAGCAATTTGGTAATAAATACAAGACGAGAAGTTTTATATACTAAAGTACACGTAAGTTACAATTTTAGTTTTACCTGGCGCTTATGAACAGGCAGTGGTTAAACGCATTGCCTATTATTTCATTAATAATACGCAACGCAACCGTAACCAAGGTTAACGTAGCGGTTTCGACTGGACAGGGCACAGAATTTATCAATAATACCTGTGTATAAAATGGACCAGTAAAACAAACTACCAAAATATTTAAAAATACGTCTGAGTAAGTAGTAGTATTATTTTATAAACATGAAAAAGCGTTAAATACTGTCTATAGTTTACGCGAGTAGTACACATTTAAATAAAACACTTTAACGGTTTAAAACGTGATATATTAGTTAAACTTATTTTGAGGATGATTCTAAAATTTCGGATGCTAATAAGTTTAACTAATATATCGCGTTTTAAACCCTTAAAGTGTTTTATTGAAATGAAAAACGTTGGTAGGTATAACATTTTACAATCTTTCATTTTTTTATCGTCTATCCATCGAGCTGCATTCAATAAGTATAATATTCGCGAGATATCGAAAGTTTGTTTAAAAATATGTATGAATGTTTATTGTTTATGTAAGTTGGGTGAATAAAAAAATAATTATGTATACTCAATAGTTGTTTTAGTTCAAAAATACGATTGTGTTGAGCCCACTGCTAACACTTATTATATTATAGTAACGGGGAAAATATAAAGGCCATCTTAAAGTCAGATCATATTGAAAATAGGTTTACCAATTAATTTCGCGTTTTAAAACCTTTAAAAAATTACAACAAAAAAAAAAAACAAACCCAACACCCCCCCTTTTTTTTCCCTTTTTTTTTTTTTTTTTTTTTTTTTCCCCCCCCCCCCCCCTTTTTTTTTTTTTTTTCCCCCCCTCATGTTGTTTTTGTGACTTAAGTTATACATGGTTTTTTTTTTTTCCCCTTTTTTTTTTTTTTTTTTTTTTTTAGGCCACGCTGTGTCTAGCAGCCTCGTATGTTTTTTTGTTTGTCGTTTAGGTGTGTTATTAAAAACTCACCGTATGCCCTTACAAGCGTGCTATGATTACAGTGTATGAATGATATCTTTCTACCGTCATCCGGCTTTTTTCATTTGAAGTTCCGCTAAGTTTTGCTTTGATACATTCCGCCCTTTGAGGTGCGCTCAAGGATGGAAAGTTACTTTACAGCGAACGCCGTTTTCAGTTTTCTGTAAGTATGCACGCCAACTTTTGCATCTGGATTGGATCTCTCTCTAACTCCGACGAAGCAATTTATAGTTGAAGAAGAACTAATTTACTGATATTCGAATAATATATAATGAAATAAGTAAGAACATCGCGTATCGTTATTTACGGAGTTCTGAAATTAAGAAAACAGATATTATTTAAAAGAGTAACAAAACTTTGTACTTAATTAAAACACTTTAACAATTTAAAACGCGAAATATATCTATTATTTAAACATATTTACAAATTATTTTAATTACGGTACGACTTTTTGGATGTTGGTATTCTGGCAAACGCATCCGTAAGGACCCGACCAGTTTCGACGAATACTACTTACGACGGAACAGTGACCCAAGGACGAGCGTGTTGTCTTTTCATCGCAATTTGTATGGAAACATGGCCAGCGCCTCTGTCGGACGTCAAAGAAACTAATTTTGAAAGCACAAATACTTTTAGCCAACTGTCGTAACAGAGACATTTTTCTCATCTTTAGTCTCTCTGTGACCGGGGCTGCTGCAAAACATTCGAAACGGAGGGTCGTAGTTAAAATATTTTTAAAATAAGTATAACTAATATTTTTAATTATATATATATTGCGCTTTAAACCGTTAAATTATTTAATTTAAATGTGTACTAATGTAAAATACCGAGAGTATTTACAACTTTGTATTCTATAAATATTTGGTATTATCCGTAGCGCAAAAAATATGGTAACAGATCAAAGTATAATCTAATACCGGGAAAAATCAGAGCAAAGTTATAAATGTCTCTCAGTAACGAACTAGGTAATGCAATTCTCAACTCGGCCGCTACATTCTGCTAACTTGATTTGAGCTCAGCCGTCCAGTGAAAATTCACTGAGCACGCTCGTGACTCGACTGAAAATGCATGGCGGAAGTCTGTTATTTCATTTGGAAATTGGATCCTAGCAGACACATCTCAATACCAGAAGGCGAGGCATAATTAGTAAATATGTCGGGTGAGTCTGACGGGATCATTGAGTCTAATGTTAATGTAGGACTAATAATCAATGGCCAATGGGTAATTTTTCAATTTGTAATTATTTTGAGGCAGACTGTGTGTAGGAATATAGAAATACCGTCTGAGTCACGAACTACCATCCACAGATGAAAACACCGCGAAGATTAATAGCGTTTCGGTGTGTCTGTGGATTTCCAAATATCCAAAGACAAAATTGGTTGATAACCTTGACAGGCCGGGGTATATCAGCTACCACCAGGTGAACCATGTGCCATGTCTGTCCTCCTATATCATACAAAGAAATATGCATTTGGGTGTATAAATTAAAAACCGATTATACGACTCGGGTAGGACTTGAACTGGCGTCAGCATTTCGTGCTGTTGCTCTAACGAATTGAGCTACCGAGTCCTACGCGTCGTCGTCGAATTTTTTCAAACTTATGATACACGCGCTTCTCGTGCAATGGAATTTCTAGAAAAAAACATAAACCAGAATCGTTATATTATAGTTTTGCGAAAAATAGAAAACTTATGCAATAAGATGACGTCACGATGTTGAAATGTGAAAAATTACGTCGTCTATCGTTTTAACGTGAAACAGAACTAGAATATTTTTAACTATTTTTTATACCTATACTAATATATAAATCTGAAGAATTTGTTTATTTGTTTGAATGCGCTTATATCAAGAACGTCTGGTTCAGAAATCGAAAATAAATTGATGTAGTAGGAATATTAAAATTCCATCCGGGTCACAACCACCCTTCACTGACAAAAAGCCTTAAATAATAATTATTTAATGTGAAATATCCAAAGTGAAAGTAGATCGATAGTTTAGATGCTATACGATTGGGGTATTACATATGTCTACCATGTTCATGTCCTCCTTTCTTATTTAAAAATGGAAGGACTTATATCATCTCAGTTTTGGAGGTTCATTTATTTGCTTCAGAAATCATGATAAGTCGTCAGTTCGGGTTACCATTAATACACTATACTAATTCATAGCTCCTTTCTCCCTCCAGTGAGAGTGACCCATACATGTTGAAGAGAGGTTAAATGAAAAAATATATATATTAACAGCAATTTATTATCGAACATTTGAATTCAACATATAAAACTTGACACTGTATGTTTGCGACTCGTTTGTCGAAATGAAAATTATGCACCTATATTACCGTCTCCCTAGGACGAGTAGCAAACATGGCGGTCAGGTTTTATTTACAAAATATAATAAATTAAATAAATAAATCGCCTATTCTAGAATAAATACTTCAACTAGGTGAAACAATGTTGAAGGATAGCGCTAAACTAAATCTATTGGCAAACTAGAATGAGTTTCGTGTATATCACAGGTAAAAGTACGTATGTACGGATATAAATAATTCATTTATTTGAACAGCTGTTTCGCGTAGTACCAGATTCTGAAGAAGTACTCGTCCCTTCTGAGGAGGGAGCCTCGGGCGTATGAGCGTATATCGGCGTCCATGTTGTGGTCCCGGAGCCAAGATGTGGTCGTCTGACTGAAGGAAGTCGGCTCCGTAGCCTCAGTATGTTCTCCGGGCTCCTCCTCGTAGTGCGAGTCTGAAGTAAATAAAACTTCTATTATAATAGTTGGGATTTATTCAAATAACACTTTTAACCATCTCTGTAGCTAAAATGCTTAAGTGTTGACTACTGTCTATAGTTTACGCGAGTAGTGCACATTTAAATAAAACACTTTAACGGTTTAAAACGCGATATATTTATATCGCGATATATTATAGTTAAACTTATTATACCTTAATATATCACGTTTTAAACCGTTAGTGTTTTATTCAAATGTGTACTACTTGAGTAAACTATAGACAGTATTTAATTTTAAGGTTACTAAATAAAGCCATATTCCAGTAGTGGGCATTGTTAAAGGACTATTATGGATGACTTATTCTTACCTTCTCCAGGCAGAACCTTGAAGGGTTCATCAGACTCCAACGGTTCACTGAGACCAATCTCGTTCCTCGCGTATATCCGTACCATATACGTATGATCCTCGTTCAGGTCGCGTATATTGAACTTCAGGTTATTGGCATCAACCTTGCCGACTTCTATCCACATGGTTTTGGTGACGTCACGGATAGCTATGTTGTAGCCGAGGAGGGGCGCTCCACCGTCCCACTCTGGTGTTCCCCATGACGTCATCACCATATTGTTACCCACCATTCTGATTTCGAGTGGTGCGGTCGGCGGTGATGGTACAGCTGAAAATATACGTCATCATTTAAAGGTATTGTTAGACGAATACTGAGATGACGTCATCAAGGGCGCCATAAGAAGTAGTAGTGGCAAGTCTATATAAGCCTCCCTTGGAGCACCCTTGGTCTATTAGATGCCCCGGGCCCAATACGTTATAATGAATAAAAAAAAACATTTCGACGAGTTTTCTTGCGGCGACGTCTTGTCTAAGGGGTGACTCTGCCCGATTGAGTAGTTTATTGTAGTTTAATATTAAGAATCTTTACTTATATTTTATAGCTGAAGAGGATGTTTGTTCGCACGCATTAATCTCAGGGACTACTGGTTCGAGTTAAAGAAGGTACAGAGGAAGAAGAAACGGGGAAAATCCGGCTTCCGTTGCGTGAAAAACCGCAAAAATCCGAAAACTGTGTATGAACGAATCATTTTTCTTTAAATAAATTACAAAATGTTTGTCTATATTTTAAGATTAATTCTATAAAAATCGTATCGTGGGTCAGCTCAAATAATTTGTAAAGCTAAGGAGGTTGTTTAAAATTTTTTGTCTCATTCCTCGCGGACTATGTCGCGGGCACAGCTATATGAGATCGTTTTTATTATTGTTATAGATTAATGCAATGACTATTTTCTTTGTTGTGTTATGTTTTAAATATAATCTCCATCTGTCGAACATTATTTTGCGACCAAAAGTCATTTCATTTTTATTGGCCACTATCAAACCATATGATTGTATGCTTATTATTATAATAATAATAGTCATTTTTATAGTAAATTGCATATTTTTATATTATAGCAGTAATTAATTCGCGATAAATCTACCTTATATGTTCAAAATTAAACAACCAAGACAGAATGCATGTAAAATAGAAGCTTAAAAGTTCTATAGCAAGTGCGAAAACATAAACCGTCTTTCATAGTAGCGTTAAACTTTAGATGAGCAAACTTTTCGATACATTTTCTTCCTAGTAATTAAAACTTTCATTATTATACTTGCAAATGACGTTATATGATTTAACTATATTACACATTAATTGGGGCGTGATCAACTTTTGTATGCGCGCTTGTTAAGTTAAGAAATATTGAAAATTTAAGATATGACCGGGATTCGAAGCCTCGACAGAGAATTGAGCCTTCAAACATGCACTTCTCGTAATCAAAATTCCACCTTAGTCGTTTAGAATTGAAGTCCATTTTATGTTTTTCAGTGCAACATATTTCAATGCGATGTTAGAACCATAGTTCGTATGTTTCGACGATTGGTATTCTTTGTGCACTGTGGCCTAAACTGGGGGGGAGGGGGTGTTGAGCCGCTGCCTAATTGTATAATGTAATATATAAAGCTGATAACTTAGTTTGTTCGAAAGTCCTATTCACAGGAACTATTGGTTCGAATTGAAAAATGCTATAGGAAGAGAAGCCTTAGTGTAAGGCTTTAACCTATAAAACATAACGACGATGAAAAAATGGGGAAAAATTCATCGTTGACGGCTTCCGTTGTTGTAAGACGACGAGACGACAAGGAGACGCGACCGACGTCGTGGGTAACACTTAATTTTGTAAAGATAAAGGGGATGTTTGCAAAAGGAAATTTGGAGGCCCAAAATAACTATTCTACGTGACGTCGCTGAATAACACAGCTAGTTAAATAAACATATAATTAACAGCCTACGTTCCTTTGACGATTGGTATTGTGTAGTGTAGCCTAAAATAGGAGGGGGGGGGGGATTTATATACTCACTAGCATGCTTGTCCAAGCGGACGTTCTGTGACTGCGTGGGTAAGCTGACACCAATTGCATTCTCAGCTGATATCCGGAACACGATCTGTTCCTTCTCCTTTAGATTCTCTATGCAGTGCTCGTAAACTGAACCACTGACGGTTATCACCTTCGACCATGATTTTCCCTTCACGGTCTTGTATTCTATTATGTAATCTGAAAGAGAGGCATTTGATATGAAGATAGCAGCGTGTGAACCGATATGAAACTAGTTTCGGACTCTTGGTTCGCTTTGTTGAAGCAAATGCGGTTGAGGACAGACAACCATTCACTTTAAGGTGAAATTCTCCAGCCAAAAAATTTCAACAAATGCGTTGTCGACATTATTTTGCTTTACATATTTGGAAAACCACAGACTGAAATCGAACCACGATTATACTTCAAGTATTTTTCATCTATGGAAGGTGGTTTAATATCCACATTTCCAGTCTAAGTTCAACATGTTTCAGATAAATTATAAATTGATTAAAAACATGTTCGACCCGGTGGAAATCGAACCCACGACCCGTTGTCATTACACACTACTACTATTAGACCCATTGTCGGCGTTTCTTGTGTTTTCCTTGGAAATTTTGAATTTCGAAGGTAACGGTTAAAATAGTTGGTCATATTCAACTACAAGTTGCCCTCTTTGGCTTTGAAACGCGATAGATCACAAATGTCTAATTATCTACGTACTGTATATCATTTCAATCAATGAAAAGGCACAGAAACGTGTCTGTGCTTAACTTACTTGTTATGGGGCTACCTCCATCACTATCAGGTGCCCTCCACTGTAATGTAACAGACCTTGAGGTTATGTCTATTACAATGAACCTCTGTGGGCGCGATGGTGGAGCTAAAATATTAAAATAAAAAGTGTAAGCTTTCATATTTTATGCGTGCTTTTAGCTTAATTAGCATTTAATAAATTCAACGGATTAAAACATCTTTTAATTAATAGAGTATAAAATAAATACTGTTAATTATGACAAATTTTTAGTTTAGGTTTGTAGTTAAAATGAACTTTAAATCCGTCGAATCTCTTATATGTGTTTATATATCTACTATTTTTTTAGTATTCAAGTAAGCCGAATATTATGCAAATATAGATGTTACTTTAGCAGTTTACGCAGACATCAAATGTTATATCAATACGTATTATCGCTACTTTTAAAGCAGAGGTTTTTTACCATTAAAATTGAATATTTTTATATTAGTTTCATTAGCACAGTGGTTAAACGCGTTGCTCAATATTGCTATAAACAAGACAAAATTGATTTGAATCCTAAAAACGGTAATAAGTGGTTCCGCTCGGGCAGTGTACAGAAGTATAAACCAGATGTCTATAAGTAGAGTCTGTAGTGTACACATCATTGTAGTTTACAACTGTAGTACATATTTTAATAAAACACTTTTAACGGTTAAAAACGCGAAAAGTAAAACTTGCGTAGCCACTTGCGTAAGTAAAATAAATAAGTTTTCGCGTTTTAAACCGTTAAGTGTTTTATTAAATGTTTCTTTATATCAAAATTGACCAGTGAATCGGACACAAGAGAAAGGGAATTTCTTTGTTCACTAGCATAATTTGTATTAATAACTAGCTGTGCCCCCGACTTCGTTCGCGTGGAATATCGCGTGACTTGGAGTAGAATTTTGCAATGATTTAGGCTTTTAAATAAAACACTTTAACGGTTTAAAACGCGATATATTAGTTAAACTTATTTGGAAATTATTTTTAACTTCGGCCCGACGTTTCGGATGCTTTGCAGCAGCCGTGGTCACTGGGAGACGTCGGGCCGAAGTTAAAAATCATTTCCAAATAAGTTTAACTAATATATCGCGTTTTAAACCGTTAAAGTGTTTTATTAAAATGTGTACTACTCGCGTAAACTATAGACAGTATATGATTTCGGCTGTTTATTAATTTATGTAATTGCGCATTTATCGCAGCCAATCTATGTTGTAAGTGCTACTTTGCCGCAACACTCTCGCATCTGTAATATTAGTAAGGATGTAAGGCTAAGCTGTTTAGTTAAAATTTAAATTCTATTTAGATTTTTAAAAATCGATGCCGATTGAGGTCTCGTACTGTTCTGCTGCTATAACAAATTGAGCTACCTTGTTTCGCGTATCCCTCATTCATTTTTTTCAACCATTTGGTACATACACCTTAGCGCAATAATTAAGCAAAATATTATATTTATATGTTATTAAATACAGCGTTATTAAATACAGCTACATTTATTTTGGCATGGCACGTCATTAGCGTAAGCGAAAATTCCGATTGTCAAAAACCTACACAGCGTTTTTCCAATGGTGATCTCCTTTTCCGAGACATACGGTAGACTAGTACCAATTTCGTTCCTAGCGTATATTCTAAATTTGTATGTGGAATTTGGTAATAATTGTTCTATATGCGCCAATGTTTCTGGTACTGTCGCGACGGTCGTCCAGCTTTTGCCGTCTTGTTTTATCTCTATAGTGTAGTCGAGGATCGCTGAACCACCGTTTCGTTCGGATGGGTTCCATGTTACTGTTACGGAATTTCGATCAATGCCGTAAAAGCCAAGGGGACCCAGGGGCGGTGTTGGAACGTCTTAAAAAATTAAATGGGATTAAAGTAATTTGTAGGGCCGATGCGCCGATCTTTGCTTTGAAACATCACCTTACATGGGTTCAAGGTATAGATATTCATGCTATTAAAATGGAATTATCGTAATAATCGCACAAACAAGATTTTCTTGTGTCTTTGTAAAATCATGCTATAGACTTTATTAATTAATCTATGATTTTGACCTGTATACACAAATGTAATGGAACTGCAATCAAACTTAAATGGATTGTGCGTGAGCTTATGATATATGACGAGAACAGTAGACACTAAGACATCATGATCTTTGCTACAATAAGATCAGCTTGATATAGTCAAGCTAATCCCTTTCGTGGCTAATTGGTTAAACATACGTCCTAGAATCGGCTCTCAGGAAAATAAAGGCTCTGTACGTTACCTGTAGATAGAATCGATCAACGAAACAGAACAAGAAAAGTTTCCTTCCAATTCCACACAGAAGGGAGCAAGGGGATTACAGAGGACACTTATCAAAAAATCAAAATATAACCTACCTAGAGCAGTCTTAATCACAATCGGTTCGCTCTCCAAAGCGTCCGATAGTCCAACAGGATTCTGTGCCATAATGCGGAACATGTATTCACAATTTTCGTTCAGTCTTTGAATACAGTAGGTTTCCACATCCTTGTTCACGTCGGCTACCTTCACCCATTGGTCTACTTCGGGATCGTGTTTCTCTATAGCGTATTTCGTGAGTTCTAATCCACCGTCGTCTACTGGCGGTCTCCATTCTATTGTTACCGATTCCCTGCTTATCTCCCGCATTATCACGGGACCCTCGGGCCTGCTTGGCTTATCTGAAATACAAGCTAGCGTTATTCATGAAAAACGTTTTAAATCTACAACTAGTTCTCAAGGCAGCAGAAATGTTTTATTTATGGAACGTTTGCAATTATAGTAAAATCAAACGATAAAGTAAAAAATAATCGTTTTAAACGCTGTCTGTAGTTTACGCGAGTAGGTCCGTAGTTAAAATAATTTTAAAATAAGTTTAAAACGCGATATAAACTATTAAACTTTATAAGGTTATACATCGCGTTTTAAACCGTTTAAGTGTTTTATTTAAATAATTGTTTTATTATGGCTCCACAAATTGAATTACCGTCTATTTATATCTAACTCTCGCGCAATACAATATCAAACTGAATACTCAATGAATTTATTTGCAACATGGACACAGTTGAGTGGACAATGCGTGTACAGTAGTCAAGTACAAAATCATTTACGCTTACACAGTACGAGTTCTTACCGAATACTTTAAGTGAAACATCCAAAGATGACTTTCCAGCTTTATTGCTCGCCTCAATCGTGTACTTCCCGCTATGGGACCGTCTCAAGCTGGATATTATAATTGTGCTAGAAGATTCCGTGGTAACAATCTCTAATTCCTCTTTTGTTTGTAGCCTAACACCGTTCTTATACCACGTGACTTCTGGTTGTGGTATGCCGTCTAATGAGGCGGTTAGTGTCCATTCGCTGTCAATTTTGCTCTTATAATCATATTCATCATCGGGAACTCTTATTATTGGTTTCAATTGTATTTCTAGATGAGAAGATGTGTTTACTTCACCATATTCATTAGTCGCTATACATTTGTATTCACCTTCACTTGTTTTTGTTGCCGTTATAATGAGAGTGGCAACCCGATTGACATACGAGGCTTTGGCCGTCTTAAGTTGTTTTCCATTCTTTGTCCAGGTCACCTTTGGTTCTGGTATACCACCGAATATACAGGACAGCTCAACGCATTCATCAGGGCTTACTAGCATATCCTTCAATGGTTTTTCGACGGTTGGCGCTTGTCCCTTTGTGATTTTATCTATTCTTACGAAGTCCGTTACCTCAGAAGCTTCACTGACCCCGACTTCGTTGACAGCGAATACGCGGAACCTATACTCGAACTTGGTTTTTAAGTTTTCGACACAATACTGATTTAGTCTCACGTTTTCTATCGACATCCACCTGCAAAGTAATTTAAACAAGATTTTACATTACTTGTAGATTTGAAACAAGCAGAGAACACTTTTACACCTATTTGTTTAAACATCTTTAATAGTTCTCAATAATGTGTATGATCTAAACCACGTAGACAACAGCAGATGTTGTTTAGATATCTAAACAATAAACAAGATGCGTCAGGGTATCTGCCTGGAGTATTACATATTCCAGCTAGTGAACAGGACACTTGTCTCTCCCAACAGAAATATAAATGGGTATCTTTCAATAAAACATATACGAGTTTAAATAGTTTACTTACTCTGTGGTATTTTTCTCTTGATATTCTATAATATAGCACTGAATCTCTGAACATCCAGTGTCAACCGGCTCGTTCCAGAATATATTTACAAATGTATTATCTATTTCCAGAATTCTGGGTGCTCCCGGCGGTGATGGAAGATCTAAAATCACATTGTTAGTCGATTAATGTAGTAGTAATAACTTATTATTTATATTAAGTGCGCGCATTCAGTACTAATTATCATATCTTACCTATAACTATAACTTTAACCTCAATTTCCACTTCACCACAGTTATTCTCAAGTTTTAATCTGTATAAACCAGCATCGGAATGTTCAACTTTCTTAATAGTGAGACTCGCTGTCTTGGAATCAATTGAAGGTTTCAAATGTTTAGAACGCTTTATGATCTTGGCGTTAACTATCCATTCATCGTTGGGCGGTGGATTTGCTTCATATTGAATATTTATAGTTATATCGCTGCCTCGCTTGACTCGGTACTCCTTTTCATACGATATCAATTTGGGCGGGAATTCGATAACTGAAGAAAGGGCAATTAATATGAGTAATTGTATTTACAAATTGCAATGGTCATAGGCTAAAATATTTTTTTTTGTTAAATTACAACAAGAATCACATATATCTTACATCTTTACATCATCATCTGTTAAATATAAAGATGATATGTATAAGCCTGTTATATGTATACCTGTTATATATAACATATATTATGTGGTTCTTGTTTTTCATCTATATTTGAATGAAGCGTAATACAGATTATTTTAATTTAATTTAAGCATAGCCTAACTTACCTTCTACTTTCAATTTCGTTGAACATCTAGCTTCTAATAGAACGCAGGAATACTCGCTTTGGTCCTCTTCAATACATTTTCGGATAATAAGTGTGCGTTTCTTACCATCCCTAATGAGGGTAAATTTATCTGTGTCCTCTATCACGTTCTTTCGTTTGAACCACGTGACGTCGTATTGTTCATCTGGAATTTCAACTGTTAAGTAAGCATCTGTGCCCGCTGGTACGACCATCACTTCAGGAAGACGCAGTGTGAAATCAATGGATGGCTCATCGACGAATAGTGTTGCTATGCATCTGTCGTTACCAACTTCACACGCGTACTCTCCAGCGTCACTCAAGTCACAATCGTAGATCTTCAATTTTTGTTTCTTTCCATCGATAGTGAGCTGTATGTGATTTGAAAATTGTATTTCCGAATCGTCCTTAAACCATCTAACTAAGGCGTCGCCCTTTGTTAGTTCTATTTCAAATGTAGCCTTATAACCCTTGTTTACACGCTGGTCTTGAAGACGAGATATAATTTCAGGCGGCAATTCAACTACAGTTATTTCAGCGCTACAAGAATCGTCACGCAGTTTACATAAATATTCGCCTTCATCGTGAACAGAAGTGTTTCGTATAAATAATTTTCGAATATTGCCTCGTTTCTCCACTTCATATTTGTTCTTTTTTGGTGTAATGATTTCACCGTCTCTTTCCCAAACAACATCTGCAGTTTCGGAATTCACTTCAACCTCCAAAATTGCGATATCTCGTTCCTTCACTTCAAAGTCTTGCAAGCGTCTTATAAATTCTGGGATGGTTTCACGGACACTCATGTTTGTACCTGTTTCTTGATCTTTAACAACGCATTTAAATGATCCTTGATCTGAAAGTTTCACTTTTTTGATTCTTAACTTGTGAACTCTGCCTTCTTGTATAATTTCTCTGTGATCCATACCACTTAGTTCTTTGTTATTATGATACCACTTTGTGGAAACTGTGTGCGACGTTTCACATTCTAATATAATTGTTTTTCCTTCCTCAATCTCATATTTTTTCTTAAGTTTCTTAACAAAAGTAACCTTTTCCACGTCGATCGTGACTTTAGCACCATGGGATGCCTTACCAGCGCTATTAGATGCTACGCATTTATAGTCGCCGGAATCTATTTCTGAATCAACGTTTGTTATCGTCAATTCGATATTTTCTCCGTCGAATCTCTGGGTTACTGTCTCTGATGGTGCGATTATTTTGTTATTTCTATACCACGTTATAGATGGTACTGGATTCCCTGTTACTTTGGCATTTAATCTTATAGTCTCTTTGTCTTTTACCGTAATTTCTTGGAATCTATGAACAAAAAGTGGGGGCTCGGCGTTTTCCTCGGTAGGTTCTGTAATAATATTATTTAATTATAATAAGATATAAAAAAATACACAACATACAAAAACAAAATTATCAAACAAAAACAAAGCAAAACATAATAATTTGTTTACCTTCTATCATAATGACTGCAGATGTTTCTGTTGAACCCTCTGAATTGATAGCTTTCAATGTATAAACACCATCATCTTTGTCCTTCTTGGGTTTTATAATTGTAATAGAGTGAACGTTACCGTCCGACTTAGAAGAAACACTCTTTAAAGGTTTATTGTTTCTGTACCAACTAACCGTGGGTTCTGGATTTCCAACCACTTGTGTGGTTAACACAAAGCTCTCGCCTTGTCTTATTGTGATATTTTTCAAAGGCTCAATTACCTGTGGCTTTTCTTTGTCCCCGGTTCTTATTTTGAGAACTATTGGTAAACTTGCTTCACCTTCTCTATTTATTGCTAATACCGTGTATGTTCCTTCTTGATGTTTCTTTACGTTCGTTATTTTTAGTACACTACAATACATATGCATATCCGACTCAGTTACTATAGATATATTTGAAATAGGCATAATTTCTTCACCCCTAAACAACCACGTGATATCAGGTTCAGGAATGGCAACTAAGCGGCATTCTAAGTATATATCAGAGTCTTCATCAACGTATTGTGCTTTCGGACGCTTTGAGAAAGTTGGTGGTATACCTTCTAGGATATCAGCTAGAGATGATTCCCTCGAGAGACTCTTTCTAGATAATATAGTCATTTCAGACCCGTGGTCAGAGAGTGGGGCTTCAACAATTAACTCGGTAGTACTAGATGCAAATCCGGCAGCATTTTTGGCAACACACGTAAAGGTACCTGCATCTTCAGGGAATACTTCGCGAATTACTAGTGTTGCAACATTATCATCATCATAGTACATTTGGAAATCTTGAGACGGTTTAATAATGGCGGTTTGTCGGAACCAAGTTATTTGTGGTCTTGGATAGCCTTCAACTTGGCATTCGAATTGGACTGTCGACCCGTCCGGGGTGTGTTTTGGTCGTAACTTTTCAACAAATATTGGGGCTATTGCTTGTTCCTCAGATGTTGGTTCTATGAGTAGGAAAAAAAACAAATTTAATTCATAATTTTTACACAATAGTCAATAGTAGTAGTAGTAGTAAATATAACTAAAATTTTAGTTTTCCGCTACGAATACCCAAAAAAATTTAAAAAACTCCCTCGTAACAACTTACTTATATTTGCAACTAAAACTTACTTTCGAACACTGGAAGTTTATCAATTTTCTCATTCAATTTCTTCTGCAGATATAGTGTATAAGTTTCTTCGTCCATTAGGTACTGCGCGGGCACCCATCCTAACTCCTCCGTGAGGTGTTTGCGTACGTACCACCAATCTTGATTAGCAGTATCTATAGATACAAGATAACAAGTAATATTGAAATTAGGATTATATAACAACGTTAACCAACCGATGATTAATAGTTCAAAGAACTCTCCAAGAAACTGCACGTCATTGTCCCTTTTAAATTTGAAATTGTAAACGTAAGGATTAACTTGTTTCCGTGAGCTTAAAATTTTGTTAGAATGTAGTTATACAATAAAAGCATAATGTTGTATTTAATTTTATTTCACGTTTTTAACTTTTCATGTCGTCACGTAATATTTCTTCACCGCACTCCCTTAGCAATATTCCCTTCGCCTGGCAATACTTATGCTCAGTGTAATACCCTGCCAATATTTATTAAAATGAAGTTCATACTATAAAAATTACAATTCATCAAAAGACAGGTTCTCAGAACTATAGAGGAAAACAAGAAATCGCATAAATAAGGTATAACCTTAAAGTAGTTAGTTTATGCTACCTACCTAATATGTAAAGGCGTTCTCCCTCCACTAGGTTAATAGCTTCATCAGTTTCTGCTACATACGAGTAAACCGCGAATACGGTGTCACCACAGCGAACGTTAACTGGAGTATCTAGAACAAACGAATTTTCCTTTAAAAATAACCATTACAAAGGGTAGTTTTTTTAAATCTACTTCTAATTTTACAGATAGTATTGCTTCACTTGCTACCGTTTTTAATAAAAAATAGAGTTTCAAACATATATACCGTGTTAGATCTAGCTTCTGGGGAATCTGGACATTAAATGGGAATCGTCAAAATCTAACATAGTTCGACAATAACTTTTTATTAGATATTGAACGATAATATGTAACCTCCATTTAAGTGTTTGTTTGTTTGACATACTTTGTCAATAAAATGTGATATTAAATAATTTAAAGGAAGCTACTTACCAGGGAATTCCTGTTCTCTCGATATGCTCATGGTGACCTCTGCTTCTGTAAGAGAAACATTACACAAAATTAGCCTAAGCGAAAAAGCGGCAAAAGCTTGCAGAAATATTCTACGTAAGTAAATATATCGTCATCAGGAAGTAAGCAAGATATATCGAATTAGAAAAAACGAAACGATGATTTTACCTTGTAAGGATGGCTTTTTGGGTTTCCGTTTAGTTGATATTGTGACTTGTTCTTCTTCAAATGTCACTTCAGATCTTTTCTTAGGCTTAAGTTCCACACTCAGCTCTTCAACTTCACTAACTTCATAAGGCGTCCGTTTTTGTTTTCGTTTAATGACCATTTCGACATTGTCATCCGATTCTCCTTCACTTACAATTATCTCTTCCGCTTGACTAGTGTCCTCAATTTCTTTTTGTAATTGAATTAAAACTTCATCCGCAGCCTCGGATTTACTTAAAACTTTCTTTGACTTTAATTTAATTTTACTAGACAGCGATAGGTCTTCCTGCTTAAACTGATCAATTTGTTGTTTGACATCAAAGGCAATCTCTTCTTGATTATCGATAACGTATTTAGGCTTCTTTTCTAGCGTTATATTCACGTCTTCACTGATTTCATCGACTTCATCTGGTGTTTTAGGTTTAGCTAAGGTAACAGAAGTATCATCTAAAGTAACTGTAACGTCTTTTTGTTTCTTCTTTGGCTTTTTCATCGATAATACAATATCCATTGGTTCATTACCCATATCTTCTTCTGTTTCTGATATAATTATTTCCTCAGGACCTTCTGTATCTTCTTTATCTTCATAAAATTTAATAGAAGTTTCATTAGCTTCTTCGCTAAAGGTCGTTGGTTTCTGTTGTTTCAATTTGACCTTACTAGACATAGAAATTTCTTCTTCAGCATAGGAATTTAATTGAATATTAAACTCTTGTTCAACATCTTCCAGAGTTTTAGTTGTTTTAGGTCTAAACATAACAATTTCAGGCTCCGTTATTTCTGGAAGAGTAACTGACGACTTTCTGGTTGGTTTTAATTTCTTTTTAATAGTAACTTCATTTTCAATTTCTTCAATTTTTTTAACACTAGGTCTACGCGGTTGAATTATGAATTCTTCAGGAATATCCTCTGGAGTCTTTTCTTTTACCTCTTCGGGTATTTCTTTATATTCAGTTACTTTTTCACTAGTTTCCATTAGATCGTCGTGAGTAAACATTGGTTTTTCTAATTCAGTTTTTTCTACGTCAGGGAGGATTGTTACTTTCACAGGTTTTTTCTTAATTTTTGCAGCTTCTTTAACGTTTCTAGATAAAATTCCACTCTGTCGAATACTATCAATCGTCGAAATCAAAGGTTTAATAATTTCCGGTGGCCAGTCGTTAACGAATTTTACGCGACTCTTTAACTGAAGTTTAGGTATTTTAACAGAAGAAGTGTCTTGCTTTGGCTGTGTTGATGTTTTCTTTAGTTTCACTTTTGTAAATTGAGGAGTGTCAATACTTTCAGCATGTTGTGGCTTATCCAATTCCAATACTTTTTTTTCTATTTTTATAGGAACCAACTTTTTGGGTTTCTTCGTTATTTCTACATCGTTTGGTTCTTTTACTTCAAGTCTCTCCTCGGGACCTAAAGTTTTTTCAATCGGCACTTCTTTCTGTGTGACTTTATCCGTATCAATTTCTATAGCTTCTACTTTTTCTAATTCACATGTTTCTAGGTCTGGTAATTTCAGCATTTTTGTTTTCTTCTTTATTTTTTGTGCTTCTTTGATGTTGCGTGATAGTTCTCCACTTTGCCTTATACTTCCAATTATAGTGATTAAAGGTACAACTGGACTAGGTGGCCAATCTGTTACAAATTTGATTCGGCTTTTTAATTGAAATTTGGGCAAAGAAACCGTTTTTGGCTCTTGTTTAGGTTTTTGTGCAGGTTTTTTAAGTTTAAGTTTAGAAAACTGAGGTCCTTCCACTTGGTCTGGTTGTTGAGGTTTGCTGACTTCTACTGTGACGTGTTCGATTTTTTGAGGTTTTAATTTTAATTTTGGTTTTTCTACAATTTCTTCAATCTTCTGCTTATCTTCAACTTCTTGTTGAGGCGTTTTCTTAACTTCTTGTCGTTTCGTTTGCTTTGGTTCATCATCCTCTTTTGGTGTAACTGGAATGAATTGTATGAAAATTACAAATATAATTACAAATAAAAAAACATATTTTGATAAACCACCTTGAAAAGTATATTTGACACCAAATAAACATTCCTAAACTCGCTTTAGCTTCTTTTAGGTGTGTAAACTTAAGTACTACACATACATATAAGAAATTGGTAATTGTTAGTCAATTTCTACATTGTCTAATCCTTAGCTTACCTTTTGGTGTTTCAATTTCCTTCGCAGCTAGGACCACTGGAGTTGGTTCAGAAATTGTACTTGTCTCTTTAAGGTCAGGGACTTGAACAATTTCTGGTAAGTCTTTGATGACCTTTTTTGGTTCTAAAGTGGCTGATTCTTCTAGAGGTGTAATAAAATCTTTTGTAACTGTAATGTATTCATTTATAGAGGAAGTCTGTTTAGCAATTTCTGCTGCTTCATGAATAACATCGTTTAATGGTAAAATAGTTTCGGAAATATCAGGTATTTCTGGGACTGGAACAATTTTCTGGACTTTTCTTTTAATCGGTTCAGATTTTTTGATTTCACTTGATTCACGTTCGCTGGATGTATCATTCCTTTGCGGTGGAACTGTTTCATCTTCTGGGGCAGTCTTTTGGGGCTTAGTTTCTGTAAGCAGAAAAAGATATAATAAGAAACAGTTAAGTAAATTTTACGATACATATAAACATTCATGTAAGAAACTATAATACAAATACACTAAAAAAAAATCACAATTATTGATCTAAAATAACAATACATTAATAAAATAATTAAGATTCGAATAATTAATAATTAAAGTCACTAGTTTTATAACAAAAATATACATAAAAGCTGGAGTGAATTTTACATATTATTATAATAAATAAATAAATATAGATATCATTAAATACACACAAATAATACTATTCCATGGATATTTCTCATTTTTTCTTTCATACACAAACAATTAACACATTTCGTTGATAAAAATTTAAAATAATTTGTAGGACTTAATTCTAAAATCTTTAAAATCACTTTTTTTTATTATTTTAATCACGGCTGATTTTATTTCCCTTAAGTGACTATTAAAGCTATTTTCAGAAATTAAAGGGGTCTAAGCGTGTGTCATTGTTAAAGTTGAATCATAATGCTATTAAAACAAAAGAAAAATATATACCATTGTTAATATGATACGGATTACCAATGAAATATATCAGACTTTTTTTGTTAATTCCTTAAAATTTAAAAATCGAAAATAAATTGAAAATAATTTTCGACTCGGGCAGGACTTGAACCGGCATCGTCAGCTTTCCGCGCTGTTGCTCTAGAGCAATTTTTTCAATTTATTTTCGATTTTTAAATTATATAGTGCCTTCATGTGCAATAACATGTGAAAAATAATGTTTTCAAACTCCTTAAAAGTTTGATAGGACGTTGTCCTTGATATGGACTGAAATCAAATTTGAATCAATTTCTACAAATTCTTAATTCCCTTTGCAAGTTTTTCATTTATTTCATTCATTAATTCACTAACTGTATTCGATTTTAAAAGAGGTATGTTCCAACAGTTAAAGTGAGATGCTTTGTAATATTAACCGTTCTGACTTAAGCCTTCAGAAAATGCATTCCCCCGATAATAATCCAATATAAGAGTCATCTCTGAAATGCATCAGGAACAATGTCAAGAATTCTTTAGTTTTGAAGAACCAAAATATTATAGAATTCGGCTGAACAGGGTGTTTAAAGAAGAAGAAAAATTTAAAGTAATTCGACTGCTTTGACAGTTATGTGTTGGTCTGTTACGTCGGGTGGGTGTGTTTTGTTGAGTTTCACGCTCCCTAATATTTATGTAACTTGGAAATTTAATGCTTCGGTAAAATCAACAGCTCAATCAACGTTGTTTAAATAATTTAAAACACAATTTGAATTTAAAAAAATTTATTGCTTTTAGCTTACCTTAAAATTGTCACTTCTGTCTTTGACTTTGCGTACTTCCCAAAATTCCGTTACTTTAATTACTTTTGACATTCTACCTATCAAATCAGACACAACAAGCAGTTCGTGTAAATTGCGATTCGACAGGTTTTAACTGTAACCTTACCTTCGAGAGTGTCCTTTTCTTCAACTGTAATTTCTTCTGGACTATCAGGCGTTTCACCGTTTTTGTCAGGTCGCCTAGTAACGTTAGTTTGTGTGTC